AARAWCCATCGGCCATCAATCCGGTGTAGATTCCCTTTTGACAGTAATTGTCCCGGCCGTTCCAGCACTCCTCGCAGTTATGGCAAACGTCAAGAAGAGGTTTGATACCAGCTCGATCGCCAACTTTCCATCCCTGGACATTGTTGCCGACTTTGACCTAGAGTCACGGATCAGCATCACCAATATATTGAAGGCAGGTCATAGTCTGTGGAATCGTTACATACCACAATACCAGCGCCCTATTCATGACACAGTCAGTACAACACAAACTAGATTTCAGGCAAGAACTCACCTCATGTCCAGCACAAATCGTTCCCATCTCGGACATGGGAGGCACAGCCCAACTTTCCACAAAAACACCTCGTCAGCAACCACTTCCCATCCATCCTAGAATCAACAACACATACTCATTCTAGACACCACAAAAGTCAGCCTCATCATCCAATATTCATTCTCTCCCAACACATCCAAACAACATACCATCATAAAATGCACATCGCYCATACACAAACCCGTGCAATTCAACTTCAACAACAACTCTCCATCCTCTACATCACGCATCTATCATCAGCAACAATCCTATGCATCATCCTTTAGTGAGTTGTGCATTTGCGGACGGACTTACTGGGCTCAGGAACATCAACCTCCTGCACCTCGACTCTAAAATCCGGCCCTTCATTCACCACAACWCCCGCAAGACCCTTCTTAGGAATCACAATTTCCTCCGTCGTCGACATCTTCAATACTGATATTCGCAATTCGGTTGTTTCAAGAAAGTCTCAATGACAAGCAAGGTAGGAAAGGTGATRTCAATATCGATGGTGATAAGGTTATGGAAGCAGAAGTAACAGGTATTCATCAATGAGAAAAGACCCCAACTTACATCTCCACCTTTTAATCAACCATCCGTCATTCTTATGCTTTCTTCTCCACGTTCTTCCTGGCCCGCCGCCGCCGCTGGTCCACGTGTAACGCAATTCCAAGCTCTTGAAAAAGCCTCGGGTTGGCTATTCGGGATACAGTAAGCTAGCATCGACTCCGCACGCAACGGTAGTGAGAGGCGGGGCAAATGCTGGATGGTTGGTTTAATTGTGGGCGGGCGGGGTAGAGACAGGAAGCAGGCATCCACTTCCTACACATACTAGCAGCAATCGTGGCATTGCGGGGAAGGGTTGTGTCAAGATCTGGTCCGACAGGTGATTCGATGTGCTATGGTGTGCATGGATACTGGGGTCATCAGAGACACCTCAGAGCTGTCGAGAAGAAGTAGCAGGGACGTTCGACTATATATGTGTAGACTCCAATCTCGACCATCAAGGTCCCAATTCTTATTTCAACTCCTCTTCTTCCTCTTGTTCCAAAACCACAGCTAATGGTTTGCGATTTTATGAACATTAGACTTATTTCATGGGGACTCCGATGGCCTTGACAATTGATGTTTGGCGGAATATTCGCTCAAGACAGAAGTAGAAAAGGAATAGATAGAGACTTCAATAAAGATCAAGCGATAGATCCCAAGAACAACAACAACAACAACAAACAAATACCCTTGCCAATCCAGACTCAAAACCCAAACAGAAAAAACGCCAGGTGCTGAATGCCGCTATCATCTTCATCTTCATCCCACCTCCCACAGACGCCAAATATACAGCTGTTCCCAACCAAGAAGAAAGAGAAAGAAATTCCCAACTCGACAAACTCCTCAGAATTTAACCCCAACAAGTATCATATCATAATATGTTCGCCTCACTCCCCTCTAGGCGTAAACATTCCACTCCCCCCAAACTCTCCATCCCTCCCAACACCGGGCGTAACCAACCCACTCCCTCCACTAACAGGAGTCTGTGGCTGCTCCAGACTCAACTGCACTTTGATCCCCTGAATCCACTCATGTTGCAAAAGTTCCGCGGCACTTGCSCTCTTCCCCGGATCCCTCTCAAAACACCTCTTCAAGAAATCCAGCCCAACCGCACTCAACTGTTCTCTGCCCGGTAAGCTCGGACTATTCCCATTGGCGATATTATACATGATGGCGAAATCATTGTCCATGTTCGTCCAGGGTCGGGAGCCCGTGCACATTTCGCTTATAACGCATCCCAAGGACCAGATGTCTGCGGCGCCGAGACGGGCCGATTTATTGTGCGGTCCGCCTTTGATCACTTCGGGGGACATGTACATTGGTGTTCCTTGAGCTGCTGTTCCTGCATGGTGGTTTGCTCCTGCAGCTCCACCACCTTCGGAGGAGGGACCTGCAACGACGGTTTTGCCCTGTTTGGCAATCACTTTGGCCGCGCCGAAATCCACGAATTTGATGACACCGTTGTGGTCGAGGAGGATGTTGTCGGGTTTGATGTCTCTATGGACCACGTTCGCTTCATGGAGATATCCTAATCCTTCGAGCATTTGGAGAGCGTAAACTTGTACGACGGTTTCGTCTTCGATGCGGCCGTGATCGAGTAGTCCAGCGAGGGAGCCTCCGGAGCAGTATTCCATGAAAATGTAGACCTTGTCACGGTGGGGTTCAATGCCGTAGTATTGGACTACGTTGGGGTGGTCGAGGACTTGCAATACACTCATCTCATCCCGGATCTGGCTGACAATGGTGGGGATCATCTTTGGATCTTGGAGGCGGATCTCTTTCACGGCCATGAGATGTCCGCTGTCGAGGTTGATAGCTGCATATACAGACCCGAAGGTCCCGCCACCGACGAATTGGCCTTGTTGCCAGCGGATATGGACATTCCCAGCAGAAGCGCYCAAGTGTGTCAAGGCACGGTCCGCGTCGTTGCTATCCTCAAGGACTCGGCCGAGAGCTTGTCGTTCTGCTTCACGGTCTTTGCGGATTTGGTCCAGCTTCTCCAGCTCGTCCAGCCAGCCCATGCGCACTATGTGTGAGGACTCTTCGTCATCTTTGAGCTTGCCAACGTCGGGTCGTAGCTTGCCGCCGATGGCATCTGCACGCTGTTTCTCCGCCTGTGCAGCAACGTTGCCACGAGCGCCCATGATGTCGAAGTGGGAGATGAGTAGACTCATACATCCTGCCACCTTGCTCCTCAGTTCTGCGTACTCTTCATCTGAGATCGAAAGAATGTTCTGTCCGCGCGTCATGACCATGGCGAATTCCAAGGCAACCACAGCCCATCGGAATGTCTTGCGATCAGAAGCCACGCAGTCATCACAGATGAAAGATACCCAATCCAGTGCTAGCTTGGTAAGCTTATGCTGGTTGATGGCTCTTCTTTGAACATCCATGTGAATGGCAGAACGTTGACCGAATTCTGTGGCAAAGGCGAAACAAGTCTGGATGAGCTCCTGACTCTCCCATTTCCGACCCGCTGCTTCAGTCTGAGAGCGGACGATTGCTACAGAATCCATGATGGTGTTGGAGAGTTTGTGGGCTGTTTGTCGGATCTTGGCCAATTCTTGATGCACTCGTGGGAGATTGGCACGCTGCTCAACCAACACCGCGAGTTCAATCGCGGTAGACGTCTCAAATGCATGTTTGGCATTGGCCAGTCGTTGTTGACTCCCATCGGCTACAAGTCGGAGGCGTCCAGYCTTGAGGTCCATTGACTGCTGTGATTTGAGGACTTCCTTGGCGACGACACCTAGCTTCGTCTCGATACGAGGTCCGTCCCATAAGATCGGACTCTCAGGTCGCATGATGATAACATAGGGGTTGGTAGGATCTTCGGGGCTGTCTTCGGCGTGATAGCAAGTTCCCAACATGCTCTGAATGTCTGCCGGGCGGTTCGCCAGAGCTGGGCTGGCAATGATGTACATTCGCGATCCATGCTGGTCGGTTAGAAGTGGCGCACTCTCGGGATCCATTTCGACGAGAAAGTGGCCCGACAGTCTTAATGCGAGGAGGAGATCGTCGAGTTGCTCGTCGCCAATGTTGATGTTGTACTCGGCGGCGTTTTCAAACCGTTGTCCTAGGAGCCTGCTGAAACGAAAGATCTTTCGCTGTCTGACACGAACGGAATCGAGGATWGACTTGTATCTCTTGTCCATCTCAGCAGTACCAGCGACCTCATCCGGAGGTCGACGCAGTTCCTTTTCGAAATGCAAGGCAAGACGGCCCATGGACTTGGAAGTCAAGCTGGAGAACTGGCCTGCGACTTCGACATCACCACCGTCTAGGAAGCGTCCAAGCTCGTTGGAAAAGTCCCATTCTTGTTCCAGAATTTCAGCCTCCTTGAAGGTGTTCTTGTTGGCCGAAAGCTTCCAATTAAGCAACTTGAAGTAGAATTTTAGAGCATCAAGGATGACAACGTCAAAGTTCTCATCGATGCAAGATGGGAGTTCCCAACCAGGTTCCACCTGAGCAATGACGGTGTAAGATTCCTTGATCTTGACGGCGAGTTGAAGGAGGATTTGAAACTGCAGGATCATCTGCTCGGTCGTCATGACACCCTGCTGGGCCTGATCCTTCATTTTCTTCGCGTAGGAGAGTCGCATGCGGATAATCTCTTGAATGAGTCGACTAGGGAAGTTGATTAATGTTAGGAGTTCTTCGATGTAGGGCGGTAGGTGGCGATCTGCAAATGCCTCTGCGTTGGCAATGAGAGTGGCCTTTGCTTTATGAATGACCGTGTTGACACCATTCAGAAGACTCTTGTCGCCTTGTAGTGATTTCAGGCCATCCTCCTTCAGGATTCGATCGATAAAAGAGCTGTCGTCGAACAAATGGTTACCCTGCTCGCCGTCTGGTCTCGTTCGAGGCGTGGTGAAGTCGAGCACAGTATTGCCAACCCAGCTCTGTAAGACTCCCAGCTCGGTATTGATAAGCTCCGTAGTGTTGTGCCACGCTATGACAGCATCACAGGTATCCTTGTAGGCACCGGAAGAAGCACGAGGGTTGGCCGCCACAAAGGCCTGCCGTGTGGGATACAAGCCTTCAATCTTCTCAATCTTCTTGACAATCTCTTGCACTTGTCCCAACGGAGACTTGCCCGCTTCCGCCTCTCCTTTGATTTCAAACGCAACAATCGCTTCAATCGTCTGCTTGATCTTGGATCGATCATCATCAATTAGGCGTTTCTGTGCCGCCACCGTCCGACCACACGTCTTTGCCCGCACGCCAATCCACACCTCAGTCTGGAGGGTGTTGTCGCCCTGCTGTTCGGGACCGCCAATCAATCGTTTCTTCTCCTGCTTAACCACGTCGCCGGTCAGGACGTTGGCCAACATGGCGTGCCATTCCAAACGCTCACGGTTCGCAGGAATCTTCAACTCCTCCATCGAAGGCTCCAAATCTTCGTTTCCGTAGTATAGCAGAGTATCCACCTCGGCCGGGTCATGATCGGCGAGATTTGGCCCCGTAGGAGAATCTCCCTCGGACTCTGAGCCTGACGAGTAGTCCAGACTGGGCGTCCTCGGTTCGATGTAGAATTCATTCTCGGGCACATCCTGCCGTATCCTCTGCACATATGCCTTTTCCTGCGCTCGGTATGCGGCGTCAGGATTTCGTCGTGATCGATAGGTGGAAGCGTTCCGAGGGCGACCCGAGACGGAGGTGTTGATGGAATACTGATGAGGTCTTCGTGCGGGAGCATATGCATTGCTGGGCTGTCGTGTGGTTCCCGGTCGGGATGGTTGTCGTGAGGCTGGATTGATGCCATTTGCGCCGCCACCATTCACCACGTTGCTGCTGGATGACGAGCGAGAAGAAGTTTGGGGAGTTCCATTCCACGCATAACTCGAATGATGGCCGAGGGACGAACTCGAGTCGTCGAAGGTCGAGTTGTTCCCAAAATGACGGGCGGAGATGCCATCGCTATCGCTGTAGGAATTGCTGCTGTCCTGGTCGGTGTGCTGCTCCACTTCTTGCGAGGAAGAGGTGCTGGTGCTGCCGCCGGAATCAAACGTGTTGAGCGTGGGGCGGGCCTCTTCGGCGTCGACGTCCTCCATGATGGGATGCACGCCGTTGGAGAGGGAGGATGCCGAGCGATGGTGCRTCTTGAACATCTAGATCAACAATAGCCTACTTTGGCTTCCCTTAGTTCTAGCAGTCCGAGGCGCGATGCCTGATCTCCGGCCCGTCTCGACGTCATGCGATGGTGATGTGATGGAGATGATGATGCTTTTGTGGTTGTAGGATGCTGGACGATATCCAATACTCAGGACAAAGAAGACGACGTTACTTGGTGAGAACAGAACACGGTCTGCGGTGGAATTCTGAATGTATGWRTGCATGTATGTATGTACAGTGAAACACAACCGGAAGTCCGCGCGCCATCAACCGATAAACTTGCTTTGGTGGTGGAAGGTGGACCGTGGGAGGACGGAAGCGGAAGCGGGACCTTTTGAAGCGAGACGAACGACAGCTCCCGCTATCGCGCATCGCGGTGTAGATCGGTGCATCTAGAAGAATCCTAATTATCATCGTAATGATAATAATAATCACCACCACCACCTCTTACATCCCACCCACCCCAGCCCAGCCATGGCACCAGCACCGCGACCACGTCCTCTTCGCAAGGACTACGTTGCCGCCGCCTTCAAACCTGCTAAACCCACCGTCTTTTCCGAATCCGCACGGCCGTCATCCCTCGCACCCAACATCCGCAGCGTGTCATGGTCTCCCACCGGATCACTCATCGCGCAATCGACGTCGGTCAACATTCGCGTCTGGAATGCCGAACGGCCGGATGTCAAGGCGTCGAGTGAGATGAAGGATGGTGCGAGGGGCACGGCACACAGCATGGCGGTGGAGAAGGTGGCCTTCAATCCGCGAAGGGAGGCACTCCTGGCCTCAACGGGGTTGGATGGCATGGTGAAGTTGTGGGATGTCCGGGCGCCTGGGGGAGCGGTGGGGGGAATGCGAGGCAGCACGACGGTCAAGTCCGCCGAACACAAAGTCGGTGGGCAGGGATTGTTCCTCACCTGGCATCCCGCCGGCACGGAACTGTTGGTGGGCCGGCAGGATGATGTGGTGACGGCGTTGGATGTGCGCAAAATGGACACYGCCCTGCTGGAACTGCATCCCACCGATCGTTCGCCCCTCAAGGATCGAGGAAGCTTCAACATGATGGCCTTTTCCAACTCGGGTCGAGAGGTATTCGCTACGACAGGCGATGGACCGGTCAAAGTGTTGGATTATCCCACCATGCAACCCATCTACACCCTCGCCGCTCACACTTCCAACACCTACGCCGTTCAACACAGCCCGGCGGGAAACTATGTCGCCGTCGGTGCGAGCGACTCCCTCATCTCGCTATGGGACACCAACACATGGATGTGCACTCATGTCCTCAGTCATCACACTTCCGCCGTCAGAGATTTGAGTTTCAGCTTTGATGGATCGTATCTCGTTGCGGGATGTGGTGCRGATAGAGATGGCGACAAGGGGCTGGACATTTACCACGTCGACACGGGGGAATCGGTGCATACCATCGAGACGGTCAATGCTGTGAGCTGGGTCGCATGGCATCCCCTCAAATATGCCATCGCGTATGGCGGCGATCCAGGCGGCCTGAAGATCGCTGGTGTTTTCAAGGATTGAGTGCAATAACAACATCAGACGAAGCACGCCATCTTCAAAGACCAGGGATCGGAGCGCAAATATCGCACCGAGTCCGCCATCAGCACATACTACCGTCCACCGAGGGACATCAATCAGGCACATTACGGACGTTCTCTAAATGTCTGGACTATTCCTTGCCGCCAATGCCATGTCATATTATGCCGACCGCTGAATCGCCATGCTTGCTTCATGCCTACTTGTCGATATTCTGGTGCCAGGAGGCCAGCCTATGCATTGCAAAGATCAAGCAGAGGTTCGTGGGCATCTCGCTTGAGGGTGACCGTGTCGATCAACCTTTCCGGACCTGACCAAACCAGACGAGCAGCTGCGCATCGGAACATACCTTCTGATACTCCATCGCAAGGGCACATGACAGGTCTCCACATAGATATCATCGATAACCGCAAAATAGCGAGATGTTGCGTATCTCTACAAGCCTTCCCAGATGTATGCCCATTGTGCATTGCAGGCTACGACGAAGGAACAAAACTCCCTCGCGTTCTCGAGATGGGAATGGGGATAACGGGGCAGATCCTAAGAAACAGGAAGAAGTAAGACTCGAATCGCTGAAATTAGATATAATTTTCGAATTGTATGAAAGAATGAGAGCAAAGCAAGCTCCCCGTTCCGCTCGTTCCCTTTTCTGGACCAAATGATTCTCGCATGGCTCAAGAATGGGCGTGGGTTTCTTTTCGCTCTTGCTCGTTTTGTGCAATTAAAGGGGCTGCCTTTGCAGTCTCGGTTAGGGTTAGGGTTGGGGTAGCTGCATCGCCATTTTTTGGACGCTTTGGGGTATGTAGAGGATATCGTGGACGTTGGTATCAGCGATAATGAAAACGGCTATGCTATCCGCACAGTGGTCATTCATCCGTTACTGTGTTACGACCTTGATGCTGAATACAAACTTTGAATTCTGTCGAAGGTTATCAATATGATCGTTGTGCAAGCTAGGGGCGCAGACATACGTCGTCGCTGAGGAGTTCACACACAACAACGACGACGACGACAGTAACGAGGGAGGGACTGAGGKACCACAGTCTACAAAAAAATCAATACTAAAGACCATGGAGTCGTGCTCGTTCAGCGGAGATAGCCTGAAGGCATTGCACATGGGAACGAAATGCGTCGGTAATGATTTGATACAGCTATCTGTTAATGTTACAGCTATCTGTCCGTACATTCGTACATTCGTACATTCGGCTAGTTTCTCCTCCCGTTAAGTACCGCACATCGATCACTGTAGTGGAACCGTCAAGTCTCCCGACGAGGGGAGACGCTGGACCCCAAAGACTCAATTTTCTCTCCCCCTGAATCGAAATGGTAGCGCCTAGAGAGCCAGCAATCGTTGGAAACCTGCTCTGTTCCGGAAAGACTTCTTCTTCTTCTCCTTCTTCTTCCTCCCCCTTGTGAATGAAGCGTTCATCAAAACTCCATCTGCAAGTCCGATGCTTCTCTCTCCTAGGCGCTGATAGCCTTATTATGCTCTAGCAATGCGGTGGCGCCCTCCACATCATTCCGCCACCTGAACGTCCGGTTTCTTCGGCGTGGTGTGATGGCATTCAGTTGCCATATTGCCGGTCGGCATTGCGAGCTTCTTAACGGAAACTCGTGTGCAAGCCAGTGCTCTCCCGACATCCAATCGTTCCATCGGTCCAGATCTTCGATCGGCTAGAGAATCGCAGCACCATGCCCTCTGATGCATGCCATCAACAAATCCCTGATTCGGTATTCTTCGGCCGCGCACACCCATCTCAATCACCCCATAGAATCCTCGAAACAGGCGTTATCGCCCCACCCGTCTCCTTCAACCCATCACATCTCGGCCCATCCGTGTCCAACCTCCTCTTAACCAACCCCCGATTGCACAAAAACGTCAGCATGATAAATCCCTTGGTACAAGCCACCGCCACAAGCGCCGCAGACGGAGTTGAGAAATGTAGTATAGTAGCCCCGAAGAAACATCCCGCAACCATACTGAAGAAAAACGCAAGCAATCGATCACGTCTTGGACATCTCAGCTTGAAGATATTCCGCTCAGTACACAGGGATATCAAAGCGCCTGTAATCATCGTTGTATTGACATCTGGCATTTTAACGTGTAATGCTGTGGAGATTTGGCCGGACATTGCGAATGCTAGGAGAGCGTTGATGGCGACGGCCCCGGGACCGGTGRATTCCCGCGAGACGAAATACCGGATGGCTGCGGCGGCGAGGATGAGGACTAATTGGAAGAAACTGGAGACGAGGAGCCAGATTCGTCGTCGTTGGTTGGAATAGTGGCCTGCGTGACCAAAGATGATGGCGCCGGCGATGAACATGGTCATGCTCACTCCGACGTTCAATTCGAATCCGGGGTCTAGAGAGCCCCTGTCGAGGGCGTAGGTTGCGAGGAAGAGGGTGTTGCCGGTCTGCTTCGAGGTGAAGACGCTATGTCGGGAGTCAGATTGAGATCGTCTGGGATGAGCTGGATACTGACCGATATGTGGTGTAGGTCATGACGTCCAAGCATCCTGTAGCGACAGTCATGAGGAGCAATTGTGCTTCGAGAAATCTATCCCCTGCAACCTCTTGCATAAGGTACATCCGCCATCTTGCACCGGAAGGAATACTTTGCCGGATGGCATCGGATCTTCTCCTCCTGGTCGGTGAGGTTGTCGTGCTTGACTGTGGAGAATGGTCAGTCGTGAGCGATTTGAAGACAATGCCACCACTGACGATGCGACTCAAGAGCGGCCGCCATGGTCGTGTTGCAATCGCAGAGTGGCTTGCAGGAATGCGATTGAAGCAATCAATTGTGGAGTATGACTTACACCAGATCGTACTCTGCCTAGACCATCGATCCCGGCTCCCTCTGATGTATCTTCCACACGTAGTTCACGACGATGGTCAAGAATTGACACTTGCCGAAGCGCGGCAGCAAGTTCTGGTGCTGTAGGTGTTCGTTGAGGTCCCGCCGGTCTGCTTTTAGGATTAGGGGAAGGGGCCGTCAGGTGAACTTCCATCTTCTCGGAATGTCTGGCGAACGATGTGAGCGTTGCTTGCAAACATGCGTGTGAAGAAGATAGCAAACGTGGACAGCGCAAAGATAATAATGTGATTGAGATGCGTCCTTTAGCAAACAAGCGTAAACCGGCGCAGAAGTCAAATGCAGAGCGGTAGATGTAGCAACCGAAACCGATGCTCGAGTGAAACGCATCATGGAAGATGGCGTGCGTCTAGGCCTAGGATTGGGCCGAGAGAGAATGACCGCGGCGGAGTTTGTCTGAGCATGCTAGATCTGAAGCTGCCCGATGACATGGTTGGTACACTGCTGCAGTGCTAACATTTCGCACAGCCGCGCATGTCTCCGAGGAGTGTCGCAAGTCGAAACGATTGACGACTCAGGCGAAAGGCTTGCGAAGCTTGTTCTTTTGGACCCGGCCCGCGGGGATCATCCGTCGCAGATCTTCAACGCCTGTGCATATCGAGAAATAGTCACCTAGCAATGTTATCGTCATTGGTGTTTGACGCACTAGTCTTGGCATGTCAACCACTCGGACAGCTAATCGGCAATCCACGCTTGTCAAATCTGAGCAGATCTGCAAGCTCCGGACTCTATCGGCCAAACTCTGGACCCGTCGAACTCTTGTGTCTTGAATCCGCCGAACCAGAAATATACCAATATGCCGGCGCGACTTGGAGCGATTTTCAGATAGTCTTCCCCGCACTGGAGATGTGGAGATGGCTTTTGGTGAGGAGTTTGGTGTATGGAATGCGAAACACTCTTTCACCAGCAACGAACTGGTGGTAAGGTGAAGTGGAACCAGGATCACTGCTTTCAGGCGATGCCCAACGTCGTTGAAGCTGGTCGATGATGGTCTATGCATGCCACGGTACCAAAGCAACCTTTGCTCTTGCTGCAGGGTCACGTATCCACCGAGATGTGAACGCTGCGTTTCTGTCTCACCCTGGCCAAGCCGAATACACATTTGCCGGCTTGATGACGACCTGGCAAGCCGTATGTGCCGAATGTCTTGCGTGTCATGTTACCGGATATGCGCATTGTGCTTGGAACTCGCAGTGTTGCCTTCTTCCATCAAACGGGTAGCGCTGGTGAAGCATTGCCTTAGGTAGCCCTGTAGAAAACAACCCCGGAGATATGCATGTCCAGTAGCGCTTCGGAATCCGGATCCACAGGATCCATGCTTAATCTTGCAATCCCTGTGTGATGTGCATCAACTCGGCGACTTTTTTTGACGACGCGTCGTTGCAAGTGCAAATTAATGCCAAGCACTGTGATAACCCAAGATCACGGATATCACAGCACTGGTCCGCTTTCGTACCATTAGCTGCGTTGCAGATGTTGCTCTCCTTCATCGGTCTCCTCATGAGCCTCCATAGCTGGAGGACCGCCTCTCCACCCCGTCCGGCCTGGTATGGCTCGTTGAAAGCCACTGCGTGAAGAGATGTTGTTTGTTTGCTGTCGCACATCAAAGGCCAAGAGTCGATAACTGGGCGATGGGTCATCGCTCGCGCCATCGTAAGTTTCCCCTGAGGCGAAATGTATGCCAAGCGCTTCCTCTGCGGCCTTGATAAACATGGCAAGATCATCACCGTCTGGCCCAATGATCTGTCCCATGCGGAGCCCGATGCATGGCTTATCTTCGCAAAGCCTTCTCAACGGAGCCAGGATTGCGGCTTTCGTATCGAAATGTCCAGTACCAGTGCCGTCGATGAAGCTCACAGTGACCGACCGCAGCATTGTAGCCTCGGACAAAACTTCAATGGCCCGTGCCGCTCGTTTCTCAATCTCCGCGCAGAAGCTCTCCACCCCGAAGCTGGGATATGACTTTACAAGTAGCATGTCACAAAAGTAAACCATTTCGACCTTTCGAATGGACTTCAATATCGGACTTTGCTCGAGACGCCGCAAGTCTGGATCGATGCGAAAGAAGTTGAATGCATGCGAGAAGACTAGCTTCCATGTTGAGATTGAGTAAAAGTAATCGAGGATTTCTTCAGTGATGATGGGATGGATCTTCAAAAGTGCACCCGACGGAGGCCTGTGAGAGACAGAAGTTATGCCGACCGAGGGCTGTTCACWGGGCTTGTCAGCTGTGATGTAGAAGTAGCATGGGTGCACGCACTAGAGGATGTGAGACTGGCTGGCATGGTAGCAGGTAGGAGTAGACAAGGTGGCGTATCTCAACAGGGACGCGAAAAATCGGGGGAACGAGTGGGAGAAGTCCTCCGTGCTGCTGTCGGGACTCCATGGACGCGATCTTGGAGTCCGAGGTGCTCAGATTGGACGGAGCAGCACCCTTGAAGATCTTTAGCAATTATGGAGCGTGACCAAGGAGCATTTTAAGTGATAAAGTGCTGGCATACACTATGGCCGATGAAGAGATTGATATTCCAGATGGTTTCGATGGTATACGGTCTGATATAGACGACATTCGAGAAGGAATGCAAGGATGAATGGAAGTGGTCATCATCACGTGGTAGTTCCCGAATCGGCAGGCGGGAGGGGTCCCGCCCGGGCCGTCTCCAGCAATCGTCGATCTAAGAAGCACAAAGTACTTTACGTACACCACCAACCACCAACAACAAACTTCCTACGACGCGTCGACATCGATCTTTCAACTTCACGAACGACGATTCMATGATTAGCGATGCCATTGTTACGGCCATCGTTAATCTGCAGCAATGCAGACCATGTCATTTCTTAACGATGCATCAATAGACGGTGCGCGGTCTGGGAACGAGTCCGCGCGCAAGAGAAGTCGAGACGAACAAAGCCTCCCACGCGCCATTGACCGACGACCTTTTACGATACAAACGGACGCCAACGACCCATTCGCAAAGCCACAAACATTTGCGCCTCTATGCCTACTGTCCCGTGCTCAGCTCCCGCTGGCGTATTTGGACACAGCCCAGGATGGAAGCCGCTTGTTCTCAGCTGTGATTGAACTTCTTGAGACTTGTCATGATTACGAAGACGAAGTCAATGTGCTGATTGTGGCGGATGAAAGAGCGGGTAGAATGTACGCTGTGGAGCGTGTGCAACAGCGTAGGTACGCGCTCTGTCGGTTGGGTACCTGGGTGAAGGAGCACGAAGTTATGACACGCGCGACGCTGGACGTACGAGCCGAAGAGCCTCCGAAGAAACGATACGCTTTGCCAGCTGGTGGGCAAGATCGACCGTGGTGGATGTCCGCGAGTGTAGAGGTCAAGAAAGAAGGACTCGGAGAGATTGGAGTGAAAGAGAGCAAGCCAAAGCTACTGATGCTGAGCGCTGCCATCTCAGCAGAACCTTCAGCCCTTCTCAACGGATCTCAAACGGCTGTCCACGACGGTACGGAACCCGTCGATGGGGCTCCTTCGCTTCTCGAGCCCTCCTCGGCCACCCTCGAGGAGCTGGCGAAGCAATACATGGAGACGGTCTATCTCTCTCGTACTCCGCTGGCCTACTTCGTCAAGGGACCGCTTGCGCGTGCCCGGACCGCGTTCTCCATGCAGCCCATGGACCTCATATCCTTCCTTCGAGGGGCTATCATGCCATCTCCTGCCATGGACAAGAAGTTTCGCGATGTCATTGCGGACCATGTGAAAGACCTGCCTGACTTTGACGCAGAGTCTGCCGCAGCGAAACCGAAGCCGCGGAAGAAACGCAAGTGGAAGTCCACGCGCGACAAGTCCGGGCTATTCGCGGACGAGAAGACCTACATTGAACGGTGGTGGCGAAAAGAAGATGATTTGGATGGCATGCCAGGCTCGGCCGAGAGCACTGAATCCCTGATGAAGCGCCGCTTGCAGAAGCTGCGCAGTCGAGAGACATTTCTGCAGATCATCGTGATTCTGGAGACACGAGCTTTGGAATCCAGTGTTCCCGCTGCAGATCTAACGCCTGCATGTGAGGCTCCAGATACTCAAGCACAATCTGCGGAGACGCAACCCACGACAGAGGGGAAGAAGCCGAGAAAGAAGAAGGAAATTGACGTATCTGCTACCTTGGAATTGCTAATCGACCGTCTGGTCATCTGGCACTCGCTACAACAATATTCGCCAGCGAAGACTGGTACCAATGGCAGTGAAGGTGCAGCTGAAGAAGTGAATGACGATCTAAAAACCTTTGCTTCAGAAGTCRTCATGCCATTCTACGGAAGTCGAATACCAGAACTAGCGAACGCTACGAGCGAGAAGCTGGGAGGACCCACATTGCCCATTCCTGGTAGGAAGACTTTCGCAGGTCGGAAGAAGCCAGGTGAACCAGCAGAACGACAAGCCCCAGGGAAGATGCCTCGAAGGCCGCTGGCTAGAGTGTCAACAGAAACTCTCAATCGTCCCGACAACAGGCCACCGATGTTGCATCGTTCTGCCACCGATTCATTGGCGCCGCTCATCAAGCGAGAGCACAGTGAAACACCTGCCGCGCTTGGAAGCATAACAGCAGCTGAGCCAAGAGGACGACCGGCCAAGGCGGGATCATCAAGACGCGTTGATCTGCTGCAACAAATGACTGCAAATCGTCGTGAAGTCGATCTTACCGCCATGTCCAAAGTCAATGAACAGAAAATGCGCGTGCAGGCCAAGGTTCAGGAACAACTGAACAGTGTCCTCGTTACATTGAAGAAGCCTAATAGACAATTGGCCAATGAAGAAGTGGCCAAGAGAACGGATGAAAAGTTCGCACAGGTAGTTGGCAAAGGCAAGACTGGCCAACAAGCACGTAAAGCGACGGGCAGCAGGGTGATCCAGGCGACCCCGAGAGTCAAAGCTACTCCAGCACAGAAACGACGGACTCAGCAACCCCCAGAAGAAAAGTCTACTTCAATGGTGCCCTCGTCCACGGCCAGACTGTTCGCCAGGTTCGACGACCACACTAGCAGCAGTGTTACGATCCCGCAGACTGGTCACAGAAAACGGCACTCCAATGTCGAAGACACGCCCTCTCGAGGGTTTGCCCATTTCATGCCCAAGGAACTTGTAAGACCACCCGGCACTCTATTGGAGTCCCCTACTGCGAGTCGCTTGGCTCCCATCGCGGAAACTCCGTCGAGGCCAGTGTCGAGGCCAGATTTCGCAGCGCCCATTACGAGTACTCCGGCCAGAGGCATGGGCTTCGCAGGTCGATTAGAAGCCAGTCAGTCGAAATGTGCCACTTCTTCGCGATCGGCAAAGGAGAAGGGCAATGGTGTGAGGAACGACAGCAAGACGTTATATGCTGATCTGGGCTGGGAAAGCGATGATTACGAAGAACTTGACTGAAGACTCTCATTGTGTACAGACGGCCAATTCCTGTACTGGTACCATACATTTTCTTAGGTGAACCGACAAAGCGCTCCCTATTGTCATCGTGACTGTCTCTTTCTCCGTCTGCTCTCCATGAATTCTCGTGCGGCGGCCTTGTGACTCCATCATCTCCGGACGAACGATATGGCATCCCACACGGAGACGCGCTCACCGCTCTCAGCTCCCCACACTACCTACCATCGTGACATGATCAATCAAAATGTAAGGAAGCAGGTCCTCCAAAATGAAAATGACAAAACAGTAAATGCGGTCAGACTTGCAACCACCACTGTGCAAATGACCATCGCTTCAATCATATATGCAATGACGCCTTGTCTTACAACGCTTACAATGGCTGCTTGTCGCTTATCCACACAGTACTTCAGTAATCGGCCGCYCACTCAATACTATGTGAATAGCCGGCAGCCACCGGCGMAACGCTTAGTGGAAGAAAATGAGGAATCGGGCATGGAACCGAGCGTATTTTGGAAAAGAAGATGCTTGCAAAGGCAACCGTTCAATATTTCCCAGCCCTGCGAAAGAGGACCAAGCCGGTCAGCAGGATGCATGCGCAACAACATTTAYGCAACCAGGCAACAGCCTCGTAAGTTCGGAGACTTATGCGGGAGGTTGGTTGCAGGTCCCACGCATGACCTGTCAATGCCAAGGTAATATCAATATATCGATCTCGGAAACTTTGCTCTCCGATGAGGGTGTGTTTGCATGAAGGTGTGGCTGTCCGTGGTTGAATGCATGGTCGTTTCGAACATGAGGGTCGAGGGTCCACTCAGCCGGCAAAAGGCCTGGAACTCCGGTGATAGCTGCTCATGCGCATGATTTAAGGTTTCGTTTTCGGGGTGGCTCGACACACAAAGCAGGCCTTAGATGACAGWGTGGCGTAAGGCTTGGTGTATACTAGGATCGTAGGTCTCGGAATTGCCAAGTCTATATGCACATCTACTTGTGTAGTTATCCATCACTCGTCGAACCACGATGTAATGCGACTGGTCCCGAATCTGGCAGCGAATCGCAAGCCGGTAGAGCCCATGGGGAAATAACTGACAAGATACCACACCAAGGCAACGATTTGGACAATCGAGGACATCAGGGTAAGTATCGTACTGTGCAGCTGCGGGCGCAATCTTGGTCAGCAAATATTCCAAGTGCAAGGATGACGACGAGTGATGTAAATCAGGTATTGGGTTGGACTGCGTTGTAAAGCAGTCAAGGTGGGGTGGGGCAAAAACAAGATGCGCAAAGCACTTCAGAGGTGCAGACGGGATGCGATGCGGGAGCCTGCAGGGGTTCGGCTGCGCGACAAGTGTGCAACGCGGCCGCATGATCGACGCCATCCAAGACAAAGATATTGTCGGGGGTGTAGCGTTGCGTAGTGGTGTGTAGCTGTGCGGCGATGATCCCGCGAACTTCCGAGGAACAACCTGAAGATGAGGGACTTGAGGACTTACCCCAACCGCAAAATACAACGTGAGAGCGATGCTTCCAAAGTAGGTGGCTGTGAATGGCAACCGCTCCTGCGAGACCAAATGGCGTGCTATGGAACGGCATTAGCGATCTGCGCACGACATTGTACCCGTCTTGTGCATGTTGACTGTAGGTTGGCGAGCCAATTGTGTTTGCTACGTCGTGCCACAAACCAGATCCAAACGCCGTTTGGCACTTCCAACCAGCTGCGCAGCGYCGCTGTTGGGATGGAGGGGTTTCTTATTGGGTGTGCTTACCGTAGACAAGCGGACCCATCATGACCGCCCACGAGCCCAAGAAAAGAGTGGACGCCATAGACCACCTGACTACTTGTTAGCGTTGTTCAAAGTCTTTGATCGTTTTCGGTGCCGAGGACGATCCCTCCGACATAATATGGGGAAAGGTTGCTGCGGAACTTTCAGGCGCAATGGGTTGAAAGTGGGTTTGATCAAAGCAAGGCAGGGGTCGAGGTGTAGAAAATCGACAAAGGAGCTTCGGAGCGGGCGGCTGCAGCATAGGCCATGCAAACACCTAGATGGCACTAAGTTTGTGATCAGGCGGACGCTCCCATTGCATAAGCGGCCGCGACGACAGAAACACTGCAGTATCATCCCGTGGCGGAGATGGCGAGCAGTGATTCGACACGAAGAGGTGCGGATGCTCATCAGCAAATCGTAGGGTAAATGTGCAAAAAGATGAAGAGTTGCACACCCTCTTTTATGTGTAGTGGCGTAGGGTAAGGTTCCAGTCCAGCAAACAAAGCGTCGATCAAAATGCGAGCAGGGTGCGATGCGATCATACGTACAGAATTGCGAATTTGCGCGGCCGCAGGCTCAGAATAGGTAGCAGTGTAAAGCAGACAACGAACAGGGCAATGGCGGCGAGATTGAGGCCACCAAAGAAGAGCAGGCGGTCCCATCGACTTACTGTGCGCATGCGTTAGCGATGTCTCGGCTTGAAGATCCCGAAGCTGCACTGAATGACTGCCACAGAAAGCTATGAGAGAAAGCTGTGTGGAGCATGCACGCCGTCGTAGGACGCAGGAACTCCACATAGTCACAGTGACAGCTCTCGCAGCAAACAAACGGGACGTGCAGCCCTTCGCGTGGCCGAGACACCGGCTGCGTTCCTTTGACAGGGCAGCTCATGCGCCCCACGCTACTCGTATGAGACGTGCGAACATGTCCAAGAAACGGGAAGCAGCCGGCGCCGAGACACGAGAGTTGCAGTGGTGGGCAGGTGGAAGGTGGCGATGGTTGTCGCGGGAGCTGCAGACTTACGTGCAAACCACCCTTCTTCCTCTTCTCGTCGAGTCCGCGCAGGCAGAGGTGCGCCGGGCCCGTCGCCGCTCTCAGTCGTGGGCAGCCTGACATTGCCTTCAGAGCTGAAAGGGTTGAGCTTCTGTAGTGTTCCCAGCAGCGGGTTCTGCGGGCTCGTGTTGACGGGCTGCTCGCGTCGTGACCAGCCCATGTTGTTCATGCTGTCTCTAAAGGATGACGATGCCATGGTTGCGCGGTCGTCTCGCGGCTTTGTGCTAGAGCGACGTAGTCTGTTTGAGGAAGATGAACAGCTTGGCCTGGTCCCGATGCTGTGCTGCGAAGGTGGTGTGGGCGTAAACGGCTGCCTATTCGTCGGCCGCGTGTCGTCCGGCTTTGTTCAGTCGTGGGAGCCGATGGCAGTGAAGGGCGAGCGCTTGGTTGCCTCCGGAGCTTGGTGCAGTCGGCGTGCTGGACTGAGGTGCAAAAGCTGGAGCTCGCTGGGTCGGCAGCTTTATGCGGTGTCCCGCGACGGGCGATGGATGGCTTGGGATTTCACTAACACGAGATGCGGCAAGCGAACGCCTCGATCAACGACCGCCTTCGTACGTGCAAGTGCTATTATTTTCTACAGAGGTGAGGCGCTTGCTCCCTGATCGGCCACTGCAGCTGCAGGCAGTGGCGGCAAGGGCCGCGCAATAGACTTCCACCCTTATCGACCAGGATCATCATGGCGTGCAGATGAGATCTGCGGCGATGGAGCTTCGCGCTCCCCACAAAGAGAGGATGAAACAGGTGGATTGGGGAGCAACCTGTGAGCCGCTGATGTAGCAACTCGATTGAGCGCCGTCTCACAGAAGAATGCCGGGCCATTCGGATGGTGGCGCGCAACTTTGGGTGGAATCCATAGGAACCCAGAGATCTAGTCCACACCAGCTCGAGGGTCTCAAAGGGCGGGCGAAGCGAGGACGCCGACGGGCTGGAACTCCGCGAGCAGGGCGAGGAAAGGATAAGGAAACTTGCCTCGAGCTTTGTTGGAGGGGGTGTGTGGGGGACTAAATGGGGTCAGTAGGATGCTGATATGAAACTAATCAACACGAGATGCGCGTCGGGGAGCAGTCAGTCGTGAGAAATGATAAAAGACAGCTCTGCTCGTGCCCGTCTCGTCCCAAGCCCTCTTGCAACACTTTCCAGACCGAGACGCAGACCCAGACTGCAAGCACCTTGGCCTCTCCATCCCCCGCACCACCACCATCATCATCAGCATCATCGACCTCCACTCGACGCGGCCTTGTCGCATTGATCCATCGTTCGCGCGTCTACCGCCAGCGTAAACTCTGCGCCACGCAGCTCGCGATTGGACGCTGCAGCTCTCACCGCCGCCGCCGCGAACCGAACGGATATCGCTGTCGACTTCCCGTACCGCCAGCAGCACCTTGCCTGTTCGCATTTCATCTCCATCTCGCTGGCCCTTGTTGCCCTTGCTTACCCACCGCTCAGTCACCCCGATCATCCCAGCCCGTCTGAGCTGTCCCGAAGTGCGACCCAAGTGTCACCGTAGCGCACTGCGACGACGCTTTGGCCAGCTTCCCCGACCAACTTCAGCCCAAAGCCCCGCGTCTGGGAAGTGCTCACGTCCTCGTTGCACAAAGCCGCCTTTACCAAAAACTTCCAATCCCGCTTTATTCGCAACCCGCTCGTCGACGTCTTGCTGCTGCGGCCGTCGCGCGTCAAATAGCTCACGTTGCCCACCGACGCATTTCCGATCACCCCGCAAGCTGCAGCGCCGACTGGCCTTTGCATTCATCCTCCGCCAACCGCTGTCTCACCCGCAGCCTGCCCGAAGACGACCAACCTGGTGAGTTTTCCCTGCAGCCTACTCTCGTCATTTATGCTCCGCCGTCCTTGTCCACGCCCGTCATCGTACCTGCTGCAGCAGCTGCTGCAGAATACATGCCACCTTCCAATACTCCGAAAGCAAGCAGGTCCATGAACTCTTGGCGGCGCATGAAGAAGAGCGTGATGAGAGCCTGTTTCGGACGCACGCTCCAATTCCATGCAGCCTTCCGCCGATGATTTGATATTCGACCAAGGGCTGAGTCGCTGACATCTGCTTTCTCTTCAGCATCTCCTCCGTCGTCCACCCCACCTTCCGACAACATTCGAACACTCACCACGCGAACGTCATACCGGACACAAGATTGCCCTCCTGTCGTGTTCAGAACGGCCTCCTTCCCATAGGAGCGCAACAACGAGCTCGGTAAAACGATAGCAGCACGGCCGACGGCGACACCCAGCGGCTTGCACGAGCTTCCGCAGCACTGGCTCGCTGTCGAAGAGTAGCACGAGATCATTGCTGACAAACAGTGTCACATTGCATGAAAACGTCCGAGGAATGCCTGCAGCTTGTGAGTGTCCCTACGCCTCCTGCTCCTGCCTGCCCTCATACTCGGCTTATGGCGGCGCATGGCATTGCCTAATATTGAACGATGCTAACATGGCCGGGTACAGCCTCCCAAGAGAACCTCACTGTCTTTCCACCCTTCGAACACCACAGGCGTGACTCCCCGCTCGAGCTCGGCCTGGGCCGTGAATCGCCATCTTCGGACATGACTTCGCCTTTCATCAAGAGCGAACCTTCCGACTACAACAACTTCGACCCCAACCAATACATGCAATTCGACGGTCATCACTCTAACAACAACATGTCCAACCCAAGCGGCAACATGAACGTGAACCCTGCAAACCTAACCAACGGCAACAACGCCTTCATGTCTTCGAGCTTCATTGCCGATGATGAGCTCCTCGACCTCCACATCGACCAGGCCCCAGCACCCAATGGCCACCATTTCGACTTCGGCTCGGGCATGAGCAATTTCATGAACCAGCAGCAGATGTCGCAGCAAAGCCCAGGCGTGTTTTCAAACGCCGGTGAACATGGCTCCATGGCATCGCCTTTTTCGGGCGACTTCAACAACTATAACCAGTTCCGCTCGGGATCCGGCCAGCAGTTCGGCGCACACAGCCTACCGCAGCAGCAGCAGACGGGATTTCGGCCTCACATGCAACACATCGACCGCAAGGTGTCTGACTCACGGTCACCTGCCACACCGAACACGCCTAGCATGAACCATTTGAATATTGACGATTACACCCACCCAGGTATGCAGGCCATCCAACACAGAGCGCATAACTCACTCGGCAACGGTTGGGAGAGTACACCAAGTGGACACAGCTGGGATCAGTCCTCTCCATATCCATCTCCCCAAAACGGCCAACCCGTGCACGCTCAAATCTCGGAGGTTCTGAAGAACAACACACACCATCACAAGGTCGCATCCTCACTGCCGACAAAGATGGAGCCTGGCACTGGCCCCAACTTCGGCAACCCCGCACAGGACGCCAAGAAGAAACGGCGTCGTGAATCGCACAACATGGTCGAGCGCCGACGGCGCGACAACATCAATGAGCGTATTCACGATCTTGGAACGCTCGTTCCTCAGCACCGACTCGAGGACGAAAAGGTGCGAAAGCATCTCCAGACCAATGCGCCACTGTCGCCCTCGATTGCCAATGCGGCGAGCATGTCCCCTCCAAACGCCGCGGCTTCGTTGCTCGGCGCATCAAGTAGACGAACTGGCTCCGGGAACATCACGCAGGGAATTCCAATGGAGGACAAAGACAAAGGCCCAAACAAGGGTGACATTCTCAATGGGTCGGTTGCGTGGACTCGGGATATGATGTGGTTCATGCATATGAAGCTCCACCAGGAGCAAGAGGTCAAAGAACTTGTGTCACGCCTGGGCGGCACTTGGCCTTTCGAAGTCACCGATGAGGAGAAGCGCATGCGATCAGAAATCTTGGAAGTCCTCAACAAGCACACAACCGAAGCCGGCTTCTCCGGTTTCACGGGCTACTCCCGTGCTCCGGGTTCTGGTCTTCGCGTCCCTGGCTTCACCAACGTCGCCGGCGACAGTACCAACGACGGCCAGTCACTGAACGGTGTCTCACTCCCTCCGATCAGCCCTGGATTTCAACCAGGCGGCAGCGGCATGAGCAGCGGCATGTCTCACCACGCACCCAATCAGTTCTGGGCCACCGACCTCAAGGAGGAGGAGGATTACGAGCTGATGCAGTAGAACTGTTCCAGCAATCCTCCAGTTCCAAACCTGGACTTTTAGTCTCCGGCCTCTCCAGATCGACAGCTCTGCGATAAGTCATACCAGAATGGCTCGAGCACCTGTACCAGATCACACTTCTGGAATCCCTTGCATCACAAATACCCGATATTCGGCATCGATTCCTCCACAAGTATCAGTTTGACACGGCCGAACACAAATCTCCACCTTTTCTCTACAGACTCTTTCGACATTTACAAGCGGCGTTCGGATAGGCCTCGGAGTACAGGTCTGCTTTGCTGCTATGATACCACTGATTTTGATTACGGCTCCTGCTTTCTGCGGATCACTCTCACTGCGTTGCATTTGATGGGCATTGGGGGAATGCGGCGAATCTAGGCGAAGGACGGATTGTTTCGATTTCCAGTTGCATGTACGCATGCATGCACGCTTTCTTTCACTCACGATGAGATTTGTCACGACGATGATTTTTGTTTGACGAAACACATGTTTTGATGCTTCGATGCATGGGGGWCTGGCCTGGCATGGCGGGAACTTCAGATACCTTACTTGTCCAGAGATACTGAGCGAGATATGTCCATTCTCCATCCGAGATGGCCAACATAATATACATCAGACATGCTTCTCTCCCTTTCACACCTCGTCTGTGCCTCTTCCTTGGCTTCGGTACAAGCTGGAAGATGCACGAGCTTCACACGAAACATTCGTTCCCGCGACAACCTCGACGCTCAATAAGTGAGTCCACTGGCGACATCAATTTGCCACATTGCCAGTGCTGCAGCAAGCCTAAGACTCATGTCTGAGCCACTAAGCCCTGCTGCACCGTCACTGACATGATGTTCAATCCCTTGCCTGAGCAGCAGCAAGACATGCATGCGTTGCTCTACCCGGTCACTGGTATCGAGGGGCGGTACCAGCACTCCGGCGTGTACCGAAACACGGTCTGCTTTGAACCATGGAATTCCAAATAGATTGCACCCTGCAGCATCGAGATAAGCCTCTGTCATTGTCCCTTGCAGGTGGTGCGAACAGGGTACAGCAGCTTTCAAGGCGGCTGTCATGTAGCTCTTGTCCGATGGGGGTGGTACGCCCTCCGTGTACGTTGCACTACTTTGTGGTCTTTTGTTCATTCTTTCCTGCCGCTTCGGTACTCGATTGTGCTGCGGCACCTGTCGATGCATCGGCTGTGGGGTCTTCGYCGTATCCTAGATTCTTCATTGAATCGGGTGCCATGAGATTTCTGATCTTGTTAGTTGTTGGTTGTGGTATGGTCCTACAAGGCAGTGGTACCTTTCCATTCTACATTGCAGATAGCTCTTGCTCAATTGTCGACACTCGTCGTCGTTGACTCCTCTTTTAGTGCGTAGACATTTGAGGTATAACTTCATGATGGGTTGACATTCGGCTTCGTGGTCCAGAGGGAATGATCCTCGTTCTGGTGGAATAGGCTTTGAAGTGATTTGGCGTCCGCCGGGGCTACCAAAGGTCGACATTGTGGTTCGCTTGATGGAAGGTGGTGTTGGAAGGCGAAGGTCTACGGCAACTGGAAGTCTGTCGCACAGCGCTTGCGATCACTGCAGATCCGGAGATCGGCTCGGAGTTAGCGCGAGCAGGCCCCAACATCATGTCGCAGGTTCAGCTCGACGATGCRCAATAATGCCTTACTTTAGACTTTTCGTAGAGGGAATGAGTGCTGGTTGAAATGGGGCCCACACAGCTGCCTTCAAAGGGATGACATGGAAAGATCAAAGTCTCTTCTGTTGATTGTGCATAATATCAAGATGGAAGTCATGCTGATTTTGAGCAGAGTGCTGCCTTCATGGCGAACAGTCAAAGACTCATCATGCAATTTTCTTCGCCTGCCAATAGCCCTATGACTGCGAAGAAGACCATGTTCATTTCTCCTTCGCTTCTGCACCCCCAAAATACGCCTCAATGGTTTGCTCAAGCCAGACGTCCTCGACTGCTTCAATGCTTCAAGAAAGGTCCATCYCCCACTTCCCATAATGCTCGCCACCTAAGGAGCTCTTCACTCCAGAACCAAATCTGCTTCAGCGAACTGTGTTCCTGATCTTGGCCGCCTCGGCACTGCCCAATAGCTTCGTCGCAAAGATGGCGTGTGGCAGGTATTGTCTGACATTGATGTACTGGAAATCAATCTTGGCTCCTTTCTTGGTAGGGTGCACCGAACGGTTCAACCAACGTTGAAGTTCAGTCACATTGAGAGTCGCAGGCGGGAACTGCAGCGAGATGCGCAAAGTCTGCGAGGCGTTCACAGAGGTCATCCGCTGGAGCTCGATGTCGGAGCGGCGGTTCAAAAAGGTGATCACATGGCCAAAGGAAAAGCCCACAACCGATGTCTCGATGACTGGGACCGATGTGATCAAGACGCTGTCACACTGTCAGAATAGTCGCACAGTGCTGGAAGAGGGGGACAAACCCCAAGAATTCATCGCGAACTTGCTTGCTCACACGAGGCAGCACCGAAGTGCTGGACAACACGCGCAGGCTCGAATTGCGGGACAGTTTTGCCACTGGGTGGTCCTCCAGGACCATCTATCGAATCGTCAATTGTTTGTTGTGCCCCGCGCAGCTGAAGTGGAGGAAACATACCTTGTAGACGACATTGCGAAGTTCCGGAGCGAGGTCCATGAGGCGGAAATGTTTGGGAGACTTCTTCGACGGCATGACCTTGCGCACCTTCTTTGCTGGTGGTGCCTGGACTGAATCCTCTTCCGAATCTGTATCCTCGCCGAGACGTGGTGATGGCTGGTCCATCTTCGACTTGCGCAGACTGCGCGTGAGCGGCGCTTTGCGCTTCGGTGGTGCCACGATGGGCAACACGATGGTGTGGTGTTTGAAGATGTCAGTGATGTGGAGTTGAGAAGTGAAGAAAGCTGGCGAAGGGTTCAGAATACGTCAAGCTAGCGGTTAGCGTCATTGTTAGCTTTGGATTTCATTCACTTGGAATTCCTGAACCGATAAAAACGATTCACTGTGCTGACGATCCTGCGCACCCCACAACTTGGACCCCATCTCCAGCAGTGAATGGTGTGGGTCAGTGAAGCAGTCTCTCTAGACTTTCACCCCATTTGCTCACCAACTCACATCCGCGGCTCGCTTCGGGTGTGCGTCAGCAGGAGGCTGCACCTGCGCTGCGTCAGGAACTCGCACGCACAAAATGATACGAAAGATGTTGCGCCGGTCCCAATCCCGTGGTTGAGCCAACGAGCGGGTGCTTCATTACGTTGAATCAAGTACTGTTGGCCATACCCTGCAGAACACTGACTGTTTCGGGGCTCGATGTGTTGCAGTCCTGCACAAGCGCGTTCTGAAGATATAGGGCCTGAAAGATGTGAACATTCTGAGATGTACCAGTCGCATTATTTCATTCGTCTCTCATTTCTACCAGCTGCCTACCTATTCCCACGCGACTACGCCCGGTATCCCCTCCTTGCTAGCTGGAGAACAGGTTTCTAATTCTGACGGCATGCCCTGCCAGCGTTTAAGCCTTCCCATTTGCGCCATTAGCAAAGTCATCTGAACCACCTTGCACCTTGCCATGTGCGCCAATCGAAATTCAAGGTTGCGTCATCATTGAGAAGAGGGCTACAAAGCCGAGAAGACGAAGAGCTGTTCAATGYTAATATTCTATCCCTCTTATGGGGAAGGAATGTATGGATTTACTCACGTTGTTTGTGGCAGCAATGGCAATGCTGTCCTCCTGTGGATGCCAACTCATGTGAAGAATTTTCTTGTTGAAGTCGATCTGGTCCGCGTCGGTCTCCTTGCGCATCCGCTGCGCGCCTCCCGCTGGACTATTCGCACGAGATCCCTTCTTCCCATCCTTACCGCCTGGGCTGGTGGCGCTGTTCATGGGCGTCGGGATGCCAACCTTCTTCGCCTTGAAGGCACTCTTGTCGGCTTGTAGCACCACTTCAGTATCCTTGCCCTCTTCTGAGGGATAGATCATAAAGTTGTTATTGTACGAGCCAGTCATGACGTTCTTGGCATCACCAGAGAAGACCACTTCGAATTTGTCGAAGATGCTGTCATTCTCGTACGTGTCGCAAAGTCGCGGTCGCAGGTGCTCATGGATCGGAATTGTCTTGACCGGCTGCCGCTCCATGTTGACGTCCCAGATCTTTACGGTGAGGTAGTCTCGTGAGAGTATGTACCGACCGTCATGTGAGAAACGCACATCCGAGATGGAGGAGATGATTTCGGAGAAGAAGGAGCGAGAAGAGGGATCTTCCTCTTGTTCAAACTCTGAGAATGGTGTCAGTAAAGATCTTGGGGCTGGTGAAAGGACAACCTACGTTTTGCGTGTTCATCACACAGAGCCTTTTGTCGCATGTCCGCAAGCTTAATGGTKCCCTTGCTAGATGCGTACATGAACCAGTTGCAACTTTGAGGGTGGAACTCGGCCGCTGTGATGACCTCTGTGAGCTCTTCCATGTTGGCCGGCTTAATATCGACGATGTTGAAGCTTTGATCCTGGATGTTGAGGTTCCACAGATTTATCCGTAGGTCATCAGAGCTAATAAATGTCTCTCCATCACTGTTCACAGAGATGCTGTTGATGTGATAGGCGTGTGCGTTGGCGTATGTTCTCCGGGGTACCGCCGCAACGACGGTGTCGTGGTGTGTCAATCGCGGAAACTTCAGGTCAGCCACGCTGCGGAAGTTGTGGTGGGGATAGCGGACAGGACCACCTCCATTCGCTCCTCCGGTGCCTGCAGGGGTAAGCTCCGAGGAGAGATTGTTCTCGGCCACAACCTTGAGCGACTTTTCAAACACTTTCCACAGCTTGATCGTCTTGTCGTTGGTGGAGAGCAGATAATGCGAGGCATTTTGTCGGCGACACCATTTGATCTTATTGATCTTCTCTTCAATCTCCAGCGATTTCAGGTAGTCAAATTCAGGCTCATGCGATTGAAACTCGGTGTGGAACTTGTATTCGCAGGTCTTCTTGGTCTCGTTGCGCTCGAACAGTACCACACGTCCGCCCTTGTCGCCGGTGGCTAGGTAATTCCCGGTCTGGTCAAACTCGACGGTTGATATTATATCCGCTTCCGTAATGTCCTCGACGTCGCCCTTGTCACCAAAGCACCTGCGGAGGATAGTGTCAGTATCGGAAAAGCGGTTCTTGGCGGGAAAGCAGCCGTGCGAGCAGGACGCCAATGGTGTGGTACGTTGGGCACAGCGGAAGGGGTGCTCTTCATGGGACGCAAGGTGCCGTCCGCCAACCGAACCCAAGCAGTCGCCTTTCTGCAACTCTGTGCGGCCGGGACAGAGAAGACGAGGAGGTAACGTACTGTGTGAACTTCCAAGTCGGCTGGGTGCCACCTTCCCCAGCGTCCACCATCTTCCCAATTGACTGTGCCGGTGGAGTATCCCTCGCGCCGACAGACTCTCTTCTCTGCGCAATGCTTTTTGACTGGTGGTGTCGAGTTCCAGACAGCCAGACCCGCGGCCGTATTAGATATGGGGGGTAGGGTGTTTGGGATGTTGGGCGTATTGAAGGTCAAGGTGGGGTGGGACTCGGTGTGTGACGGCGGGCGGCGGAGGTGATGTCGGTGGAGACTGCGCGGACCGTAAGTGTCGGCGCAGAAGCTGGGTTTCTACGCGCACAGACTGTACCGACGCTATTAGCAAGGTGTGATGCGTTGCGACAAGCTGATGACTTGACGCGTGATGTTCCAAGGTTGTTCAACTTGTTCGGATGGGCCGCTCGATGATCTCAAAGCCCAGATCGACTAGACAAAGACCAGCGCTTGGCGCTCTCGTTACAATGCAAGAACGTGAAGGAACAACATTGAAACGGCCAGACAAAGCACTCAAACGTCTTGGAATTGAATAGAATTTACACAACAATCATCGTGAAGGTCTGGAGCTTTACTGCGCGGTCTGCTGGCCATACCACCAGCCAAGTCCATCAAAAACCCCCGCGTGACATTCCAACAGGCATCCCTTTCCAAACGCCATCATTCCAAAAATGGTCCAAACGCCTTCTTTCACCCGAGAACACTCAATCAACTTCGCAGCTGTGTGAGCAAGTCGCACAATGGGCTTCAGATCACTACTACCGCCCACTGTGGCTGTTCCGCATGGATTGTTTCCAGCCAGAGAGGCGATTTTGGTGATAGTTGCGATCGCCGGGGCCCATCACAAAGTCCATGTTCGGGTCCCGCGTCGYCGCTCGCGACGGGTGTTGGAGCTCATATGTTCCGAGTGAGGCTTTGGAGCTCCATGCTTCGTAGGATGTTCGATCGTCAAGGAAATCCGACACTTTTTCCTTCCGCTTCCTGCAACATCTGCATCCGCATAGAACTGCGAATGCTGCCGCAATTCCAATGATCGCAACGACCACTACGATGACAATTGAAGCGATGATCGGGGCGCTGATCTGGTCTGAARTCTCGCCAGCACCACCTATGGTTGGACTTGACGACATGCCGAGTCTGTGTATGTGTAGAGTATTGTGTCTTGCTGGTGTCTTCGTGCCTCGGTCTGCTGCCTTTGCGCTCCCGACTATGTCCCGCGTAGTCGGCTCGGTATTCGTCGAATAACGTCGGATCGGTTGGTAGCTTGTCTAGGCCGAGTGCCCGTTTAGAAGGTGAGGGCGGATGGCCGTCCTGTAAATGCACCGCACGAGAATAGGTATGATGTAGCGAACTCCTCGTGTTTCAAGACGAATCGTTGAAACGAATGTTGGCAACGGGTGTAGCTGTCGAGCTGTGGAATAGTAGAGTAAGGGAGAGGATGCGAAGGAGCTTCGCGGTCAGTTGTGGAAAGGAATGTGATGGAGAGAAACAGAGGGGGAAGGGCTGCAGAGAGAGTCCCCGGGCAGCGAAAGAGATATGCACTTAACTTACGCCTGGCGCGACGAAGGACACCCTGCGAAGCCATCGTCGAAAGGCTAAGCTCGTAATCGCCGCGTGCCTGTCTGCGATCGTCGCTCAGCCCCCTGAGACGACAAGAGTAATGGACCAATGACGGCGGAGCCAAGATCACGACACGGGAGGTGGAACCCCGCGCTTTTCTGTCCTTCTTCGGATGAACAGTTTTGTTCATCAGCTTGACCCACACATCGTTTCAAACTACACGCATGCCTGAAGATGACGGCATACCATTGACACATGGTGATTGAGAAGCGGCAACCAGGGGAAACGATACCCCTGCCTCTTTGCGCGCGATCACAAGCCTTTTTGCACAGAAGAAGGGACGTGCTTGAATAAGGTATGCGGAATCGATCGGCGGTAGGGGTCATAATAAGCTCAGCTGGGCCATCTGCATCTGCATCTGCATCTCTTTGTGAGCGCCGCTTCTGGAACAACCACAACTCGAACCTCACCACACTTCGGCTCCGCAAACATGTCGGACATTGCTATGAAGAACGAGGTGAAGCCGGAGATCAAGCAGGATGGCGGCTCGCCGTCCAAGCTCGATAGCATCGAAGCCTTTGAGGATGATCACGACCTGCACATTCCACCCACAGACCCACCCATACCGGCATGGCTGGTGAAGCTATCGCAGGATCACTGGAAGGCATGGAACGACATACATGCAAACGCACCCTACGGGCAGAGAATCGAAGTGGGCATGATGCGCGTGTACGACACCAAGCCCGGCGAGCAGGAGAAAGTACAAATCCGCCTCAACGATATCCACCCGCAGCATCGCGCACTGCCCAAAGTGTACAACCTCGACATCAAGAACACCGGCCATAAGAATACGATTGTCTTTAGCGAGAAGGATCTGCCAGGCCACCGCTCCGCCCCATTCGGCAGCACGCGCACACAAAACCACCTTCCCGCCGGGAAGCCCACCGGCATTCCCTCAAAGGGCGACCGCTATGGTCCGAAGAAGCCGGGTTCATATCGCACCGCAATCCCCAAACAGACCGCACTGGCGCCGCCCATCGCACATGAAGCCGTGGCAAACCCCGTGGACGACGACTCCTCCCTCGACTTCTTCAAGCAATCCTACACTGCCGCCCTCAACGGAGCCAACAAGGCCACGTTTTCCAACTCTGTGCGCGGAATCTCATGGCATCCTGGCTCTGTTGGCCCTAACTTGGCCTTCGGCACCATGACATCCAAGCCGGGCAAGAGCAAGAACAACAAGAAGCCGGTCAAGGACAAGGCTGTACGCATGGAGAAGGTGCAGCTGCTGGACGCCATTCAGAATTGCTTCCGCGAGTATCAGTACTGGTCTTCAAAAGCATTGCGTACGCGTTTACAACAACCCGAGGCGTATATCAAAGAAACGCTCGAGGAGATTGCCGTGCTTGTCAAGAGCGGTGATTTCGTGTCGACCTACAAGCTCAAGCCAGACTACCAGAGACTCAATGACTTGCAGGCTGGTGCCGTCAAGGATGAGATGGCGCCTGTTGAAGACTCGGACGATGGCACAGGCGATGAATTGGGCGACGACGACGATGACATGGGTTTCGAGGACGTGGAGATGAAGTCCCAGTAGGGTTGCCTCCCGTGGGATTGATGGTAGAGTGGGTATTGGTAACGACGGCCGAGAAGCGATCAGACGATCTTAATTGCGGGATAGAATTTGAATGATACCCATGATGAGCGTTGATTGTGCACAGCGGATGTTTCCATCTCACTGCACATCTACTCTGGTTTGTCGCCGCTCCTCGCGCGTACCTTGTAGATGTCACGTCTGAAGATATGCTTCAGACTATCAATGGTTTCTGCGTCCATTGGGAGCGCGGTCTGAATGGCACCAAGACCACAAATGTCGTTCTTACGATCAATGAACCACGTCAAAGTCATACCGCCTCCCCAGGACAGCGTACGATCACCATACCACCCTTCAGCATCCTGACGTGTGAGCACGCCACCYAGCCCGTGCCCCGTCTTCGTCCCCGGAGCGACTCCATTGCGGAACATGAAGCCAAGTGGCCCAGCGAGAGCTTCCTGGTGCACAGCGGTAGCTTCTGGAGTGAGGTGATGCTCAAACATGTCGTTGACGGTGGAAGTCTTCAAAAGCTTCCCATCATTGGCAAGTAGGGAATGGAGAATTTTCATATAGTCGGGACCCGGCATGAACAGACCTTGGCCTCCAAAATCGCCTTTGGTGTTTTTGTTGATGTCGGCGCTCCCGCCGAGAACTGCCGCACCCAAGCCTTCTGAATCATCGGGATTCAAGTCTACGAGCCTCGCGCGAAGATCTTCTCGTGTCACCGGGGTGAATTGAGCATCTTTGATGCCCAAGGGAGACAAGATCCTCTCTTGGAAGTATTCTCCGAGAGTTTTGCCCGCTACACGCTCGATTATACGACCGGCATAATCTAGTCCCGGGCCATACATCCAACCGCTTCCAGGCTGGAAGGTGAGAGGGTAGTCGAAATGGTCTTCCACGGTCTTGTTCGAGCTGTCACTTGAGTTCTCTGGGAGCGCGAGCCATTGGCCTATGAGCGGGTGCATGAAAGAATATGCCATTCCATTGCTGTGCGTGAGAAGCATCTCTAGATTCATTGGGGTCTTCTGTAGTTCCAACACCGGTGTCTTGCCGTCCTCTGAAAATCCCGTGAGGACCTTCTTTGCGGCAAGCTCTGGTGCAATCTTTAAGAGGTCGCCTTTTAGGGACAGTTTCCCAGCTTCGACGCATTGGAGCGCGGCGATTGTCGTGATTAGTTTTGTGGCGGATGCGAGGAAGAGAACATCGTCGAGTTGTAAATCCTTCTTCTCGCCGGATAGCAGGGTGCGTTGACCGAGTGCCTTTTGGTAGACAAAGTCGCCTTTCGCATCTGTAGCGCATATGATAGCACCGTTTATCTTGCCAGCATCGAGGGCTGCTTGGAAGGCGGTCTTGATGTCTTGCTCGGCCATGGTCATGAAAGTCGCAGGTGTTGCAGTGTCTGGTCGTTGGAAGAGATGGGTGGGATATATAGACACCCGCTGTCGTGGTCCACTTTCCGACTGAGCGGGTTTGAGTAAATTTAACGTCTCCGCGGCGTTCTTGCATGTGGCTGCAATGTTGTACTTCGCGCCCTTTCGCACAGCCGCTGAGCTAGTATTTAGTTTACCAACGCGCTGATCACGGATAGCAGATGCCAAGAATATCGTCTGTTTTTCTGCATTATTGCATACACAGAAAATGAGCGATGGAGAGAAGAACAACTCCCATCTACTCTGATGGTAGCACATCGCTCTCCACAGTTGTCAGCGTCTTGTCCTGCCGGTGCCCTTTCCAGCCTGTCCCGGCTTGGACAAACACCATCAGTACTGCCACTCCAGCCATAGCCAACCAAAGAACCTTGAGCGATTCTTCGTAACTTGTCACCGCAATTTCACGCTCCTTGCCGCTGAGTGATGCTACCAATGCCGGAGAGCCTAGGAGCTTTCGTACGAGGGCGTCGTTCGTAATTCCACGCTCGGCGAAATGAGTAGTGAGTCTGTCATTGAGAGTCCTCGTGAAGAGTCCGCCGCCAATGGCAGAACCGAATGAACCTGCGAAGCCGCGAAAAGTGGCCAACAATGCGGTTGCAACGTAGTGCGTCTCTTTCGGCGTGAGGTGAAGGACGTGGGCCCTAAGCCGAATCAGTACATTGCTYTTAGAATCTAAGACAGGGGGTACGCTTGAACGGGCATGTGGAGTTGGTATCACTTACATTCCGTAATTCAAAGCCGCTCCAGTGACAAGACCGCTGAGAAATAGAACTGCAATGAACAACACCGTGGACGAATCGCCTCTCGTCAATAAAGCAAGCAGAAGGAGCGTTATCGGGAACAGTGCATATGTGATCAAAGTCGGAAGATAGAAGCTTCCTTGACGGCGAATGTGCACCCAACCGATCAATAGTCCGCCGACAGCAAAGCCCAGGTTGGTCGGAATCAGCAGGCCGCCTGCTGACGACGGAGCCCATTGTTTTATGGCTATGGCATATGTTGGCGTGAAGAATAATACACTCCAACGTGACATCATGAAGCCGACCGTGCCGAGACAGCTCAGGAGGAGTCCCCGTGATCTCAGGAGCGATATTGGTATGACAGGATCCGACGCAAGGTAGACTTCGTTGAGTATGAATGTCGCTGCGGTGAGGAGAGCCAGAAGGAGAGGAAGGATCGGAATCTTTTTTGGAGCCGACAAGGCGTACAAGAGAAGGACAAGAGTCGTGGTCAACGTCAAGGCGCCAAGATAGTCAAGGCAACGAAGACGATGCCATGTACTTTTACTCGAGGAAACAGTACTGCTGGAGGTGAACGACGCCGGAATGGTGAAATAAAGAGCRGACCCAGCGACCAAAGCCAAAGGGCTTTGCATCCAGAAGAGACTTCGCCAACCAGTGATTGGCAGAAGTGCGCCTGCAGCAAAGGCGCCGATTGCAACGCCGATGGTATAACCAGAGTTTAGAAGCCCGATACCCAACCCTCTTCGCTGTGCTCCTGTGAGTTCCAGTACGATGATGATCGATACCGTAAAGACACCCGAAGCACCAACACCAGCAACAGCCCTCCCAACAATGAATGCTTCGAAAGTGCGTGCAAATGCAGATAGCAAAGACCCAATGGCCATGATCACCGCAGAGACGAGGATGCAATGCCTTGGCGAGAACACGGAACTCAGCTTTCCCATCAACGGGCCCAGAGCTGACATTGGGATCAAATAGGCTGAGGTGAACCATGAGGTCTTCTCGAACGCATCGAGATCATTGGCAATGACACTTTGAGTGGTTGTGAGAAGGCTGATGTTTACCGCCTGTAGGAATATCAGACAACCTAAGAAGAATGCGGCGCTGATTGCACGCGTGCGGGAGAGCGACTGGTTCGCTGCAATATGGCCATCGTCCGAGGTCTCAGTTGGGTTCGAGGCTGTGGACTGGTATCCTCCATTGCTTTCTGTTCCTGGAATTGCTACACCTAGATCTGGCGACAGAAGAGCGCTTGTTTCGGTGACATGTCGTTCATCCGAGTGATGATGTGGCGGAGATAAAGGGCCCGACATGCACGGCCAAGTTGAAAGCGAAACTTTGAGTGGCAAGAGGTCTTTCTGCTCAAGGCGCCAATTTTGACAGTTTCAAAGATCAAGTCAATCGCTTGCAGTGCGCAACGTTTGAGAGGGAAAGAATTGCGTACGTGAGAGTCGATACCATGATGACATTATCTGTGCAGGGTCGTCGAGTGATAACTAATGATTGTTTAGATTTGTGCCTGATTATCAATCCAGAATGAACAGCATTGACCGTAATGCGATCTCAGCCACATCCCACGCTAGTCCTCGCGACATCATCGAGTCTGTTGTGACATTGATGCCATCAGTCTTTCACTTCACGCAATTATCTGAACCAATCGCGTAGGATCAGCAGATGTCGTCCAGGTATCTCTTGTCCGCTGTGAACGCGAGATGGTGTACGATCGACATTCGGGGAAGGTTGCTGCCGCCAGAGAGAGTTTGCGGGGATTCTTCTTCCACGCTCCTCGTGGCGAAGGCTCCAGGCGATCGGGTCTGCAACGTGAGATGTCCACGGTAGGGATCAGCTGGAGCTCCGCAAAGAGTTCGAACGAGCTTTCTCCATACTGTATGCTGCTGGTGACGCGGGCTAGCTTTCGGTCAAGCCTGTGGAAGGCTGTCCTTTTAGCCAATGTGCCTGACATCCAAACGACCTCATCATGGAAAAGCAGGCTCAATGTCGGAATCGTTGGCGGTAGTATCGTAGGCAATGCACTCGACTCTGCTAGAAGCCTTCGTAAGGTAGCTATCGTAATCCGAGCGAATGGTAAAGCACACTTCTTCAGAACATTCCCACTTCGGAAGTGCCCAGTCCTTGTGATTACTAGGTATACACAGCTTTTCGCGTCCCTCCCTACAACCGTTCCATCATCAACCTGAAGTATGGAATGTCCTCTGCAGCTCCGAAGATTTCTTCCACCATGTCTGCGCCTTCTCTCTCCTCGTCTATAAACTCCCATAGATTCAAAAGTGATGAGTGTAGGAAAGAGGAGGGACGCGTTGGATATGACGATTGTTGCACCTTGAACAACAAAAAAGAAATACAACACGGGAAAAGGATCATCTGCTCGCTACTCGTGTAGAGTGAGATGTGATATGACAGGGTGGTTTGGGACAGGGGAGGTTTGGAATGAATGTGATACTCTGCTACGAGGTATGCCAGCATGAAAAGTAGACTCCGCATTTACACATACCGGATCCGTTGAAGTTGCTTAAAGTTTGGGGCTTGAGCTCTGAGCTGACCGTAAAGACTCACTGTTGGTATTGACCTTCCAGGATAGGATGTCGAACATTCGACGTCAGAGACTTTCCCCATATAGTACATTTGTAGATATGGTACATCTTCGCTCCCCCTTTGTATCCTCTCCAAAATGACCTAGGGTTTCACTTCCTCGCTCTTCGCCTCGGGAGCAGCAGAGGAAGGAGCATCACCCTTCTCCTCGTCCTCCAGCATCATCCTCCTCCCCTCAACGGTAATGTACAGACTCCTCCCCACTCCCTCCAACGCATTTGTGACACCCGCTCCAACACCCTGCAGCATCGCCACCAACTGCGCTCTCAATCCATCTAGACCACCCTCAATTCCACCCACCCACTTCACGCCCTCGGCATCAAAGACCTTTCCTTCCACCCTTGCACCCAATAGCATCAGTTTCTGCAACCCTGCTTGCACCGCTGGTTCGAAATACCCGGGACTAGCCTTCCTCTTTGGCGCCGGGAAATCCGGTGCGCTTGGTGCCAGAATTTGAATGGCGGCTTTCAAATGGGCGGGACTCACAGCAGGCAGAGTCAAAAGCGCCAGCGGGCCGGAGAGAAGTGGCTCCAGGCCGTGATTGAGGGGCTGTTTCTTATTCGCAACATAATACGCCTTCCTCGAGAGACCATGTGTAAGTTTCGAAGTCGCCTGCGCTTTAGGGTTTCCGGCGGGATCTGTGGATTGCTGCATCGCTTCAAACTTGGGATCCCAGAACTCCACAATCTTCAACGCCGAGGCAAAAATGCCTGTCTGTACGACCTGTAGCTTCGTCTCTGAGCCAATATACTCTGTGTTCCCATTCTTGGCCAGTTCCTCGTCGACTTTTTTAAGCGCCGTAGCGAGTTCTCTACGAATACCAAYCCATTCGGTGGATTTGAGGTTGTTGTGTTGAAAGAGGAGGATTAGAGGAGATGCGCGGAGTACGGATTGATATTGTCTGTGGAGTTGGGTTTTGCGGAACTCTGGCGGTTTGTATGATGGCGGTTGGGTTGGAGGATAGCGCGTGAGCAGAGGCGCTGCTTTGAGGGAAGCGAGAGATGGCGCAGGTGTTGTGCTGAAGCGGCCGGCGTTGGAAGCGTGGCGGCATTGTATGCAGATGTATTGTGATGTTGATGGGATTGGTGATGGCGCAGGACAGAGGCTGATGCGCAGGCGGGGCGGCATGTTGGGCGGCAATGAAGCGAGAGCGCAGTCCGCGCGGGACAGGGCAGGTCGGAGACGACGGCGGTGGAGGTCGGTGAGCGTCTAAAGAAAGGTACCTGGTGCTTCGATGTCGGGTATCGATGAAGACCCCCGTCCTTCCTCCGCAATGCTTCAATCTCGAATTAAAGTTTCATGACCACCCCAGTTCGACATCCCTCCCTTTGCCCTTGTACGACTCACACTCGCAATTAAATCCACCTCACAAAGCAAAGCAACTTCCATCTCTCCCCGTTTCTTCTATAGAGCGTGCAGAAAGAGTGATAGACTGATACATTTCCTTCATCTGTCTCGTTTGTTATTTCATCTCAACCATTGGCATGTCGAACATCACTTCTCCGGCCCAAAATGGCCATGCTGCACAACAACAAGTCTCCATCTCGCCTTTGCTTAAGAGGCTGTCGACGTTAGAGTCTGCTCGGGGTGTCTCTTCCAAGGAAATTGCCGCCGCTGTCGCTCTCATCTTCACCGACAGCCTCTCCCCGGTGCAATTCGGTCTGCTATTGTGGGCATTGCACACCACCAATCTCGACCATTCCGCCGAGGTCCTCGCAGCATGCGCTTCCTCCATGCGAGTCAACGCTGCACAGGTCGATACTGCAAAGTTGCATAGTGTTGTCAAAAGAAAACACAAGGCGGAGGGAACTTATGCTGGAGGATTGGTACGACATTCTTCCTGCATTGTAAAGTTCAATTGCTGACGAAACGTCAATTTCAGTGCGACATAGTAGGAACAGGAGGTGACGGCCACAACACCTTCAACGTCAGTACCACATCCTCCATTATTTCCTCGGCCCTTCTCTTGATCGCAAAACACGGCAACAACTCTTCTACCTCCCTTTCGGGCTCTGCGGATCTCCTCCAAAATTGTCCCACACCTCCCATCATCGCAGCAACCACGGCCACGAACCTACCTCTCATCTACGAGAAATCCAACTACGCTTTCCTCTACGCTCGCGAATGGCATCCAGGCATGAAGTACAGCGCAGCCATTAGAAAGGAAGTCCCCGTCCGCACAATTTTCAATCTTCTTGGACCTCTTGCCAATCCAGTACATGATACGGGTTTGATAGAAGCCCGAATCCTGGGCGTTGCTCGACACGACATTGGCCAGAACTTCGCTGACGCTCTGCGTCTAAGCGGCGCGAAGAAAGCGTTGATTGTTTGTGGAGAAGAGGATCTAGACGAACTGTCCTGCGCAGGACCCACGCATTGCTGGTATCTTCATGATTCTCCTTCTGCATCCAAAAGCCAGGCGGAGATTGTCAAATTCATGCTCACGCCAGAGGACTTTGGCCTTCCTAGACATTCACTTGAGACAGTGCATGGCGGAAAGGGACCTGCTGAGAATGCGGAGATTTTGATGAGGATATTAAAGGGGGAGATGCCTGATGACGATCCTGTCTTCCATTTCGTGCTGCTGAACACGGCGGCGTTGATTACCTGCAGTGGAATTTGTGAGAGTGAGAGCAGTGCTATGGGAGAAGGAGATGATGGGATCGTGGTGAAGGAGAGGGGGCCCGGTGGATTGAGGTGGAAGGAAGGCTTGAGGAGAGCGAGATGGTGTGTGAAGAGTGGAGAGGCTTTGAGGCAGTGGAATGGATTCGTAGAGGTTACCAATGAGGTAAAGGCGTGATATGTGATGCATTGACTGAAGATGGAAAAGGCGAATGTAGATCTAGACTACCTTACTCTTGAAAACTTTCTGACATGCTTTTGAGAGAAAACGCTGCCTGTTGTATAGATATTTGCATACCTACATACATGTATGTATTCACGAAATGGATGAACATTGCGATGATGACGACGACATCCACGTGTGCGGTGGAGCTGGTTATCTCAACGGCAGAACCATGTAAATTTGATTCCCCTCTCGGCCGTTGATCGATGATGTCTGGTTTCCCCAGATCTACGCCCGTCTGCCGTTTACAATTGGTTTGATAGAAATGGCACCTGCTTCATCATGAGACAATGGCATAACATCCAGCTTTCCAGCTTYTCATGCCGGTCAAGGGCACAGACTGCCAATGCGTACCCTTTGCCGATATTTTCGCATCTTGTGCACGCAGCGGAATCCTGTCGTGTCGAGTTTATTAGCGCACCCAGACATTCTCCGATGGGTTCCGCGTCTCGATCTCGCGCATTGCGATTATCGGCAGACGATAGGAACTTCTTCAACTTGGATGAAGTTCGAAGTAGAGAGGCTACATGTTGCTCGCGTAGGCTGAATTCTGCGTAGTGGTTATTGTTAGCGCTGACCATGTACATAGACATGGTCTTCACGCACGGAGATGGCAGCCGCTTTTGTAAAAGTACGGTAGGGTAGATGATGTTGCTTTATTTGGGGTCGAATTTATAGTTGGGATGAAGAACCGTTGTTTCATATTTCCCACGCGAGATGCTTGGTGACCTTACCACGTTGATGTTAAACAGGACCTTGAGAACAAATAAAGACTCGTGCAGATTCGCGAGGAGTTGTGAGTGTGGAGAGATGATAACGAGAGTGTATATTCGAGTGGGTGAGATGAGGTTGTTTCATAGGCGCCGTGATGAGGTATCACACACTTGAGAGAAAGGTATGGGAGATTACCGCGGCTAAACATTGTTTGAAGGGACAGATGTCAACCACAGGCAAACGAGAAGTAAGCGGACATGGCAGTGGTTCAACACAACGACACCATGTGTGCGATCGAACGGAGCACAACGCTCTACTAGCAGGAGAATAATGTCATCGAACGTTGTGTTTGAGGGTGGATCGCATGCCGTGTCGAAATCAGACGTTAGTGCGATCCCGGAGGCAGCTTTAAATTCGTAGCGCGTGCAGTAGTGTCAGGGGCACGCAGCTGCAGGAGTGGGCCTCATCCCCCAAGCCAGGTCCATCTTTTGCGTAGCAGAGCTTCCAAGACTTCTCAACCAGTTTCAGTGCCAGTCGAGGTTGTTGGTTGTTCCATTTCGCGTGCTTTTTGTTGGAGAGAGAGGGAAGGACGGAAGAAAGAAAGACAGACTGTTGCTGGTCGGACACTCGTTTTAACATCACATCACCTTACATTCGCTTTCTGCCCTGCACCGTCGCTCCGACGCGTTTCGCGGCCCTCCTCCGCCCGGCTGACGGAAGGACAAGACATTTGATCCGCCGACAGGACAGGGACCATCGCTGCGGACTGCTGGACTGCCACGTTCTTTTCATTAATCGTCCCAGGAGACGACTGCCACTCGCTTGATTCACGCACCTGCCGCTGCCATTACTCACACCTGCCGACAAGAGTCGAGACCGGACGGAAAGAGAAAGAGGAGACACCCAGAGAAGAACCGGAACGGGAACGGGAACAGCAGGACCACAACACACACCACAACACCACAACACAACACATCCCGATTATATCCCTCGCGACTCATGCTTACATCCCGCACCATTCGCGACAACGAGCCTCCCCCGCGCGGCTACGCGCCAGACGATCGGTGAACAGCACCAACAAACAAACACCCTCCGCGCTGGGCTGGGCCACCGCACGAAACGAATAGCGCCGGCGCAGATGGAGGATTCACAGGAGACATTGAAGGCGCTGGGCGGCCACTGTTCAGCCATTGACAACGACACGCTTTACGTCCTCTCCGACTCAAAGTTCATATCACTACCCCTCAAAAAGAATGCCACGGCTACGGAGGAGGAAGCGCCTCCGCAGGCTGTCACCGACCCCGCGTGTGTGAAGGCGGGAGACGACTTCTTCGTCATCGGTGGAGGTGACACCCCGGAGGAGTACAGCGGACTGCAGCGGTACAGTTTCGCGGACAGCAAGTGGGAGATTTTGCCTCTACCGGTGGACGTGCTGCAAACGCGCACAAATCACAGCGTGGCTTATCTGGAGGACTCGAAGGAAATCCTGATCTATGCTGGCTCAACGGACAATGCGCCGAGTCTGCTCTCCTCTCAAACCTTTCTCCTCCAGACACAAACGCCGTACATTTTGCGGTCGTTTGTTTCATTCGCGCCACCTGCCACTCGACCTATATTACAGCCCTGGAACAGCACACATGCGGTCATGGTGGGTGGAGAGACCACCAACACTGGCGTGTGGCTTTTTGGACCCGAAGGATGGTCACAGTTCGGGACAAACTTGTCGGAACCGCTCGATCACAGTACTCGAGGTGTAGTGATTGACGGCAGCGACGGAAGCAGGGTTCTTCAGCTCTACGACATGAGCACGTCGCCAAACACTGTTTCGAATGTTGTGATGCTGAACGCTGGAGGCGAGGTCGCTCCATCTGGAACGACCGTCAACGGTACATCGTCATCCTCTAGGAAGAGGAAGCGCGACCTGACACTCGACARCTGGCCTTCATACAACAGCACGAATGCACCTACATCAACACGGACAGATTGCTCGCTCGCACAGAATGCAGATGGGCTTGTTGTCATGGCAGGCGGCAGTGAGCAGGAGCCTATCGTTCTATACAACCGCGAGAAGAATTCGTGGGTTGATCCCGATGACTTCTTCGGGGTAAAAGAGCAGATACCGCTCAAACCATCATCCACTACATCCTCTACATCGACAGCATCACGAACCGCCCAGCCAGAAGAGTCTACATCAGCAGCGCCTCCAGCAGGCATGAGCGCTCACGACAGAACGATGAGAACGCTGGGCATCACGCTCGGCGTCTTGTTTGGTATCGCCGCTCTTTTCATCATCGCATTACTCTTCCTCAGATGGCGGAAGTTGAAAGCGAGAAGGAAGGCAGGGTACCTCAAGGAGAAAAACGGGGGAGATGAAGCCAATCGCATGAGTTTTGCGGATCGAGGCGCTTCTTTCATGAAAGAGGCTGGAATGTCTACTGATGATCTTGCACCTCCCAACCGGGACTGGGCGCCGGGGAAAGACCACAACGCACATAGCTCGCTGGCCATCATCACCGGCAAGTACAATCCTTCGCGGAATGCCAACCACCAGCCCAAACACAGCTTTGAGAGCACCACGGCACTTGTTAAGAACAAGAACGGGACTGCGATGCCATCGGAGAAGTTTGAAATGATGGACATTGGTGACAAGTCATCGCAGCTGGCGGTGCCGGGCGCCGCGGTTCTCAAGGGCGGGTCGCTGGATCCCAACACTCGCGCGGAGAGGAAGCGATCATCAGGCTGGTCAAAGTATTTTGCTACCACTCAACCTACAGGACCAAACGGCACTTCACACATCCCATCCGTGTACGTCAAACCAGGAAATGAGCCTCACCGAGTATCAGACATCTCCGACGCGGAATCCCAGACGTCTCGCATGTCACCTTCAGTCCTCCCACCTCTCGACTTTGAGAAGATTGGCGAGGGACATCGATTGTCCAAAGTCGCCACTGGCTCGCCACACTATTTCAATTCCCAAGACGACTTCGCCAGTAGAGGAAGCATCGACGTCGCAGAAGGTCAGAGAGGACTGATCATTGATCCGAACGACTCTAGGAGATCTCTGGCAGCGACGAGCATATCTTCCTATGGCAATCGTTCCACGATTGATAGTACCGCTACCAGCGAGTATTACAATGAGAGCGGGCACACGCCATGGACGCCCATGAGCGGCACGCGGGACATGGGTCATGAGAGAAGAGCAAGTAGTGTTTACACCAACACAAATACTTATGAGAGGATGCCCAGTCGCGGAAAGTCTACAAATTTCTTCCCTGGTTCCGGGACGGCCTATACCAAACCTCTCAGACCGAAACTTGGACCGAGCGCGGCACAAGTTGAGGCTGAGGAGAGGATGGGACTGGCGATTCCCAAGGCTCCCTTCGCTGCCAAGGGTGGGGATTCGAGGGACAGTACGAGCAGTACTGTTACTGTCTTCCCAAGTGGGAAAGCCTTTGATGGAGAGGGTGACAATAAGGAAAATGAAAAGGTCAATACTGACATGAGCTGGGTCAAGCTCGGATGATTGACTCGAGGGGAAGAAGATGAAGGAGAACATTGAGATGGATGGATGGAACTCGCTCGCTGGCTTTCGGGCCCGACCTTTTTGTTGTTTTCGCCGACCGGGCAGGAACCGACACAACCAACCGATTACACGATGAAGAGATGATATGAATCAGCCGACACGCACGCACACACACAAACACACACACAACAACAACACAACACACACTACCCGCACGCACGCACGGTGCAGTGCTCGCACAGCAAGTTTTTTGGTCCTTTGCATTATACCATTCTGTGGAAGTGAGGGAAACAGGATCGCATGATTGATCGTGCTGGTGCCCTCTGCTGACCACTTCTATTTCYTCGATGGGGAGTAGTGTTTATTGTTCTATGATGAGAGGGGAGAGGGGAGAAGATACCATTGCCTGCTTTGAATTTTGCGGCTGAGCGTTTTTGTAGTGTGCGAGCGAGCCAGAGAGAGAGAGAGAGGAGGGACAGACAGAGAAATGGGTGTGGAAGGAGAGGGGAAAGAGAGGAGGAAAATGGAATATGGAGTAGGTTGGGAACCGGGAGTTGTACATATTGCTTAATGGATTGTACAGAATGATTTCTTCCCAATTCCTCATCGCATGTCGTGTGGTACTGACGACTTGCTGGTCGTATTCATTGTATCTGTGAGGAATGTTGAAAGTAGCATGTCGTTCCATGTAGGATACGACTCACTGCTCGCTAGGACGCCATTCAATGCAATGGCTCATGGATCATCATCGAGCCGGTACCTTTCTATCTGGGCCATCTAATGATTCTAATCCATATGGTTAGGGTTAGGTTAGTGGAAAATTGACAAGCCGGGAGATGTTCACCGAGTCGCTATCAACTATTGCCATGCTTTGAGATATATTATTGTGATGATCTTCGTGTAGTTGGATATTATGAGACAGGGTTGTGAAACTGTAGAAGTGATATGAATTAGGTAGGGGGTAGGATCATTGATTTTTTCGACAGCATGGAGTGGTTGATCAGGTTTGGTCGTTGGATGGAATGTATGTAAAGTGACGGTGTTTTAGTGGCGAGACCTTGCTGGAGCCGAATCATGAGAAGATAGGTACTCACAGCCTCGGAGGGAGTGGAAGCGATGTGGGTTTCCATGGCTGGCGGGATAATTTTGAGACTACATACTCGAGGGCGACGGCAATGAAGAACGCTGATGGTCACGCTGTGGATGGCTAGGAGTTTTCCTGTATCGACGAGCCAGATATGAGGCCATTGTACAAGATCGTAACGTCAATATCTACAGGGAAGCACTCGTCTCCTCGTGCATTAGAACATCGCTTGCACGCGATTGGCAAGATTCCTCCGTCATTCATTGCGCAAGAGGAGCCTCTCCCTTCTGTGCCTTGAGCTTCTCCTCAAACTTCGCAAATTCCTGAATGGCAATCTCCTCTTCCTGGTCCAAGACCTGCTGTACACCCTTGACCTCCTCAATGTAGTGCATCAACATACTCTCAATGCCGTTCTTCAGTGTCACGGTACTGCTATCGCATGTCCTGCACGCTCCACGTAGCTTCAACATGACCTGTCCGTCGTGGAAACCACGGAATTCAATGTCGCCGCCATCTTCTTGAATTGCGGGTCGGATCCGTGTGTCGAGGAGTTCTTGAATCATGCCTACGACTTCTTCATCTTCGGGATCGTACGTGGCTTCCACATCGCTGTTGGAGCTTCCCTGGCCAGCTTCCTCGCCGGACTTCGCCTCGACTGTGTTTACCATGGGCTGACCATTGGTCACCGCTTCAGTGATGAGGCTGAAGACCTCGGGTTTGACATGCGCCCAGTTGGTGTCGCTATTCTTGGTGACTGTAATGTAGTCTTTGCCGTAGAAGACGCTGGTCACTCCGTCGACGTTCATGAGTTGCGCCGCGAGTGGAGAGGGATGAGGAGGCGCGAGAGTGGAGCGCGGGGAAAGGTATTCGAGGAAGGTGGAGGGGAAGTTATCGGGTAGGACGGGKTGGTTGGGCATGAACTTGAGCGCATCGGCATTGGGTGTGTCTTCGGTCTGGATGAAGATTGTACGCTTGGCTRTTGTCGCAGGAATGGCGGAGCGGGATGTGAGTTGGCCATCCGGGTGGAGGGAGGGTCGCTGCTGTCCTCTCGACGCGGAGAGCGGGCTTGTTCGTGGCGCATTGCTGAAGCATCGTTGTGATGTGCTGGCGGTGGTATTGGTGGTGGCGGCGGCAGCTCTCCGTGATGGACGCAGGGCGGGACTGCTGAGCGCGTTTGCGACGCGGCGAACGGCGGATTTGGAAGACATGGTGAGGCGCAGGAGGAGGGTGGCGGAGAAGGATGTTGTTCTACAGAAGTCGAGGGCGGTTGACAGTACTTCTTTCCACGTCTTACATCATCGCGCTGTCGCTGGCGGGCATGCAGGGTATAGCACATGGAATCGCTCCGATAGGCCGCGTGCGGCGACATCATCTGTTCCTTCGTCCACGCACAATGTGTCTCTCTCTGCACAGTATTACATGGACCGCGGGATTCCTGCTGGATTGTCTGCCTTGGAGCTTATTCTCGATACGTGGCGTCCTCACGAGCGAGCTGCTGGATGGATGAAAAGAGATGGGCTGCACCGCGTTGTAGATGRACACTGGACATGGACATGAACATGGACATGAAGGTCGTCGGCCGTGACATTTGATCCGTGTTCAAGTCTCTACCTTGCTTGCTGCTCATGATACGCGACGCACGCTGTAGACCGACAGCAAGCTGCTAGCTGGCGTAGTGAACAAAATCATGGGCTACACTGGAGCGACGCTGCGACCGGATCAATTCACAAGTCGACGGTCGGCATCAACGTCGTCGCGAGAGTCACGATAGATATTCGCCGGCCTCTGTCGCAAACCTCTGCTCTTACTGCCTGGCATTCTTCTTCAAACCGACAGCAAGCTGTCGGACTGATGAAAAAAGGGAACAACACGACTTAGAGGGACGCTTCCGCGACCTCGTCACCAAAGCCATTCAAAAGCGCAAACGACTAGGCATGGCAGACATAACCCGTAGTACCGTCCCACGAGCCTCTAGGTTCCTACGGCGGTACCAGACCGTTTTTTTGCGTGTTGTTGAAGTTGTTGAAGTTCGAGTTGACGCGGGCAAAGCTGAAGTTTTATGCTGGATTGCCGAATGACAGAGATCGCGCAATCAGTATCAGGAATACAGCCAACTACGTGTCCCCAAGACATGGATGTGTCATAGCAGTCTGCCTCCCTCCCCATTGGCACGGTCTTCCGAAATCTGGCGGAGAGCGAGAAAATTTGGAGAGCAAGAAAGTTTGGGCGGCATCTGGCATGTGCGATATGCTCACGCAAGTAAAGACAAGGGCGGACTTCGACTATGTGAGATCTCCTCACCTCCAAACTGTCTCTAACAAGCCGACCATTCTTAGCCCTCTAGTACCCTGCAAAATAGCAGGGTGTTCCAAAATCTAGCGGAGATTGAGGATTCAAAGGGCGGAGACCTTCGATGTGAGCCTAGCTCACCTACTGGAAATGGCGCAAAGTGGGCTTGAAGTCCCTTCACCTACAACGATTCCCCACTATATTTGAAAGGACCCTGCTACTATAGGGGATCCTCGACGGCTGAAAGACGACAACTGCAAGGAGAGAGTGCGAGACTGTAACATGCCAAAAGGGGGCGGAACTCGACTGCTGCATTCCTAGGCGAAGCAAACTCACCCGAATTCCCATGCCCGAAAACGACCAAGGACAATGTCAACAATACCCAAGGACAATACCAACAATACCAAGGATAAAGGCAGAACCGCGGGATATAACGTATATAGATGAGTCCAAACTACCGTTCTCATCAATACACAGCAGTAATGCGGTGGCGGGGATGGTGGAGTTGGTTACCACGCTTCCTTATTCAAACTGAACTGAGTTGGTCTGGTTCGTAGAATCCTCACTCCTGCAAGCCTTGCTATTACTAACTGTGCATAAAAAGGCGTATGCTGGCTCAGCAAGGGGGGAAGAAGTCGTCTGTTCAAATCGGTAAGTTGACGAAAGGATATACGTACATGGGACATTATTGACAGTTTACAGGGCTCCCTGCGGTGCGATCTTTTTGCCCTTCTTTTGCTTTTCTTTTGCACTTTCTATTGTCCTTTTGTCTGTTCAATTCCCTTTTGATTCGTTCTTCCATTTCCCAAGGGGTGTGGGTCTTATTCGTGGTGTGGGGCTATATAGACTACCTATCCGTTTGGCAAGTCAGGCCCGAAACGCGGGCCGGAGTCTGTGACGAGTCTGTGCGTCTGTAGATCTCCAACCACTCGACTTCCTCCTGCAACAGCTCGGTTCCTTCCGACGTAGAACGGCCACGACGATACTCGATGATGCCTCACACGCAGAGCGATGAGATGACGTGGGCCCGCGGAGCTTCGCATGAGAATGAAACCAGCTCACATCCAGAGGTTGTTCGACGATGAACCATCCATGGATGGTAAGCTATCCATAATAAATCACCATCCAAAGAGTCGAGCAGCAAGCGTGGGCGGAAAGAGGACGCGAGTCGTTGAAGTCGTGCTTCGAGTTCCCCTTCAATCTTAAAAGCCCTGTTGATCTTATGGATTAGATGAGTCCACTCACGGAAATTCAATTGGGTTCCGCGATCGCCCCTCCGACTCTGTAAGGTTTACACTTGCGAGCAGAAGATCTGCGAATTGATAAAACCAAGCCCGACGCCTGTTTACAGCCGAGGGGCATCTCATTGTTTGTCTCATTGCTGTTGTCTACATTTATATACACTTTCACGGCAGGTTTTCCGTTGGAAGAAGGAGGAGCAAAACAACATACGACAGACGCCAGACCAGTTACATACCAAGACCCATTACATTGTTGGATAAATATCCCGCAGAATCGAAAAACAAACCCCACTCCAGACGAAATGGCATTCATGGCTCCCCGCCCACATGGCGGCTCTCTCGACGTAGCACTCCTGCGAAGCAAACTCGAAGCCCATCGAAGACAAACAGAGCTCGCAGTCGCAGAGCGAGAGAGGAGCTACGCGGTCAAAAAAGGCTTCTACCTCCCCAGAACGGCCGCGGCACACTTCACCATCACCACCACCCCAGCTCCATCACAACCTTACGAGCCGCAAAGACGTTCCTCACTCCCAGTCCTACCCACAACAACAAAACACCACAGCCTCACAGCCTCAAATCTACAAACCGTCCCAACGGAAACAAAAATCGAACCACGTCTCCATCAGATTGATTCCGCGCAGACAAGCCCTCCCCAAACTTCCTCAGGCCTTCCAAGCCCTCCCCCTAAAGAAACAACCACAGCAGCAACAACCACAGCAGCAGCAACAACAACAGCAGCAGCAGCACCACCTCCATTCTTCCCTTTCACCCGCCCCTCAAACACAACCCTCCACATGCAATCCCTCCGCCCCTCATCCTTCCACCCAGGAATCGGAATGCACGACCTCCCCTCGACAGCCACAGAAGATCGCCGCTCAACAGCAGCAGGAGGTTTCTTCATCGAAACGGAAATAGAGCGACGGAATTCCGAAACTCCAGTTACCACCACCACCACCAACAACGAAATGATACAACACGGTCGAAGATTCGAAGTTTTACAACGATACAACAACAACAATACCAACAACAACAACAACAACACCACCACCAATCGTCGTACAAATTGGACACAACATTCCCAAAATGGAGAAGTAGACAGCGTGACATTTTTCCATCATTCATCTTCAGCAGCACGCATGTCAGCACCACCTCCAGCATCTGCCATGAAGAAGCAGCGATTCATCCTTGCACAGGAGGAACAACAACAACAACAACAACCACACCCTGATCATCTCACAATAGCAGATGCCCTCAAAATGACGATTGAAAGTCCGCAAAAGACAAGTCGGAAACGAAACATTCGAGGCTTCTTCAAGAAGAGATAGTTTTTTCCTTGGTCACAAATACCAATACCATCAAATGAATGAATAATCAAACCAACCCTCTCATCTCATCTCATCTAATCCATACCACCTCAAACCCCACTCCCCTTCCTAGAAATCTCGCTCTTCTCATCAAGAGCCGCCAACCGTCTCCTTCTCTCATGCCTCCCAATAGCCTCCTCACAAGTGAGGAAATACACCCGAATCGCCTCATCCCATTCCGGCCCCAAAGTCTTGATATCCCTCCACAAAGGCCTCCCAGCCGCATTCGACTCCCAACAATCCACAAACAAGCGTCTCTCGCCTCGAATATCCATCGCCTTGATATTCCTTCCATCCCCAAACACAGGCTTCCCGACCCGTAATTGAAATTCCGTAAAAGGAGACTCGTATAACACTCTCGCGTGAATCCAATCCTCACTGCTGTCCTAGAATTTCTGGATGGATTTCGTCCAAGGTACCTCGAGCATTTGCGTCGCGTCTTCCCAGTAGCCATCTCTAGCCCCGACTCGTGCGAGGTATTCCATGCTGCGACCTTTATCCTTCACAAAGCGGACGTCTATGACGACGTGCTCCTCCATCGGGTCGTCTTCTTCGTCTTCGTCATCGTCGCCGCTGTCGTAGTAGTCGTCATGACCACCATTGTAGCCAAATTGTGGAAACGCATATCGAGGTTGCCCAAAACCATACTCTTCGTCCTGGAGACTACGAGCCAAAGCAGCATCTGCTTCATCCTGCAAGCGCCGCGCCAAAGCATCTCCACTCTCCTTTGTCACATCGTCAGGTCTCTTCAACGATCTTGGAAGGCCTTGGGATACATCAGAGCCAAAGGCTTCGGTTAGTTGTGCCTCAAGCGTATCGGTCTTCACCTGCTTAGAGACAGAAGACTTGTCCAACGACCGTCTCTTGGTGGGCGAGCCCGATCCTGGCTCCTCAGGCTTCCTCTTCAGACTCGGCGTCGACTCCTTCTCCGGCGCCGCATTCCGCATCTCCCCCAAAGACCAGCAGACACGATAATGCCGATTATAATCCCCAAACTGGCAGTCAAACGAACAATAAAACTCACTCTTGCAAGTATGACAATCCGTCAATTCTGCCCCATACCATGTCTCCATAGCACCACAAACCGCACACTTTGGGCCATTCTCGTTTCCTGCCCCAACAGCCTTCCTTGCCCAATTCGGATCGAATTCGGGCGCCGGCACGGGAGCCATGTTCTTCTTCTTCGGTGGACTCCTCTCCAACGGCATGGGAGTCTTGTTCTTCTCCGGCGGACTCTCCAACGGCGGGGGRGTCTTTTCCTTCTTCGGCGGACTGTTCTGAAGGGAAAGCTTCAAGGCATCACACAATTCCTCATGCTCCTGCCAATGCTATGTCTCGCAGTCCACCGAGCAATAGTACACGCTCTCACAGTTCTCACAGACAATCACCTGCTCCATGGTGCCTTCCTGTTCCCCACAGTACGCACACTCCTTCGCCGCTTGTTCCACTTCATCCGACTTGCTCTTCGACTTCCGCGTCATCTCTGGCTCTGGGAACGGAGGACTCTTCTCGTCTGGTATACGGGAAAGCTGCAATGCTCCACATTCATCCTCATGCCCGTCCTCCCAATGCGCTGCCTCGCAATCCCCCGAACAGTAGTGTACGCTCTCACAGTCGAAGCAGGTTCCCGCGTCTCTCGCATCTTCGATTCGTTTCTTGCAGTACGCACACTCCATCGCGGATTGATTTTCTTCCTCCACGCTCTTCTCTATTCTCTCAATTTCTTGCTCCTCCATCTTCGCCTCACTCCCTTCTCTACGCCTTCTATTCTTGACGTTCTCCCCTCCCTTCCCATCCCCATCAATCTTGAGCCCTTCAATCCCCATCATTTCCTCTCCCTTCTTGACCCCCTCTTCCCCCTTGTCCCCATCGCACCTCTTCCAATGATAATCCCAGTCCTCCATCTCACACTGCACCCCACAATACCATGCCGCGCGACAAAACCAACACTTGATCAAAAACAACTCCTCTCCCTCCCCCTCCGCATTCCCACACGTCGCACACACCGTGTGCGCAAGATCGAGCCAAGTCCCCTGCAAAGCGTTAATCGGCACGCAAACCTTCCAATGCGTATGCCAATCCGCCTGCGCACATGCCTGCGTACAGTACTTCTTCGCTCGACACCTCCCACAGACTGTCTGCCGCTCGTCCGGTGATTTACCATTCCCCCATGAACAATAAGCGGAAGCGCAATGGACGGGTAATCGTTTTCCCGACTGCTGTCCTCCTGGAAGAGGATGGGAAGACTCAACATCCTCCCTGAAGATCTTCGCGGCAGGTTTCCTTCGTGATGCAGCCTCCCTCATCTGGACGCCATTCTTGACATTCAGCGAAGGGGGCACTTTCTCCCCTTTATAAGGTCGAGTCCTCCTCGGACCCCAAGGAGCATTTTCAACACCAAAATCACCCCAAGTCCCCATCGCGGAAGAGCTGTCAACCTTTTTCGACCCACCATTGCCATCCACTTCCTCGCCCTCATCACACACATCCTCATGCCCCTCCTGCCAATGCCCATCGGCACAATCCTCCGAACAATACCCTTCCTTGCCACACCATTGACAAGGCTCCAGCTTTAAAGCCGGCCGCTCCTCCGCACAATTCCTCCGACAGAAACTGCACCTCTGCACGTCTCTCTCCGCAACAGGCGATTCTTTCTCCGCAACAGGCGATTCTTTCTCCACAACAGGCGACTCTTTCTCCGCAACAGGCGACTCGGCAGAATTTCTCCTCTCCCTCTCATCCTTCTTCGCAATCATCATCCGCGCAACGTTTGCCTCCGCAAGCCGATTCAATTCCTCGAAGTACTCTCCACCCTTATTATCCACCGCCCACTTCTTCTTCTTCGTCTCAGTAATCATCTTCTTCTGCCTCGCCTTAAACCTCAATCTTTGGAGTCGAGCCGGCGTCATCGGATCCGAAGCTCGCAACATACGCCAGAGTGTATTCGCGCCGTCCCCTTTGAGAGTGACCCGAGTGTTCCATAACGTGTCTTGCTTTTCCTCGCTCTTCTCCACCCTTCCATACCACCTCACTCGCGCCATCTCATGGTCCCAGTCCTTCTGACCTGCCGCGTCGGGCCGGTCTCCGTAAGTTATGATTTTCTCGGGCCGAAATAGCGAGGGATTGATGTTGTGATGGTCGCCAGGAAGGACTCCAGAAGGCTTCGGGGCGTAGTATGGGCTCTCAAAGGGTGTACCTGGAAGATGAACGCTGTGTCAGTGTATGTCGGTCATGTCCCTCGCTGACTTGCTTCCATCCAAATCTCGTCATAGTGTTGACATACCTTCTCTCGACGTCGATATCACCCTTCTCACGGCAGGAGGAGGACCCATGTCACCTTTTGGGGCAGGACCCATCCCATGTTCCATTGGTGTCTCCACACCCATCCCCTCACTGGCCTGAACAGAAGACCCAAACGCCTCTCTCAACTCCTCCAACCTCGTCCGAAAAGGCGTCAAAGCCGGAATGACCTTATTCTCATGTTCACGAATCTCAAAATCCACAAAAACCTCATTAGCCTCCTCATAAAGCTTCAACGCTGCCTCGTACTTCTTCTTCTCATCATCCAGCACTCTCCCTTCATCGAGGTGTTGGAGGGCCTGGTCGATAGTATYCCTCAATTTGATGGACGGAGCTTGGAGGCCGGCGAGTAGAGCTGTGCGGAGGAACTTTAGAGTGGGAAAGACTGGGCGGTAGGAAATCTTCTTGGTTGCTCGAGTTGGAGATTGTTTGGCTGGAGGTGGCATGGCCTTGCTTGGTTGAGAGCCCTGTCCATATTCCCCCTCGATGCTTTGTTGTACTGAAGGAGAATCATCATATTCAATGCCAAACTGTGCTYGAACCGTCAAGGTCGGAATAGCAAGAGCTTTCAACCCAGCCGAGGAGCCAAATCGAGAAGCTCCCCTGTCGACTTTCTCATGGTAGCCAAGTTCCTTCCTAGTGAGTACCGGTTCGGGGAATCCACCTTCTTCGCCCAGCATGTGTGGAGTTCGAAAAGCAAGAGAACGAGATATCCCTCCCCCTGACTTTCGTGGTGGTGTCCTCTGAAGAGGCACTACATCCTCAGGGCTACGTTGACCTTGAGGGGCAACTTTCAGGAAGAGTTTCTCTCCACGCAATCTCTTCCCTTCCCCCCTGACAACCACATACTCTTTCAGAATCTCGGAAAAGGAATTCCCTCTCCGCAAGATATCATTCCCCGTAGCTTTTCTTTTTCGCGGGGAGGAACATGGAGTATTGTTGTTCTTCTTCTTCTTCTGGGGCGTGGGAGGAGGAGGAGGAGAATGCGACTCCATGGTTTGTGAGTGATGAGACTGGGGGATTTGAAGGCGTGTTGCTGGGAGTCGGTTGATGATTGGAGTCGATTGATGGTTGGAGTCGATTGATGGTTGGAGTCGATTGATGGTTGGAGTCGATTGATGGTTGGAGTCGATTGATGGTTGGAGTCGATTGATATTCGATGGTGATGTGATGGTCGTTGAATTGATGTTGATGTTCGATAGTCGATGATGTTCGATAGTCGATGATGTTCGATGAATTGATGTTGATGTTCTTGAGTCGTTATTCGATACCTCAATGTCGATAATCGATGGCCAATGTCAATAATCGATATCCAATGTTGTCGTTGTCGTCGTGACTATTGTCCAAGGAAGGAAAGGCTGTAAAGGAACAGAGCAAGAGGTACTTAGATACAAAAAAAAAAAAAGGAAAGTGACGACGGCAGAGAATCTAGACGGCATCTACGAAAACCAAGGCAGGAGGTAATGGAAGAAAGGAGAAGTTGACAGGAAACTAGATAAGTAGAGGAACCAARCACAAGTGGAATGCCCTTTCTCTGAGCCCTCCTCATACCTAAGGTAGGTACTATACCTTACCATCCCATCCCTTCCCTGATCTACCATACCATACGGTGCATACCTATATACCACAAGTATACCACCCTCGTACCCTCTAAATCATACAAATATACAACAAGTATACATACAATCCATCCATCCCACTCCCCCATTCTATTCTGTCGTCGACATGAAAAATCAGCCCATGACCAGCCGATCACGCCCTCTAAAAGCAACTCCTCAACACCACGCCCTCCCAAAAACCAAGCAAAAAAAAAGTATGATATATACCACATGACAATCAGCACATCTACCAATCAATCAATCAATCCACCCACCTCCCCAACAAGCCCTTCCCCAGCAGATCCCTCCTCCTCCCCCCAACAAACCCAACTTCTCCCCTCTCCCAACCCCTCCTCTCCTCCTCCCTCCGAGCATTCCACGCCCGGACAAACTTCCACCCCTCGGTGTCCGCCAAATTCCACCCTTCGACAACTCCTCGGATTTCTTCATTCTTCCTCTCCTTCAACCAGCGCTTCCCCAAGTCGAACAACTCCCTCTCCCGCTTCAACACCTGCTCGGTCGGGACGGGCCCATCGCCGAATTCCGCCTTGGGTTTGGGAGGTCTGCGCTCGGGTCCCGGAACTGGAGTCTCGGATTTGCCCGTCGGGAGCGTCTCTCTCGGAATGCGGAAGCCGAAAATCCAATCCAGACTTTCAATCTCTAGGGGAGCTTCCGGAGTCAACCAGAGGGATTGAGCGTTTCCATATTCCGTCGCCACGGCATTCTTCAAACTGGGGAGTCGCATGTGTGAGGAGACGCCGGCTCCGAGCAGTTCTTTGGTCAGGGCTTCGATCCAGATGTCTCGATCGGTTTTGCGACGGATAAAGGCCACGTCCATGTCTTGGCGGTCCTTGACAATGGTTTGGATGGTCCAGGGGTGGGGAACGATTCCAATGGTGAAGGTGGACGAGTCGTTTCGGAAGACCTTGGGGGTGTTGATGGCCATGGTACTCGACACGCAGGGTTTGCATTTCGGGCGATTGGGTGGGCAGGAGGTGGGGATGGGGGAGATGGGACAACTCGAGAGATTGCGGGCAATATCAATGGCGGATTCAATCAGAGACGTGCTCTTGGCGGGGAGGGGTTTGACGACGGAGATGCCTTTGGGGAAGCCTTCCCTCCAGTTGGCGTGCAGATGGGAAGTGATGAGATCCGGTAGCATCGTCATGGCCTCTCCAATATTCCCTCCATCCAGTAGATCGCGAATGGGAGCGTACTTGGCCTTGAGGTTGGCGAGGCTGTAGAAAGCGATGGATGCAGGCGGGGCATCCACGGTGATGGTATCCTTGGGGAATGCCTCGTCCAACTTGCCCACACTCTTCAGGGCGGGCGAGTCGACCACTTGATGCACCGCATCAGCGACAGCCTCTTTATCCCCAACATATAATCCACTCCCCAAACCCTCATAGGCCGTCAGGACGGGATACTCGCCCCTCCGCAGATATGCCAGGGTAGCATCATCATAGCCAACAGCCATGGGCACGGCCAAGAAGTTGGTGAGGATGCCGCCATTCATACTCGCCCAGGCTAACCACCTCATCAACTCGCCCATGACGCCGTCCGAGAGGCCCATGCCTTGCACCTTTCGATACAGCGGATTCTGCATGGCCTCACTCTTGGTCAAGACGACGGGGTGGAATCCACTGGCCCACCACGCCCGCCTCCAAGTCTTCAGCAACTCCTGCTCGGCCACGCGACTCTCCTCATCCTTCCTCCTCCCCGCCGGATCGAAATAGGTGTACACCGCCGGACGTACCCGCAATGGAGGCAACACGGCTCGTTSCTCATCCCTCGTCACATCACTGCTGAAGGGATTTCTCCACTTCCAATCGCTGTACCATCGTGTGTCTCCACTGACGCTGTTGGCTTGTTCGGGAGGGGGAGGATGTGCGGGAGTGCCAAAGGGGTTGAGATGGGGTAGGCGGTCGACGACTTGCTGCGCATTGGAGAGGGCAGCGTCGACGTCGGATTTCAATTGCGGGCCATAGGGCACTGATTCCAGCTGATCGGTAGAGGAGTTGGCGAGGAGGAGGATGATGGCGAGGAGCAGGGTGGTGGTGAGGGTCACGACGATTTGGAGGCGGCGGGGAAGGGCGGAGCAGGGATTCCGCATGGTGATGCCTTGCTTGAAGGATTTCAAGGGCGTGTGTTCATGGATACCTTGGAGGGAGTCCCGCCGGCCAGGTTCGCTGCGAAGGAAATGAAATGGAAGCTTTGATGATGGAAAGAAAGTGTGGAGCTCGATGCCCTAATCCAATCCCACGCGACGAGTGCCGTGCCGATGATTGTCGGGGTGGATCCACCTTCCGTCTCCCCCGCCGCGTGTGGACTTGCAAGGGTGTGCGGAGAGAAGTCCGAGCATCTTGACCATCCATCGCACTGGAGATGGTTGAAGATGCGATGAACCTGGAAAGAATACCACAACAATCTTCATCTTGTCCAGGAAGAAGTGATGAGGAATTTCCCACCGACATGTTGATGGAGCGACGAGAATGCATCATCCCACCCCATCTCATCTCATCCCATGCCCACCATCCCTACTTGCCATCAATCTCCACCCGCATCCATCACATGCAGATACATCACAAAAAGTGTGACGACGGCTTGGAAATATTTCTCCCCTGCACACAACATTCATCATCATCATCATTATCATAATTATAATGCATAATAATTAATTCCCACCTCACACCTGCGTGGACTAGATCTACTACACAAGAATACCTCATGATTACATCCCTCTTCCKTATGACCCAACAAATGCAAGCATGGCCTCATCAACATCTCGTCGCCGCCCACCACCAGCCCACCAAGATCCCCCACCACCACCTCCCGAATCCTTCGCCTCTCTCTCCGCCCGCAACGACGCGGTTAAAATCCTGCAGAGTTATGAGAAATTGAGCTGGTGTGCTTTTGCGAGGTGTGAAGTTAGTATCTCGATTTCTCTTGTCATGATCTTCGTCTTCCAGCATCATCCATTTGTTTATAGAAATATATATATCACTGTGATGCAATACTGATAGAACATGAATAGACCATCCAACAAACCCGCCTGTACTTTCAAAACATCGTCGCGGGATTCAACGCGCAAGATGAAGAGGGTATGATACTGTGGAAGGAGGATTTCTCGAAACGACCGGTTACTATTGCTCCTTCTTCTACCGCTACTGCTACTACAGCTACCAACACCACCAATGCTGCTGTGAATACGAGTGGTGGTGCGGAGGGATCGAGAAAGGGAAAGGGGAGGGTTAGTTCGGGTGGCGGTGGTGGGAGGCATTCTACTGGTGGGGAAAAGGGAAAGGGAAGGAGTGAGCGGGGTTGAAAGAAAAACAAAACAAGAAGTTGGAGTTGGAGTGGGTGTAGATGTTAGTAAATGGTGGGAGGGAGTTTATTGTACATGACATGTTGGTTACTCGATTGCCAATGGTTGGATGAGAGGAGAAGGATAGCTGATGACCATCTCCGACCTGCTCACGCAAAGCAAAGCAAAGCAGAGACTAGCCTGTACTTAACGATAGCTACATATTACCTGGTGCCGGATTCTGGAATTCCGTCTTCCATCGCATCGCAGACCAATCAAGATGATATGGAATGGCTTGGTCACATCGGCATGCGCGGACTCCTCGGGTCAACTTTCAACCTGCACCTCCAGCTTCCAGCTTCTTCTCGCTTGGCCTGGCCTGGCCGAAGCTTTGGATGGGTGACGGGCATGTCATATCTACCTTATTCTAACTAGGCATGAATGGAATGGATGTTTCTCCACAATATCCTACCCTCTTCCTCTTCCCGTCAAACATCCCCTTTCCACTGCACTTCACTCGCTCAGTGCATGTAAAGTAAGGTAGTTCCCCATGTCCGCCGCCCACGCCGACCCCTTCGCAGATCCCGGAAGTACCGCTCTTCCCCACCGAACACGCGAAGACGCATCCTCCTCCACCACCACCGACGACGATGACCTCTTCCCCCATCCCTCGCCCGTCCTTCAAATCTCGCGCATCGCCTCGTTGACCCTCGGAACCGACTCCCTGATCCACTTGGACGAATCGGCCCCCTGGCCCGCCCACTGCTGCCATCTCCTCCCATCCTTGTCCAAAACGACGCGCGCAATCCCCTTCCACAACATCCTCTGGGCACAAGGACAGGGCAGCGATATCGAAATTTGGTACACCGAATCGGCGGGAAGAAGAGGGCGGAAATGCGTCGTCGGCACCTTGAAATATGACCTTCCCGACACGGACTCCAAAACCGCCTCGTCATGGATCACCGCCTTGTTGGACCGCGCCTACCCACCCGGTACGCAGGCCCGAAAGCGCGTCAAGGTGCTCGTCAACCCGTTTGGTGGACAAGGCCATGCGACCAAAATCTGGGAATCACAAGTCCGCCCCATCTTCGCAGCCGCACAGTGGGAGGTGGATGTCGAAATGACGTCCCATCGCGGTCATGCCATTGACATTGCTCGCAATTTGAATTTGTCAAGATATGATGTCGTGGCGTGCGCGAGTGGAGATGGTCTCCCACATGAAGTCTTCAACGGCCTGGCCAACCACCCCGCAGGAGGGAAAAAGGCGTTGAGCAGCGTCGCAGTCGTACAAATCCCCTGTGGGAGTGGAAACGCCATGTCTCTAAATCTGAATGGAACGGATAGTCCATCCCTCGCGGCCCTGGAAATCGTCAAGGGAAAATGGACGGAATTGGATCTTGTCGCAATCACCCAAGGCTCCAAATTAACCTGGAGCTTCCTCTCCCAGGCGGTTGGAATCATTGCGGAAAGCGATCTCGGTACAGAGAGTCTTCGATGGATGGGCAATTTCCGCTTCACTTGGGGTGTCCTCGTCCGCGTCCTGGGCAAATCCATCTATCCCGCACAATTCTCCGTYGTCCTCGATACGGAAGATAAATCCACCATTATGAATCGCTACCGAGAAGCCGTCTCCGAACACGAAGCCTCCACATCCAAAGGCCACCATCTCTCCCCTCCCTCATTATCAAGCAACGACACCGACCTTCCAAAACTACACTACGGCACCATCCAAGACTCCCTCCATCCCGACTTCACCACCCAAGACCACCCCAATCTCGGCAACTTCTACGTGGGAAACATGTGCTACATGTCCTCCGACACCCCCTTCTTCCTCGCCTCCCTCCCCAACGACTCCCGCCTCGACCTCGTCTGCGTTCCCGGCGACATTTCCCGCCTCACCGCCCTGCGCATGCTGACCGAAGTCGCCAACGGCACCATGATGAACTTCTCCGAGCTCTCCTATCGCAAAGTCAAGGCCTATCGCATCCTTCCCCGCATGGACGTCAGCAAGGGCACGAGAGGGAGGTTATCCCGCTGGTTGGGCGGTGGTCGTCGAGGGCAGGCCAGGGAAGGCTTGATTAGTGTGGATGGGGAGAAAGTCGCTTTTGAGCCCTTCCAGGCTGAGGTTGTGGGGCGGTTGGGAAGATGTTTGAGTCGGAGTGGAGGGGTTTATGAGGTGGGGGAGTTGGGGAGCAAGGGGTTGAGATGATTGATGAATAGTAGGAGGAGGGAAATGAGCAAGGCATGGAAGGTTTTGGCGTTTGTTTTACCTTTGAATTGGAGGATCGGGATTGAGGAGTGAGGATGAGAGAGAGAAAAGAAAGATACCCAGGATTTGAATTTTTTTGTGATTTCTGTTGCGAAGAATGAAAAAGTGTCGTTGTCTACATCAAGGTGTTTATACATGAGTACATCTATTCAAAAATGAGTAGAAGTAGTAATTGTTTAAAAGTCCGCATTTAAGAATCGATGATATATATAACCGCCATCTAAGGTACTTTAGGACTTGTATAGAGGTATCTGTTAGGGTTGTATTAGTTGGGGTTATACACCTTAGGGTTTCTGTTCGTTAGGGTTCTGTTCGTTGGGGTTATATCATCTCACCAGTCAGAGGTATGTATGTATACATAATAAGATACTCAAGTACATGTACACACCACCTATATAACAATATACCTTACCATCGAATACAACAACAAAGTCATCGTCATGTAACCCGGCTATCGTTGTGCAATACAAACTCTCACGTTACACCATATGCCATTTCGCATCTCCTACACGGCAACATGTTCGCGGCGATGAGAGGTACTTGAGTATCGCAAGACAGCAAAAGCATGGAAAAGTTCGATGTAAAACAACACATCCCCCAATTCTTATCATCATCGATACTTGGGTACAAAACCCATCTATCTGTCGCTATAAGCGCTCCCCTTGGCAAAAGCAGCAGCAGCGGCACCATCCAACCTCCCGGAAGTCGAACCAGTCGTCGCCGTCGTCTTCTCTGGGACTTGCTTCCCACCGCTCACTCCCAGCGGATCACCTTGCTCGACCTCGACGACATCCCCAGGTGTCTTGCCTTGTTCGACAACTCGAACTTCATCATCATCATCACCATCAGCAGCAGCCTTCCCTCCCTCCCCACCCTTGATGATCTCCCTCTCAGCATCATCCGTACCCTTGAAATTCCCCACGATAGACACACCATTCATATCATATCGTGTCGCCGAAACATCCACGTCGTCTGTTTTATCCCGCGCTTCCAAAACCGGCCGCTGCGCCACAGGAGTCTTCTTGATATCGTCATCAGCAACAACATCCGTCTCACTCGACACATGCCGAGGAATACTAAACTGCGGCACAGAGTCAAATATTGAAGCTCTCGGAACCGAAGGCGGATCAGGAACAGGAGCGGGAATTCGCATGTCCTCGTCTTTGCGCCCAAAYAAGGAGCTCCACCAGATGACTTCGGGTTCTTTGCCGGGAGATTGTCGATGAGGGAAGAGGAGTGGGTCATCCACTTTGGCCTCGTAGTCGGGATTGATGAATTCCTTTTTGCGGCTCAGGAAATGTGACCACACGGAATTCGTCTGCTCGGCATTCTCGCTGCGTTCCTTCTCGCTGTTGAAGAGGAATTCGCCGTACTGGGCTGAATGGGCTTGGTAGAAGAGGCGGACGAGGAATCGCTCGTTGAATTCAAACGAATCGGGCTTGTGATGTTGCAGCTGGWAGACTGCGTCGAGGAATTGATGGAAAATGGGTGCTATCTCTTTGGTGTCGACTTTGTGGTGTTGGTCCGACTTGGTGCTGGTCGTGGGAGGTGCATGTAACAGCGAGTTGGGGGGTGGTGGTGAAGGAGGTCGAGATGTCGAGCCCTCGGTGGTGCTCTTATCATTGGGCTGGCGGAAGATGCTTCCACGACCCTTGTCGAACCAGTTCTTCGCCCCACTGAGCGCTTTGGAGCCGAGAGCATTGAATGACGATGTGCCTTCGCCAGAACTTCCTTCCCTCCCTCTCGTCGGTAGAACTCGCTCATTCTCAATCTCGAACCACTTCTCGCTGCCTTGAATGCCGTGCCGGTGGGCGAACTTGTGGCCAAAGGATAAAAAGTCCTTTTGCACAAGCGTGATGAAACCTTGCAGAGTGCGATAGAATGGGTCGAGCATGATCTCTGCCAGTGCGGCAACCTGCGATGTGCGATCCCATCCATCGGAGCAGTGCACCAGGACATGACTGCCTCCGAGTCCGACTACTCTTGCAACCATCTCAGCGCCGTCAAGCACCCCAGAAATGTGTCCAAGCCAGCCGGACTTGCGTAGTAGGTCTTGATTGGGTTTCAAGTCGAGGTAGTCCGAGTTTGCAAACGCCTCGACAACCCTCTCCAACGCTTGTCGCATGACGTGGATGTTTGCAATGTTGAGAAAGATGCGCTCGACAACCACGCCGGTATTACCCGCGTAGTTGGAAACGTCCTCGATACCACCACCCGTCGCTCGATTGGCGAGAGCATTGATCTTTGGACGAGCATCGACAATCAAGCTACGTCGAGTACTGCCGTAGATGCGTGGTCGAGGGGAACTGGTTGCCTCTGTGTCTTGTGGAGCAACGCCATCCTCGCCGGAAGCGAGCGCAAGTCCAGCAATCTCGTGATCGGGAACAATAGCTTCGGAAATACTATCATAAGAAGGTGTTGATAGCGGGATCAGAGTAGGAGACTGCGCCAAGGCTTCGGCAGGCGATAAAAGCTGCGGAGTGTGACTACAGAATATCTCCGAAACAAGGCGCTCGTCTTGTGGATTGCGTTTTGCTTGCACGCCTACCATTGGCTGTGATGAGCGAGTTATACTGCCACCATTCGAGTGAAGATAYGTGAGGGATGGGATTCTCGCCTTGGAACGGAAGACACTGCCATACTTCAAGATGTTGTCGGTGACTGCTCGTGGCACGCAGAGCACGCTTGGGTATGTCGCCGAGTATGCATAATCTCGATTGATGTCGGTTATGCGCCACGCACTGCCCGGTCCCTCTGCATTCTTGCCTCCGATCCCCATGCGAGCAAATTCCCGGCGAGCATCGTATGCGAGGCCTCCAGTGGCGACCTCTTCCTGCGGCGCTTTGAAGTGGAAGGCATGCAGGTCTTGGACCGTATTTACGCAGCACCGATTCCGCAGACGATAGAAGACATCCCTCGCGGTGTCGTCTGGTGATTTATCTGATGAAGAGGAAGTGTGGAAATGAAATGCCATCATCTGAAAGTCCCTTCGCCGTATCCTCAAAGCGGGAGCCTTGCCGGTTTCACTTACCAAGCCAACGTTTGTTGTATTGCCTGGACCCGGCGACATGGATCTTTGAGGGGAAAAGGATGGCGCCAGGCGGGAGGAATCTGTAGATGGCCGTGCATATGTGTTGGTGCCGTACACAGGCGGGAATGCCGAGTCCTCAGCATCATCATCCGTGGAATCCTCGTGATTGTTGGTGTCAGGTGTCCGTCCTTGAGCATGGCTCGGACGCAACATGCAGTAGTTGATGATTGGATATGGTAGCCATATCTCCTTGGGCCTTAATTTCTGCTTGGATTTGGGTTGCTTGGGTATCGGGTCGCTGGAACTACTAAATCGCTGGTCACCAGAATTGCCTTCCGCAGTAGCAGGAGCGCCATCTTGAGCCTTCTTCGCGGTCGGGTCTGTTGACATTACATCGCGCTCGGCGAGTGAAGGTCYGCCGGAAGCGGCTCTAGCGCTAGTGGTGGACAATCTAGCAGAAGCATCCGGTGCTGTATTTGGAAGATAGCTGAAGATGAGGTGATGTCGAGTAATGTACAAGGTTCCATTCTCCGTCTTCCCGCGGCTGTGTAGACTCACGTTGCGCACTCGCACGTCTTTGGTAAGGTCCGTGGTCTCGGCCATGTTGTTGTTCAAGTTCAAGTTGAAGTTCAAGTTGAAGGTGCGGAGGTTTCAATCGGAGGAATCGGCTTGTTCTTCTCGTGATTGTTCACAATCGGTCCTGATCTACGCGATATCGGTGATGACATGCTCGCCCAAGAGGCTCATGGTAGAGATCAATGTTGGTGTATCGTTTGTTGTCTGCCGTGTGTACATGTAATGTCATGGTAAGGTCGACCATCATGAGATTGCGATCGAAAGCTGGGGACGGGAGTATCCGCAGTTTCACAAAATGGGGAAGCGACACCACCAGAATATACCCAAGGTACAGGAATATACATCAACGCACATGTAATGTTGAGGGAGTCTTATCTCAAATCTCGCAAAGTATCTACGGGTCATTACACCTACAATACCCACCAAACAAACTAGCAATCTCAATTTCATCATCTGCCTTGAGGTAAAAAACCTTTGCTCCATGCGCCACGCTAAACGACATGCCGCTCGCTCAAATGCCCATATCACACGTATGATACAGAAATTTCTCTAAGCAAAACCAAAATACTCGCTGCCTGCCGTAATGGCAAGGTACAACTGGTGTCGGAGAGCCTCATAACTCTCGTACTCGGGAAGGTCGAGCTCTGTGATTGGGTCAGTCAGGTGATGTAGAGGAGAAGAAATGGAAAACAACTTACGATTGAAGCACGTGTGACTGGACGGCAACCTGTCCTTGTTGCCATAATCACGGTGAATGCTGAACTTGGAGAAGCCATTCATGCCTTCCAGCTCCTTGAAGCCGTTGAGCGGTACTTTGCTGGTGCCGGTGATGAACTGAAGAAGCTTGGCCTTCTCCTCCTTGTCGAAACTCTTGACAGCTCGCCAGAACCACATAATCTGTGGTGAGGTGGGCTGGTAGTTTGTGTACTCGGTGTTGTTCTTCCAGTCATCCACGTCAATTTCAGGCAGACCGGAGATGAGAAGTTCCAGCTCCTGTTCGTTGAAGATTGACACAAGCTCGATCGGGATGATTTCGTGGAAGCCTTCCAAGAAGTTGTCGAGCTGATCTTTGACCGAGGTGACGAGACGATAGTCGACCACATGCCGAACGTATTCGTGCTTGTTCTCCTCTGTTACAGGGATGTTGCGACCATTTGGAATCAAATCAATCGTCTCCTTCAAGCCGAACTTGTCCACGTCGGTAGAAAACGTGTCAAAGGTGACATCTGTGATGTCATTCTCCAGAATCCATACAAGAGATTTGTAGTAATCGAGGTCAAGAGACTCCATATCCTTGAGAGAAACGGACTTGCCGAGAATGCGTCGGTAAACGGCTCTGCTGAAGTGGCAGTCCAGAACACGGTTCTCGTACAGTGCTTTTCCGATGATGCGACCGACGAACTTGAAGAACATCAAATGCTCGCCGTTGATTCCACTCATCGTGTTGGGGTGGAACGTTGTGCGGTCGGATGCCACCGGGGTGAAGAGAGCGTAATTGGCATCAAACATCTGCCTCGCCATTGCTGCAAACCATTCTCGCGAAACACCGCCTGCGTCAACACCCTCTTCGTTGTGGAAGCGAATGTTCAGCTTGCCGTATTTGATCTCGTTCGCAGTCTTGTAATACAGAGACTTGAATGAGTCGAGGAAGACCTCGGAGCGACGCAGGCTCAATTGTAATGTTGGATGTGCGACGCGTGCCTCGGAGCGACGGTCGTGCAGCTTGCGACTGAAGTAGCTCCGCTTGTTGTCAAACTCAAGCACCTTGGAGTTCTTGGCAAGAACGGCGAGGTTGCCGTTCATGAGCTTGGGGTTGTTGCGAATCAGCTCGTTGAGGATCTTGCGATGCTCATCGGTGAAGYTGAAGAACAAGCCTCCGATGCGTGACTCTGGTGCAGGCGAGCCGATGACGGCATCCATTGTGGGTGCTCCTGGTTGCTTGAGGCTGCTGTTCCGACACACAACCATCAAGGATTCAATCAGTGGCAGTAGGATGGTTGCCACATTCACCATGTTGCCGCGCTCGCGAATCGCAGTCAGGCAGACGCTGAGACTGTTCCAAAGCTTGTCGAACTTGTTGCTGTCGTAGAGAGAGGCCAAAATGTCTTCCTTGAGCTTCTGCTCCCCGGTAGGAGATGCGGGCATGCGCTTAGGGTCGAAGAGGTGATCAAGTGCCACCAATACGCGGAGCAGCTTGCTTTGCTTGGATCCAGCGGAGGAGAAGCTTGCGAGGGCCATACCTTGAAGCTCGGTGCCCGTCTCGGCGGATTTGATCTGGTTGGAGAGTTCTTCGAGATCCTCCAGCAATGCTTGTCCAAGTTCTTGCGCCTGACGGATAAGTTCACGGCCAAACACCTCTTTTGCACCGGGAATGGCGGACAAATTCTTGATAATGTCCAGTGTGTCGCTGAACGTTTTGCTTGGACATTCGCGGGCTGCAAGAATATTGACAACCAAACGAATGTTCTCCTCTGGCACCTCGGGTGGCGTGAGATCACGATTCTTCTTCTTCTTCGCCTCGGGGACATTGGTGTCTTTGACAGCGTCAGGCTCTGCATCAGCGGATGCAGATCCAACATTGCCATCACCTGGCTGTTCTGCGGGGGAGGTGTCTTCCATTGGAACGTCTGAAGTGGCAGTTTGAGGACGCGCAGTTGTTTGTGTGGCCTTCYCAACCCCGGCCTTCTCAATCCCAGCCTTTTCAACATCCTGAGCTTCCTTTGCACGTCGCAGCAATATAGTCAGAGGGTGTGTGACGCTGCTCAGAAGTGATGCCAAAGTCTCCATCACGGTGGTGTTCTCGGTGATGAGCTTTCGATCCAGCAGGGTCAGAAGAGCGTTGAGCGGGAATTTCGCAGCTTTGCTCTCACGTCCCTTGCCTTTCTTTGCAGTCTTGGGCTTTTGGCTCACAATAGTCTCATGCTCATTCAGGAAGAACGAGGGCACTCGAGGGTTGTCATTCGCGAGGGAATTCAGCGTGCCCAAGCATTGTGAAACGATGTTAAGTGGGGAGAGCTCGGTGCTTGAAGTGATACTCTGTTGGCCGGTGAGAGTACGTTTCAGAGTTTGCGGTGTCTTGGGCCCCGATGGCTGCTTGGCTCTCAGTGACAGCTGTGCGAAGCTCCGCTCAACAGCATTTACATCGGCCGTCCCATCTTGAAGTATGGACAAGAGAATGCTGATGACCTCTGAGCGGTTTTGTGTGTTTTTGCAGACGTCGGAAAGAATTCCGTGTAGATTTGTCCGGGGCTTGGAGTTCAACGACACAAACATGAGGCGCAGTAGAGTTGCAATACCAGCCTTGTCGAGCATTTGAACGATTGGGCGACGTTGTCTGCTGACCTCGCGAGTCTCTCCATCATCGCGCGGAGCTGGAGGTTGGCCGCCCAAGATGCGAGCGGTTGCAGCTTCCATGCCTCGTGCGAGTCGATTTTGTTGATCAGGACGTGCTGCCCGGCGATCGCCGAGTAACGCACGAGCTTCTGCTTGGAGTTCATCTGGTAGAGTAGCCAGAGTGGCTTCATCCGTGTCCATCAACACGGCTTGTCGGAGTGCAGGATCGAGCATCGCCATAAAGTCGGCATTGTTCATCTCTTCTGGCGGCGCAAGTGGAGCCGCAGCACTTCCCTCTTGAGCGGCAGCACGTCGTTGAGTTTCGTTGCGCGCTCTGCGGCGTTCATTCTGCTCTTGACGCAGAAGTTCACGCTGCATCTCCTGAGGTAGAGCATCGAGGAACTCCCGACTGATCTCACTGGGTGTCTCGGACGCTGCTGCTTGGCTCCGCTGCGTTGCGAATTGAGTCATGATGACCTCTTCTCGCATCTCTTCCGGGAGCGCCTCAATGTACTCGCGGTCGATACCCAGGCTGGTGATGTCGAGTTCTCGTCCACGGAAATTGATGGTAATTCTCTCCGCATTTGGCTCCTCTGGAGCCGGTGCTTCAGCAGAGCCGCTCTCCGGGGCTGACACCACACCTTCCATCTCTGATGTCTCGACAGCACCCAATCCAGTCAGAGCAGCCTCCGCAGCACCCGCAGCCTCCGCGGCCTCCGCAGCCTCCGCAGCCTCTGCAGCTTGTTGCGCCGCGAGTGCCTCGGCCTCTGCTTGCTTCTGTGCTTCTCGCTCCTTCAGCTCCTTCTGTTCCGCCTCAATCTCCTTCTGTCGCGCCACGGCTATCCTGGTCGCTTCCAACGCTGCTTCCGCATTCTTCTCCTCCTGAATTCTCTTAGCTTCCATTGCCTGAGGCAGCAAAACGCGGAATAGCATGTTGAGGACGCGGGTGGCTTTGTCTTGAAATTTGCCTCCAAACAGCATGCGTGCCTCTTCCTGCCAGCGGAGGCTAGTCTGCGAAGGTCGAAATTCGACAGCGGACGCCTCATCGTTGTGGGGATTGGCTCGATCTGTTGGCCGTCCACTGAGCACCATGTCTCCCCATCGTCCCATGGTCATTTGCTCGCGCAGCGGCCTGCTGTGATCAAGCTCGAACCACGGCGCGTTGATAGCGTGTCTGCCTTCAATGCGAAACATGGAGGGTAGAGCAGATAGACCGGGAAGCCCCCCTTCACCCAGATTAACGTTGATGATACCAGGTGCGCCTGTCGCAGGCACGGTAGCGACATGGTGTTCGAGGAGTTCGAGGAAAGCATGGTCGTTGGATCGGGGCAAGTATGCTCGCCGGCCTGGCATGCGATAGCCGCCAAGGGCCTCGAGCTCGCGTTCGCGGTTTGCGCTGCCAGCTCCTCCGTCCCGCTGAAGGAGTGGGTTGATGCCGTCCTCGTCTCGTGAGTTTGGAGTTGCGCGATGGGTCCGGAAGTGCCCAGGACGCAGTGGATCACCCATCATTCCACCCAACATCTGCTCGAATACCCGTGGGGCATGGTGGTGATGATGATGACCACGCAGGATCGCTGCAGGGGGAGGTTGGGTTTCCCATGCGGCCCACCCGCCATCCTGATCTTCATCATCATCGTCCTCCATCTCGGGCTCGTAGACGATGTCGGCGCCGTATTCCTCCCCGTCTTCATCTTCGTCGCCTTCAGGCGCCATTTCATCTTCGAAAAACTCGTCTTCTCCAGCGTCCATGTCAATGCGCACGATGCCATCATGATCGCCCGCCTCGGACGGATCGTCTGCACCAAGGACATGAGCGATGTGTTCTAGCGGACCGCCGTGAGGAGAGCCGCCGTCATGAATTTCGACACGGTCTTCAAAGTCGTCGGCATCTTCGTCTTCCCAATCGCCCTCGTGATCGTGCTCATCCAAGCTGGCGTTGTCATCATCGCCGGTGATCTCATCCATATGATCTGCGAATTCGATTTCTCCATCTGGGTCATCGTCATCTTCATCATCGTCGTCGTCGTCATCATCTTCGTCGTCGTCGTCAGATGTGTCGTCCGAGTCCTCCTCACCGTCTTCCATCATAACATCAACGTCCATTTCAACATCACCTGGAACGCCTTCGATCTCGCCCATGCCGTGCAAGTCATCGTCGTCATCGCTTACAACTTCGCCGTGATCGGGAGCAGGCTCCTCCTCATAGTCCATCTCGTCCTCGTAGCCGTCCTCGTACATTTCGTTACCCTCGTCCTCATCATCATCATCTTCAGATTCGTCGTCCTCTTGGCCTGTCTCGAACATGGCAAGAGAGGAGCCCCGGAAGAGGTCGGGTGTTTGCTCACGGTCATCGTCATCCTCCGAAACAGACGTCGCAGAGGAGATGTCGTCCTCATCAGCGCTTGTTCCGGGTCCACTGGATGAAGAAAGGTCCGTGGTTTGGCTGAGCAAAACGCCGAGATCGGTCAATTGCTTGAGTGGACCAAGAATGTACTTAACGGCGCGCTTCGCGTTGGGGAAGTTCAAATCCAATTCAGCAATGGCAGAGGTCAGGGTGCCGATGAAGTTCTTCTCGTACATCAATCTGCCCATGTGCTGATGGGAAGAAAAGTGACCGGTTGGTACGGCACCTGATCGCTGAATCTCAAGTTTACCACTGAGCATCTTGTTGAAGAGCTCACCCAACACGAGGAGCCGTGAATAGCGTTGGTCCAGAGGCTCCGCGGAAGAGGTCGCATCTTTGAAGGACCGCAGGGCGTKCTCGAGCACGAATTTGCGCACAAAAGTGAGCTCAGGCTCCTTGGCGGAAAAGTCGCTTGAATCTGTCGCCTGTCCGTGGCCGAGGTGGTTTTCTTGCGTCTTTGTGCACAACGAAACCAGAACTTGAGTCGCCCAATTGGAGGTCGCGACCTTTTTACGATGTGCGACATCGTCACGGTGCTCCAAAGTCCCAGGAGGCAGAAGCGTGTTCAGCAAGTAATTCAAAGTGCCAGAGCGAGGCTTGGAAGGTGTGGCAGGATTGCTGTCTGATTTCCGTGAGAAGTTGATAAACTCAACCTTGGTGCGGTTATAGCAGGCAAGAAGCTCGGCGAGGCATTGCAAGACAAAGCAGCGATAGATGTAAATCACGTGCTCCTCTGGTTTGAATGGCGGCWTGCTGCCGGCCTTCGCCTCGGTAGTGGAAGTCGTCGGTGGGGCACCAGCGACAGGTGCCACGGCGTCGGGCATCTCAACGTCAGGAGAAAAGTCGTCCATGGCAGCCCTCTCAGGTTGGTCGTCCTTTGGAGCTTGAACGGGCTTGTCCTCAACATCCTTGAAGTTGGAAAGCTCCCTGAGCAGGAACTGGACCACGCCATCGGTGGTATCAACCGCCGCGAGCTTGGATTCCACCAGCTTCTCGGTGTCGACATCTGCATCAACTGCAGACCCTGCAGCCTCAACAATAGGACCCGTCTTGTCTTCTGCGGGTGGGTCGACGGTCTTCTTCAGGGTCAGTGCCTGTGCACGATGTGGATGGCCGTCAAAGTTGGCGACCTCAAGAAGCTCCTGTGTAACTTCGACAAAAATGGTAGGGCTGCGCAAAGCCAGGTGATGGAGGTTGCGAATGTAGAGGGTAGTGTCCATGGCCCGGGATGAACGATGATTCTCAAAGACAGCTTTAATCTCCGCCCGCATGATCTGGCGAACCACCTCGTCATCCTCCACCATGTGTCGCAGGATGAGCATGAATGAGCCTTGTAGCTTTTCATCGACGGAACCCGCCAACTGGCGAATCATCAGGAAAAGTCGTCCAAGGGTATACTTCTCACTCAAACGTGTAGCAAGATCACGCCGGCGTGTGAGCACAACCAGCACACGACAGATGGACAAAGCGAGAGTGGGGTTCTTGCCGACCTTGTGCAAAATGCCAATCAGAGCGTCAAAGAGACGAGATCGATGCTCTTTTGATACCACAGGCTCGGCAACTTCAGGTACCGGCAGCGGCTTCAGAGGATCGTCTGTTGGGGGTGGGACCCATTCCACCTCGACGGGCTGCTCATCTTCGGCAAGGACACGCTCGATGATGAGCAAGACGGTGCGAATCCATGGTGCATCTTCCGCCTTTTGATCTGGCTCCAGATGTACCCAATCGACCAAGTCGCTGAAGTACTCCTTCAAGTCGTCCAAAGTGGAGTCGAAGAAGTCACGATCTTGGAGGATGAGCGCCACAAGATGAGCGTAAGCTTGAATCTTGGTCGCCAGTTCTTTGCTTGTCGGCTCTTCGGATTGCTTCAAAGACATCAAGGATTGTACCAGAGTTGAACCAATCTCCGCGCGAGGGTTTGCACCTTCGCCGGCTTTTGCCACCGCTGCCTGAATGAGGTCTGCAAGCTCGAATGTTATTGTGGGCTGCGCACTCAAAACGTCGAGGCACCGGTCGACGAGATCCTCACGAAGAGCGTCGCGACTGTCGTTCAGATCATCGACAGTCCTGAACAACACTTGGGTGTCCTTGGTCTGCCCCAAGCTCAGTGACGCGAGAATGTCGCGAGAGCGTGGATCTGTCATTGCCAGCATGTCGTTTCTGACGTCATCTGGGATCGCTCCGAGTGTGCCCAGATTGTCATCATCCGACGTGATTTCGTTGCTTCCGCCTCTGGGGTGGACTATCCGCGGGTTGCCATCGGCATCGATCGTGAGAGTCGGAGCAACGGTGCGGTGTAGGTCAGCCTCCTCAGTCTCGTCGGCGGCTCCGGACGTCATGTGTGCGTCCGCGTCAATCGTCTCCGCGGCCGGAGCTGAGTCGTCGTTATCACCTTCGGCGGGCTCGCCTTCGGGGATTGGGAATCGCGGTACATGGCTGTCYTTCAGTCGCAGCCTACAGTAAGCCTCGGCGTTGGCCTCGGAATTGTTGCATCGGTATAGAGCCTCCCTGCTGAGTGCAGCCCCAAAGCCCTTTGCCCGGAGTGCAGTCAGTCCGGCTGAGCTTGTGAGCTTGAACTCTGGTTTGTGCAGCTGTACGCGCCGACTGGCCTTGTCGCTTCGCTTCAATGCACGATCTTCACCCTCCGCCTTCAGGATGTGACGAAGTATTTCCACGATAGATTTCGTGTTCACATCTGTGAACTTATCGATGTCCCTGGAATGCCAAATGCGACTGATGGCAGGCAGTACCGCCTCTCTGATCTCAACCAAGAATTGTCCAGGAATGAAGAATTCTGCCTGGTTTCGATCCCTCGTCTGGATGATTTGCGACTGCGTAGCTTCGTTGATGCATTTGTGTCTCACAACGTGGCTGTAAAAGGACAAGATGGCGTGGACTGCATCTTTTGTTTGCGGCAAAATCTTGTCCTGGTCTTGGCTCGAGATCATATTGCTAAAGCGCTCGAGGTAGCCGTTCAACTTTGTGAAGCCGTCCGCAATGTAGAACTTGGACAACAGCAGGGTCAGCGCTTCCTTGGTGTTGGTGTGGTATGCCTCCATGGTGTGAGAGTTGCGCAGCAGCGTTCGACTGAGGTATCCGAGAATATGGGCAACGTATTTGGTCTCGGTCGCATCGTCAGACTCATGGTTGCGGCGGAAGTCAAGCTCCCAAAGCAAGGCCTTTGCCAGACACTCGGCAACGTGAATGGAGTGCTGTTTCGTAGAAGGATCGATGCGCTTGGTCACGATTGCTTGAGCAAGAGAGTGAAACACAGCCTCCATCCCCGCAGGCACCTGGCTCAACAGATAGCGAAGAGTCTTGATGTTCTTGAGCGCGAGCTTCTCTCTCCTGCTTCCGTTTTCAGGCTTTTCACCCTCGGCCTCGGCTTGTTTGACTGCACTCGGAGATTTGTCTGGGGACACCTTCACAACGCCGTTCTTGTCAATGCGACGCGCGATGTACGGGCGTGGCTCTGTCAATGTCTTGACCTTGTCAGACAGGTCTCGCTGAAGGAGGAGGTTCTCCCAGATACATGTGGCATGTAGCTTGCTGATGCTTTGGATGAGCTGAATGTACACGTCTGTGAGGTTGATGCTGGCAAAGAGTCCATTATTCTGGCTCCCATGCCGCACGCTGTACGGCGGCGGCGCCAGCGTGCGACCAAGTAGATGCGCGAGTATCTGTGCGTGGGCGAGGTGCTTGACAGTAGTGGTGCCGTCTGTGCCCCGTGTCGTGGGAGTGTCGATTGGCGGCTCTGAGAAGTTGGTGTATTGGATGAAAGAGCTGACTCTGTCCTCGCTTCCCATCAACTCCGTTAGGCTGAGGAATGTGGACTGCGTACGCTTCACCACGCTTGGGAGCACCAGGTGTGGCCTCGCTTCTCCCATGAGCTTGATTACTTGGGTGATCTTGCTGAAGACAGGAAAGGCGACCATGTCGTGCGGGTTACCTGGAGACAGTGCAAGATCGAGAATCAAGTCAATGCCAGACTCTTCGCAGAACAGGGCAGTCATKCTGTTGTTATGGAAGAATCCTTCCAAGAACTTGAAGCATACGCTCAGATATGGCACGGTGGGGGCACGTTCTTGGTCGTCCTCCGCAGCATCCTGGTTCCGGGCAGAAGTCTTTACAGAGCCGAACGCACCGTTGTAGTCTGCTGTAGAGGGACCACGCAGAGCATCGAGACCACCAGCAATGACACTTTCGTCCTCTTTGACTTCCCAAAGTTTCGCGCCGGAGTGTTGCTGGGCTGCCAGAATTACGCAAAGCTCCTTGAGACGCCTGAGCATGTTGAACACCGCCGCCATGATGTGATCTTTCAGGCGAGGGTGATGGCGTGACAGTTCATCGAATTGCTGTCCAATCATGGCAGCATGATCCTCGTCCTCAATAGCCTGCATATGCTTCGGGGACAAGAAGACATCAAAGTATTTTACCAAAGCACCGGATGCTTGGAAAAGCTGCATGCCAGACTCGTTGAGGCAGAAAGCGCCAAACGCATTTGGGACGTCCGACATGACTTCGGCGACGGGAAGAATGCCATCGATGTTGGGATACACGGGCTCACCATCATCGGTCGTCTCAAAGTGCTGGACTTGCGCGAGCGGCTTGAAGCTGTCGAGAGCAGGCAGCTCATCAGGGACCTTCGTACCTGTGATTGCCTCGAAAAATGCCGATGCAAGACCCGCTTCGCCAATAACTTGGTAGGAAGTCGGTTCGTTGTGAATGAAGCTTGTGATGATGTTCAGAGCTCCGCTCCACACATTTGAGCCAAACGTCTCAGCTTTGGCCATGACTTTACCAAGTGCACCGAGGATTTGAGGCGTATCAATGAGATTTCTGAGCAGCCGATCGTAAGTACCCGCATTGTGCTCGAACATGTGAACAGTGTTCTTGAAGAGCTGCCGAAGCGTGCATTGGTGGTAGAACGGAATCTCGTAGTCGTTGACGCTGGATTTGAATTCGGCAGGAAGCCCCTCACCATTGGTGACCTTTCCGATGGCGGCCTCCACCTGGTRGGCGGTCAGATCCGCGATGATGTTGAGCCCGTTGACATTAGCAAGAGTTTGAAAAGCCGTGGGGATCCCGTGAATGAAGCTGTCGAAGAACTGCAGTACTCGCTCATAGCACCGCTCTGCGCGAGAGGTCCGCATGCTCAGAACTTCCACGAGGATTGCCATGATGCCGGCTGTGACCATCTTTTCCGCATAACGGGCCTGAGCGTTGGCACCCAGCAGGCTGTTAACGAGGTCAAATGTAGCATCGCGCCATTCGCTCTCTTCAGCCTCGACCTTCTTGTCCGATTTCTCTTCCATGTTGAGCGCAGCAACGACCTTGCGCAGCTCATAGTATAGTGCTCCATGGTTGACAGTGATTGCAAGAGCATCGGCGACCTCGGTCACCTTATGCCGGCTCTTGGTCAGCGCTTCCAAGCCCATCACAACAGTAGTCTCCATCTGCAGTGTGAGTGCGACTTGGCCTGCCGAAGGTGGCTGCAGCAAATCGCAGAGCTGCTGTGCCAGATGGAATCGGCGGGGCTCTTCTGCATCAGGTATGCCGACCTTTTCCTGAAACTTGGACTCATTCAATGCAAAGGCCAAATTGGCAATCGCAAGCAGACGAATCTCCAGCAGCTCCTGGTTGGTCGAGTCTGATGTCGCAAAGGATTTTGCTATCCGCACACGGTTCAAAAGCTCATACCGCACCTCAGTTGGCAAATTGGGCAGAGCGTTAGCAAGCAATGACCAGGCGGGAGCCTGYAATACTTCCTCGGCGGTGATGTGGAAGGACCTTGGCGAAGTCGAAGCGGTGACGCTGTCTACCTCCCGAGACTTTACAGGGGTCGCTGAAAGATCCTCAGCACTGATTGTCCGCTCACCGGCTGATGGTCGATCTCTAGACGGGCCAAGATTGGACGTTCTGCGCGCTGGCGTTGGTGTCACAGGCGTAGCGTCTTCCAAAATCACATCTGTGCTCGATACCACAGTGGACTGTTCGTAGTAGCTCAAGGCAACGGCTGACATCTCTTGTCTCATGGCAGTTGAGAGCGGAGTCTTCGCAATGGCCACTAGATCGGAGGGGTTGAAAGATGAGGACAAACTGGACTTGTCTTTGCCCTTGCCTGGAGTCTGACCGAACGGGGCTGTCGAGTTTGGAGGCTTCGGAAAGGGCATGGCGATCTTATGCAGGTTGTCCAGGTTGAAGTTGTAGTGCTTGGCGAGCAATGCGGGCTGAGCGCTTGGGTGACCACTCTTATATCGTGCCACCTGATAACGCTGAGCCAAACGTAGCCCCAGCTTCAGACACAGTCGAAGGAGGCTGAGTGAAATTGTATGGAGTAGGTTGCTGAGATGCGTGCTGCTAGCGTAGATGCYGCGATTTCCACAGTGCTCCAGCAGGATCCGAGTGAAGTGTAGCAGCGACTCGACAAGCTCCCTGTCTCCTTCTGCCGAGTATCCCATAGTGTCAAGCTCCTGCAGCTGGGCGCCAGCCTTTGGATACGGCATATCTGCCTCTGCATCGCCTCGTTCTAGAAGTCTCCGTTGGAACGGCTGTGTCTGCGGGCCATCATCGAGGCCATACTCCTTGTTGAAGAGCTCGAGCACGTGGTCGAAGCGATTCAGTAGTGGGATCCAGTGGTAGAGATCGCCGCGTGGCATCGGCCAATGCTGGGGAAAGCCATCGAGCAGAGCGGGTAGCTCATGTAATGGGATCTTGGTGGCGCGCTCGATGAATTCGCTAACAAACGGGGAGAGAGTCGCCTTGTGATGCTCCGCGGGCTCCTTTGCAATCCTCCCCATAGCGCCGAGCGCCGCGAGCGCGGTCTTGAGCCGTGGTTGTGTGCTATGCGGCGTTGCTCAGCCCGTGCAATTCAGTGATTTCCCGGCAGACTGCCAACTCGAATATCAGGACGGGTGTGTGACGGTCTGGGACGAGCGCGCGACGTGTGCGGAGTGGTTGGGATGATGACCAAATGTGATGTAGTTGTTGCCGGAGGTGCAGAGTGGAGGAATCCGATGGACGAAGTTCGTTACGCTGGCGGCGACGGAGGTGTCTGATGTCACCGTTGAATAGTATTGCGCCGCTGTGGGACGTCAAGTGGATGTGTTTCGTCGTGTCGTGATGAACGTGGTCGTGTTCCTGGTGGTGGTAGAAGTAGATGGAGAAAGTTCGCTGCGCGCGGATCGGCGTGGAAAGTGGAAGCTCGTGCAAGCTCGAGCTCCCGGCCGGTTGCCTTCGATGTTGGTGCCCTGATGCCTGAAAAAGTCTCTGCTATCGTCCCAGACACGAAATCATCACTTGCTCAGCACATGTAAGTTAATTATCATCATTGCACTTGGACGCATCTTCACGAAGTTATATATGAGTGCCGCCGACATATGCTCAGCTCCTCCAACATTTCAAGCCACCTCCGCATGAATATTGATTGGTGAGAAATCAACGCCGCATGTGAGACGACTCTTCCCACCTTCATCTCGACCTCCTCGCAAAGGATAGATTACGAGTTCGTACATTATGACGATGACCGGCTACTGGCCTCGAGTCGACTTCTACAGTTGAGACACGGGCACTCTCTTATGGAAACACAAAGCTTCGATATCCCGTCTCCTCTTCAAATCTGCGCATTGGCGTTCCTCAAGCATACAGTGAAGCTCTTCAGACCCAATTCATCGAATCTCATTTTCTTCCCTATTGTCATTTTAGTCTTGAAAAATTGTCAACAATGGCAAGAAAACTGTTAACTCCCTTGTCCGCATGTACATCCTTCTGCTGCATTCGACTCTTCTTTGTTCTCAACCCAGCAACACACGCCATCGAACCATACCGCAATACAACTGTTCACGAAAGATGGCGAAACGCAAGAGTCCTTCGGCCAGTTCGCCTCCCCCGAAGGTGAAGAGACAGAAGACTAAAGAGGAAGTCAACATCTCCGCTGCAGAGAGCTCTGGCTCTGCATCTGTACAGGAGTCTGTACCGTTGGAAGGTACACCGAAGCCTGGAGCGAAAGAGACAACGAAGCTGCGTGTAAAGCAAACTCGCGTCAAGCGCGATGGCGGAGCCCAGCCTATACCCGTTGCGAAATCCATCAGCAGTATTGTGCGATCGAATATCCAGCAAGTACTCGAATTCCACTCCAAGAGCCCGCCATCAGAACGCTCTACTTTGGACAGAGATGGCGACAAGCGCCATCACGCCACCGTCACTGAATTGGCTGCTATTGCGGCTATCATAGTGAGTTGACTGAGACCCCCTATGTTGAACAAGATGCTTACAAGGTATAGCGCATATGCAACGACTATGAGATCATAGTCCCAACACCAATTTCTCTCGAGGCGATCAACGAGATCGTGGTACACAGATTTGAGAAGCGGCTGGGAGACAACCCATCGGTAACACACGTTGTCTTGGATTTCTCGAAGCGCAGCCATCTCGAAGACTCGATCCTCCTGAAAGTCGAAGGATACGGGCTAGCTGAAGTGCCGCTACTGGAGATTGAATTCGAAATGCTTGCTCGAGATACTGAGATCGCCGCTGCAAACAATCTGTTCCGCCACATGCAGACAGTCTATGAGGAAAGTGACAGCAGCGGTCCGGTCAGCATTGAGTACGAAGAGGCGATCGAGGACAGCGACGAGGAGGGAAATGAGCGACAACCGCTCTTCGGAGGCACCAAGGAGGTTGCCAGGGTTGGTGTTTGTCCAGCACCCCTGATGGAGATATGATGCTGAAATAATCAGTCCATGATTGGCCGGGCTGAAGGCCAATCAATTAACGAGGAACACGCTGTATGAGATCTAGTAAATGAAGGCCGGAATAAAATCCAATTTTACCTACCATCGATCTGTCTTTGTGTCGTCATCTTGGGATGGATGCTGCTCTCTTTCAATGGCAGAGAAAGGTGAAGACGGTCTTCCGTGTTCCGCCGGCTCCTCGTGCATGATCGCCCTCGGCTAGTTCCATGGTGGCCCGTGGGCTGGACTTCGCTCCGCGCACAACTTCTTGCCGCGGACGGCGACTTTCACTTTTGCACCTGCATTGATATTCGCTGCTCGTGTTCAAATTGCGTGACACACCGCAGCATTCTCAAGACACCGAAAGACTCGGCAGCTGGTGCTGGAACGGGCCCTGTGAAGTGGAAAAGAACAAATCAGACGGAGCAGACATCCCACCAACGACCCCTCCATAAACGCCGGCAATCGCTTCACTGGAGCATTTCGGATTACATCAAAGTCTTCAATTGCCCAACACCCCGACTGGGCTATCCGCAAGCTCATACACCACCGCCATCATGGCAGAAGAAGCGGAGTCGAAACCGGTCGAGCAATATCGTCCGGAGCTGACCAAGGCCACGCCGGCGGATTTTATGAGACCATCAATGCGGACGAGGGGAAATTCGGCTGGGGGAAACTCCAAGACGAATGGGGTGGGAGTACAGGTTGAGGATACGCGGATATGCGTGGTTATGGTCGGTCTGCCAGCCCGGGGCAAGAGTTTGATAGCACAAAAAGGTATGTTGCACGCTCATTTGCTGCTACAGAGCAGGAACTGACGGGCGTCATAGTTGTACGTTACCTGGGCTGGCTGAGTATCACAGCCAAGTGCTTCAATGTTGGCAATTATCGTCGCACAAACACACCGCAACCACAAGCCTCGTTCTTCGACACCTCCAACAAGGAAGGCGAGCGATTACGCAGAGCTGCAGCGGAAGCCGCCGTTGCCGACATGTGCAATTGGTTTCGCAAGCCCAACAATCTCATCGCCATCCTGGATGCCACGAATAGTACCAAGGCCCGGAGACGCTGGATCAAGGAGCGGTGCGACGCAGAAGGCATCGAGACGCTGTTTGTTGAGAGCAAGTGCGATGACGAGGATCTTATTATGAGTAACATTCTTGAAGTCAAGACCACAAGCCCGGACTACCAGGGCCAGGATCCAGAAGAGGCGGCACAGGATTTTCGACAGCKGATCAAGATGTACGAGGCGGTGTACGAGACTCTGGATGAGGACGAATCGGACATGACCTACTGCAAGATTATCGACGTCGGGTCACAAGTCATCATCAACCGGATACAAGACTACCTTCAATCGCGGGTGGTGTACTACCTGATGAACCTCCACATCAAGCCGCGATCGATTTGGGTCAGCCGAGTAAGTCTCTTCGGATTGTGCATACTGTGCTTTTGGGACAAATTTGCTGATGAAAGCTTTGCAGCATGGTGAATCAATGTACAACTTGAGTGGACAGATCGGCGGTGACGCAGATTTGTCTTCTCGTGGGCAGGAGTATGCCAAATCATTGCCTGGACTGGTGAAGAGATCTGCTGGTGATCTGCCACTCACAGTGTGGACCTCTACCTTGAAACGTACAGCTCAGACCGCCCGTCACTTGCCGTACGAGAAGCTCAGCTGGAAAGCCTTGGACGAGCTGGATTCGGGTGTTTGCGATGGACTTACCTACGCAGAGATCGAAGCAAAGTATCCACAGGACTTCAAAGCCCGCGACGAAGACAAGTACAACTATCGCTATCTTGGCGGAGAGAGCTATCGGGATGTCGTTATTCGACTTGAACCCATTATCATGGAGCTTGAACGCTCAGAAAACATACTCATTGTCACCCACCAAGCCGTACTACGATGTATCTACGCCTACTTTATGGGATCCTCACAAGAGAAGTCGCCGTGGATGGAAGTACCGCTGCACACCTTGATTAGACTGACTCCAAGAGCCTACAAGACCGAGGAGGAGCGCCTTTATGCAGACATCCCAGCTGTGAGCACGTGGCGCGAGAAGGGAAGCAAGGCTGTTCATTCGGAGACGGAGGCAAGCAAGCGCGGATCCCCTCAGATTACTGGAGAGACGAAAGTATGAGCAGATTGTTGATAGGGTGGGCTGATGCCGTTATCGAGGCACTCGCGCAGCGCGCAAGCCAGAACGAGCATTCACATGAAGTCATTCACATGAAGAATAGGTATACCACAAATCACTCGACCGAGGCTTCTACTTCTCACTTGTTCCAGACGCCTCGTGATGCCATCATCGTGCCGACTTCGCTGTTTGTATCATTCACTCTTTTGGTGCGCCGATGTTGACAAATGGGTAGGCTTTTACATCATTCGACAAACTGACAACACCAGCAATGACAGAATCCCCACTGAGACTACGAGAAATCGCGGCACTCTCCTGGACAGCCGCCCGCATAGATCCAGGCCATACAGGAGAGAGCATCGAAACCTTGCAGCGAGCGAGGGACATTACCAAGAAATGGCTTGTGGAAGTGGAGTCGGAAATGGTGTCACGTGTGGAGTTGCGTGGAGGAAGCAGTGAAGGAAGCAAAGATGTTCGAGAAGGAAGTGATGGGGCGAAGAGCAGATGTTGTCTGCTTGTGCTTTGGAAGGCATACAAGGCTGCGAGCACTACTGCRGGTGATGGCAAAGACTTTAAACTGCTTTGTCACATGTATGCGGGATTCTCGGCGCGTGTTGCTGAGGCGGAGTCAGAGATTGAAAGGCTGTCTCGTTTGGAGGAGGCCGAAATTGGTGCAGGAGGTTCGTCCAGTGCCACGCGGAAGAGCGACTCGCCAACAACCAGCACGGATTCAAGTCGGCGGAGTCGTAAGCGGCGGAGTGGTAGAGCGTCGACTCACGCGGCTTCTCCACGAGGAGAAGCTAGCTACGGCTCTTCAGAGTGTGTCGGAGCTGCGCAGAGAGTGGAATCTACATCGAGTGGAAGCCGCAGAGAAGCCAAGCCCAGGTCTGGACGAAGCTCTGCGGAGGTTGGTCACGTTTCGAGCAAGAGTATCAGCTCGGGGGAGCGTGTCGAGACTGGGGCAACGAAGACAGCCGAGATCAATCATACGACCGCAGAATCGACGGGATCTTCAGCCATAGGCAAGGAAACTTCAACAACAGCTAGCAGGTCGCACAGACGGTCCAGGAAGGAAGTCACTACATCATCACGGAAAACACGAAAGACCGAAGAGGTCATATCCAAGGCGCCACGTGTTGCCGGATCGATGGGACCTACAGAGAAGGTCCCACAATGGTTGGAAACGCTGCCAGGTTCTGAAGATTCAGGGTATATCGTATGAGTCTCTGTCTTCTGGAGAAGTGTTTATGGGATAGTGCAGCTAAACATGCTTGGAGTCGAGCCAAGTGAGCTTAATTACAGTCCAATGCCCGGAGAGGTTGCAAGGGTATGCAATATGGCAGTCTTGTACGGCGAGTTTCAGACTGCAGTACATCCTTCACGATCTCGGTGACAAACTAATCGGACCACGGGGGCAGCTTTTGGTTGGTGAACTTGAGGTTCCGCCAAAATGTCGGAGATAGCTCGACTTTTCGTTGATATGAATAAGGCCGATGATGTTGGCTGTGGGGTCGATTCGCGGGATGTGTGAGTGGGGGGCTAACTTAGTAGTTTTGGCGAGACCAATTTCGACGAGGGCTCGGTAACTTTGGCGTGTTCGATGGTGTTCATCGCTTCGTTTCGTCCCATCCATTCACATCAATCGCATTCCAGAAGATGACACTTGATGCATTTGACAGCACTCCATGGGCACATGATGACAGGTGTGACGACTGAATCTAGATTGTGGGCCGCTGCGCTGGACGGAAGTGGACGTTGCCAGACGCCACACGGACCCGCCGAACCACGTGCATATTGGCGCGAAGGTTGATCCCAGCGGCGATCGTTCCATTTCTGTTTCCGCTCGATCACGGTTCGCAAACTCTCCTCACAACGCTCTTTCCAAGAGTCAGCATGCTTGCGAGATCGCAGGCGACAACCAATTGCGCCATTAAAGCATGTCTGAGCACCGCTCCTCGCGGTGGCAGTGCAAGAGTATAGCAATCCTGAAGTCCCCGGTGGCACAGCATTGATTAACTTTCGGAGCCATGGTGAGGGCGCTACTGTGATAGCGTCAGCCTCATCGCTTGCGCTGGAAGTGGACGCGGACTCGGATTGGGGCTAAATGCGGGATCCTTCGCTCATTCGAGTGTCGCCCTCTTCAGGTCTTCTCTTCGCTTCGTGCGCCGTGTTTCCGATTTCCTCGACTCGACTTCACTTCCTCGCGGTACCGCTGACATTCATTACACAAGGCGGAACTTCCATCGCAGGCCAGTGGAGAGAAGGATACCGTGTGCCCCAGGACCATGCCGACGTGGCAGCGTGCGAGAAGCAACACCGCGACTCCACAGGAATACCCTTGAAAGACCAAGACTGCTCTCGCCATGACGCCGCTCATTACTGAGAGCTGGATCTGGTGGGCAATTGTGATCTTGGTGGCACTAAGCAGATTGTGAGCACATTCCTTCAAGGCGGCAGGATGAAGCTAATGGGCTGCCAGTATCTCACGGCGAATGGTTTTTGGTTCCTTCAAAGGCTTTCAATCGGATGATTATGGAATGGTGGCAGTACTGTGCTTCTACACTGTCTTTATTGTCGCCATCAACATTGTGCGGGACAGTAGCAGTAATTTACTTCCACCGGGTTTCGACATGGACTCTCTCACACCGGAGGACATTGCTCGACGCGCATACGGAAGCAAGCTCGTCCTGGTGGTGGAACAATGTCAATGTGTAACGGTTTGTACAGTTGAGTGCCAAGACTTGACTGCATACTGATTGTAGTGATAGGTATGGGGAGCAAAGTGCTGCCTGCTGATTCTTTACTTGCGCTTGACAACGCTGCGATGGGAGAACATAGCCATCAGAGTACTCCTCGGTTATGTCGTCATTTCCTTTGCCGTCATGGAGATTCTCTACTTTGGAGTCTGGTGCCGACCTTTCCACGACTACTGGGCGGTTCCAACACCGAACGTCCAATGCAACGCAGCGACGAATCACCTCATTATGAACACGACCTTCAATTTGACTTCAGACGTCATCATGTTGGCTGTTGGTTTGCCCATGTTCCTCCGCCTGAATCTGCCATGGCAGAAGAAGTATCCTCTTATATTGGTGTTCTCCCTTGGAATATTTGTCATTTTGGYCGCGATTCTCAACAAGGTGTACTCCTTCACCCAGCCTTTCGGATCGCTGTGGAGTTTCTGGTATGTCAGGGAAAGCTCAACTGCTCTTTTGGTCGCCAACCTGCCATTTGTCTGGAACTTCTGGAGGCGAGTGGGGGGATTTAGCTCGGTTATTGGAGGAACCAAGAAGGGAACGACGAGGGTAGCGACGGGACTAAATGTCTCTCGTCAGCAGGCAAGCGCACCGAGGGGATGTGAGATGCCCGGGTTCATTACAGAGTGGCCTCTGCAAGACGAAAAGGATGGCAGCGAGCCTTTACAACGGGTGTCTTCGAAAGAATCCGTCGACGATCGCAAAGGGCACAGCTTATCATTCGAGGAAGCGCTGCGTGTCACGGACCGTCCTGGATCACATCAACGGGATGCTACACATACAGAGCCCCGTGCACACCTCACGCCACGCCGAGATTCGAGCTCGGCAACTACATACAGCGCCACCCCTGCTTCATTGAACGGTCCCAGCTGGTCTGCGGGCTCATTTGTGTGAGGATGAAAGCAGGAGTCAATAGACGACAGATGACGAACAGTACGATACCCCACGAATCGACGAAACATTCCATTGCATGCCTTGAAAGGCGGCAGGTGAATACCTGGCTTTGAGATCTGACAGGGACCATGGCCAACATTCATGAAGAAGTCGCCACCATATCCTGTGGCTGGTTGAGATGGAACCTGACGTCGGCAGCGCAGCTTCTCGCATGGAGCAGCAGTGCACCCTTTGTCGCTGACAGTGCTCAGAGCATGTAGATCATCGTTCAGACCCTGTCTATCATGAAGTGCTGATGCATCAGGGTTTKAAGCAAGTGATGCGGCGAGAAGATCGGCGGCTGGAGTTGGGAAGGAACYGCACGTGTCCCCGTTGAGAACGGGTGGCAGCCAGCCTGCAAATTTGCCAGGCTTCGGACGATGCTCAAGAATCAAGCAAAATGAGTTGATCCAGCACCGAAAGAGACAACACCACCACAAAAACTCATCATCACGAACAGAGCGCTCGAGATGTTTTTCAATTCAGTTTGATAATGCTTGCTTGCTTGCCGTGTTGTTGTCAAGAACATTCGTCCGAGTTGTCAAGCCAGACAGCCGTTGCTCAGGTACAGTACCAAGTTCTGGCACAACGGCTACCCACCCCCGTCAACAGCTCTTTCGCAGCGGCTTTTCAGCGTAATGTATATACGCAAGCGGCTGGTTTGTACTGCCACTCCATTTCAACAGGCGGCTGGCAGGGCTCACGAGGTTGAACATGAGTTGATATACAGGTACGCTGAACATTTCTGGTCAATCTCAATCCTCTCTTCACATTCCATTTCTTGTCTCTTGTTGTCCTCTCCTCAAGTTCAAACACGGGAGAAGATGCGTCAATCAATCTCTGCTGCCGTTGCGCTCGCAGCCAACGCTGTATCTGCACAGATTTCATCACCCGTCTCTAGCGATACGACTTGGCAATCGATACCTTCAGCGACGACATTATGGAACTCCGAGAATGGCGCACCGATTGACATGCAGCCCTCAGCGACATCACCAGTAACTCCACAGACACAGGTGCCTGATGTACCAGGAACAGCAATAAGTACACTGTCTGTCTGGGCGACAGTTGACGTGACGGTCACGGCGTGTTCACTTCCAGCAGGAGCTTGCTCTGCCCCACCTACAAATTCTGACCCATCTGGATGGCCAGCCACACCGACAGCACCAGGGTGGACACCTCAATGGACCGGGCTACTACCTGACTGTGATTTACCCAGTAGTCCACTGACAAATCAGCAACAAGTCGGAGATAGCATACTAGGGACTCTCTGCCAACCGCCTTTGCCACAATGGTTACCGGGTGTGGAAGTGGATACGCCTGCACCGGGGAGCATACCGGGAGGAGCAGGCTTCACACCGGATCCTCTGGGGAAGAGACAATTCGACACTCCTCCCTGGGGTGATCGCACAGTACAAAGCGCCGACGCGGTCAACGATGCGGATATCCCCAATACAGGAGTGACTCGCAGATACGACTTCTCCGTCACTCGTGGGGAAATCTCGCCTGATGGTGTCACTCGACAAGTCATGATGGTCAACAATCAGTTTCCAGGTCCGATGATTGAGGCAAACTGGGGAGGTGCGTATTTCAACATGATGTTCTTGATTATCGCTAATCCTTTACAGATTGGATTGAAGTGACAGTGACCAACAACATTGAGTATCCCTTTGAAGGCACAGCCATTCATTGGCACGGATTCCTTCAAAGGGGAACCAACTGGGCCGATGGCGTTCCCTCTATCGGGCAATGTCCGATTGCACCATCGAAGACGCATACCTACAGATTCCAAGCACAACTCCATGGAAGCTCTTGGTGGCACGCTCATTACTCTGCTCAATACACCGCGGGTATTTTGGGGCCTATTGTCGTCCACGGACCGACTTCGCTGCCTTATGACATTGACGTTGGCCCTGTCATGCTCACTGATTGGTATCATCTGCCATACTTCAGCATTGTCGCGGACGCAGTCGGGACGGACATGTCGGTCATTCCACCAACAAGCGACAGCTTGCTCATCAACGGCCGTGGTCGGTTTGACTGCTCGCTACCCCCGACAATTTCGAATGAGCGTACCGAGTATGCTGCCAGCTTCGTTCCTGCCAACGTTACCTGGACCTGTGTTGACAATGCGGAACTGGCAAAGTTCAAGTTCCAGCCTGGAAAGACGCACAGATTGCGATTGATGAATGTCGGCGCCGATGGTGTGCAGAAGTTCTCCATCGATGGCCACCAGATGACAGTCATATCCTACGACTTTGTCCCCACAACCCCTCATACCACCGATGTTGTGACACTTGGCGTTGGTCAGCGTGCCGATGTTCTCGTGACAGCCGACAACGACAGCGCGGACAAATTCTGGATGCGCACCTCCGCTCCTGGTGCCGACGTTTGTGGTGGCTCCGACCAAGGAGAGATCCAAGCTATCGTCTACTACGAAGGAGCCGATACAACTCTCGATCCCACCACCACAAGCACGGTGACGGACAATTCTTGCGATACCCTCGCCATTGACGCTGTTGAGCCAGAATACTCCATCACTCCCAGTAGCGAGGGAGTCTACCACCTCGACCTCACCATCGCATTGATCAAAAACTCCACAGGAAACATGGAATGGCAACTCAACTCCCAAACCTACCGTGCCAACTTCAACGTCCCACTCCTCTACGAAGCGGTAGAAGGTCGCACCTCCTTCCMAGATGAACCGCAATGGCACACCCYCAACCTCGCCAACAACGCCACCATCATCGTCAACATCACCAACGCCACCCCATTCTACCACCCTTTCCATCTCCACGGCCACAACTTCTACGTCTTGAATGAGGGACAAGAAGGCACGGTCTGGGATGGCACCACCCGCAATCCCACCAATCCCATGCGGAGAGACACGCAGATGGTGCCGCAACTAGGCTGGGCGGCATTGCAGTTTGAGAACGACAACCCGGGAGTGTGGCCTTTTCACTGCCACGTTGCATGGCATTTGTCCGGGGGGTTGGCGATGAATTTCATCATGCAGCCTGACAATATCCCCACGATTCCAGAGGGCGAGAGGGCGGCGACTTGTTCGGCTTGGGACGAGTATTCAAGGGAGAATGTGGTGGATCAGATTGATGCTGGGTCGTAGTGAGGACGCATCTCTGGGTTACTTGATTCTTTCTTTCTTTCTTTTTACACCCTTTGTAGCTTTTGCTTGAGGGTGTTTTTGTCATTTTGGCGTTTCACGCYGCAGTGCAGACGTTTTACTTTGCATGCATGGAAGGCGTTTATTGCTTGAAGCAAGAAGGCGTTGGGACTTTTCTGAGTCAATCGTTGAATACCCTACCTATATAAATTAACGACAACAACATTCATTCCAAGTCTATCGTCCTTTATTCTCTTGTTATTGTTTCTGTCCTGTGAAATCGCCTGGGGATGAAGTCTACCGAGTGTCATCAATCTGAGGATTTCTCCTCATTGCATTTCCTTCGTCGTAGAAGAAAGTATTGGTTTATCTCCGCAGAGGACTATATATGTCAGATCAAGAGAGAAATTGCGTGTAACAATCGATGAAGTGAAGGACATAAGGACGGGGTTTCTTCCTTCTCATCGGGTGTTTGTTCTTCCACCCCAACCCCCACTCCACTCCCATTCACATCAGCGACGACATCAACACACCCCGCAACAACAACTACCATCGATCGTCCATCCTCACACCTCAACAAAACTCCTCCCCACAACCCACCCTGCGAAAATGTCCATCCTCCACATCGTAATGTTCCAATTCAAACCCTCAATCTCCACGACTCAAATCCACAACGTACGTCTCCTCCATCCACAACCAACCAACCACCTAAGCAATACTAAACATCCTTCTCATCAAAAAATAGATCTGCACCAACATGCTCTCCCTCTCACAAAAATGTCTACATCCAGAATCCCAACAACCCTACGTCAAATCCTATGGGGGAGGGAAAGATACTTCGCCTGAAGGACTCCAGGTTCGTGATACCCTTTCGCTACCAAAAAACATACCATGATGGTTGAATAGGTTGACTGATTGTTCACAGGGAGGACTCACACATGCTTTTATTAGTGAGTTTCAAAGTGAAGAGGATAGGACGTATTATCTCCAGCGAGATCCTGCACATTTGGCTTTTGTGGCGAGTTTGGATGGGGTGGTGGAGCAGGTGCGCGTGATGGATTTTGAGAGTGGCAAGTTTTGAGGATCATAATGGGATTGGGTGTGATGCACATCTCATTCATTTTCAAGAYGATAATGGTGCTTAGCTGTCTAGCAGCCGGCAAGTCTATGCACAAACGCTTGAACGCCGCATGAATAAATTTGTCTCTCTCTGTAATGCCATCCTTCCTTCCCGTCGCGGTGTCTATGAGATGCTGAAAGACTCTCCACACCCACATTGTTCCGCTGTGACAAATGTCAGTGACAATCTCCTTGATGATGATGGGCAAGTACTCACTGATGTTGGGATTCCTGAAGATGAATCTTGCACTCAATTTATCCTCCAACCAATCCATCTCACTCCCAATAATGCTGAACAGCGCCTTGCTGTCAATCAACACCTTGACGCCATCCTGCTCGACCGTCTCATCAAAAGCACCCGGCTTGTCGACATACTCCAGATGATAGGCCAACCCACTGCACCCTCTGTTCTTAACTCCGATTCGGATGAGTTTGCTGTCTGGTGCATCGAAGAGGGCGTGTAGTTGAGAGACGGCTACAGGAGTGAGGGTTATGGGAGCTTTTCTCGCGCGGAGCTTGCTCTTCTTTGCTGGAGTCTTGGTCGCTGTTGTGGATGATGATGATGTTGTTGTTGTTGAAGTCGCAGCAGTTGCCTTGCTCTTCTGTGCTTCCTCCTCTCTGATGCTGACATTCGATGCGGCGTCTTTACTTTGCCACGGAGTAGCCGGTGGCCAAGTAGTTTGTGAGGAAATGCTCGTCTCGGGAGTCCCAGCATTCTTTGGTGGCAATATCGGCGCTTCTGATTCGAGCGTTGGAGGTCGGTAGGCGGATTCAGTCATGAGTGGACGCTTGGAGGACTGAAACTTTGGTTTGAAGGAGGAAAAGGGACAGCGTTGGGCTTTGAGACACTGCGCGCATCTTCGAGTGGCGGCTGGTTGGGCGGTGAAGCGGAATATAGTCGCCAGAGAAGGCGCAGAGGTGCGAAAGGTGGCCATATTATCCTGTAAGTATGGGAGTGGTGGATGAGGCGGGGAGGAGGGGGACGGTGAGGTGGTTGAATCGCAGGTGGTGTCGTGCTTTGGTGGATAGATGGAGATGAGAATGACGAAGGGCAGCTCGGCAAGAACGAATCATGTATAAGCTTTGCGCTATTGGTCAAAGGGCTCGCTTACCGGGGAGACTTCGGCAGATCCCGACCGGCGCGCCTGCCTTTCGCGCGTGCCAACAGCTTTGCGCGAGAAACAGCATTGAAATCATCTCACGTGTTGAAAGTCCTCGCAATATCGATCTCGTCGCATTCCATCATCCTCCACTTCCACGTTCATTTGACCAGCCCATCTCCATCATGGCGACCAACGGCGCCACTGTCCCCCCACCCCCAGCAGGCCCTGGTCCTACACAAACCGGCAGCAAACCCGTCCAAATCTCAGAAGTGCAGCAATCATCCTCAAGAGAAAACCGCACCGCAGCTCACTCACATATCCGTGGTCTGGGCCTCCGATCAGATGGTTATGCCGACCCCAACGCTCAAGGTTTCGTCGGGCAGACCGCTGCGCGCGAGGCATGCGGTGTTGTGGTGGATTTGATTCGCGCGAAGAAGATGGCCGGCAAAGCCATCCTTCTCGCGGGAGGCCCGGGAACGGGAAAGACTGCGCTCGCTTTGGCCGTCAGTCAGGAGTTGGGGACCAAAGTGCCGTTTTGTCCAATGACAGGGAGTGAGGTGTACAGTGCAGAGGTCAAGAAGACAGAGGCTTTGATGGAGAACTTCCGACGCGCCATTGGGTTGAGGGTGCAGGAGAGGAAGGAGGTGTATGAGGGAGAGGTGGTGGAATTGACGCCGGAGGAGAGCGAGAATCCGCTGGGAGCATACGGACGCACAATTTCACATCTCATGATCACCCTGCGGAGTAGCAAGGGAACCAAGAAGCTCAGACTAGATCCGAGCATCTACGAGGCCATTCAAAAAGAGAGGGTGCGATTGGGAGATGTCATCTACATTGAGGCGAACACGGGGGCAGTCAAGAGGGTCGGTCGTTCGGATGCCTTTTCCACAGAGTTTGATCTCGAAGCGGAAGAGTATGTCCCCGTCCCCAAAGGAGATGTGCACAAGAAGAAGGATATCGTGCAGGACGTCACCCTCCACGATCTGGATGTTGCCAATGCAAGACCTCAAGGTGGACAGGACGTGATGAGCATGATGGGCCAGCTTATGAAGCCGCGCAAAACTGAAATCACCGAGAAGCTGAGAGGGGAGATCAACAAGGTCGTCAACAAGTATATTGACCAGGGAATAGCAGAGTTGGTTCCCGGTGTGCTCTTCATCGACGAGGTATGCTTCTTCCACCCCACCATTCCCATACCCAACTAACGCTCAATCTAGGTCAACATGCTCGACCTGGAATGCTTCACCTACCTCAATCGCGCTCTGGAATCCACAATCTCACCCATCGTCATCCTCGCCTCAAACCGTGGTCAAACAACAGTCCGCGGCACGGCAAGCCTCCAATCAAACGACCCCGGCCTCGTCTCCGCCCATGGCATCCCATCAGACCTCCTCGCCCGTTTACTCATCGTCCCAACTCATCCATACACCGCGACAGAAATCCGCACCATCATCCAAACTCGTGCCAAACTCGAATTCGCATCACCGACAGCCCCTCAACTAGCGGATAACCCTCAAGCACTCAAGGTTTCCGCCACACTTTCTCCGGAAGCTTTGGAGGAGTTGACGACACAAGGCGAGACGGTCTCTCTGAGATATGCCTTGCAACTTCTGGCGCCCGCTAGCATTCTGGCGCGAGCGAGAGGCAGTGAAGGGAATGTGGTTAGTGGGGAGGATGTTGCGGAGGCTAAGAGTCTGTTTTGGGATGCGGGGAGGAGTGCTGGGCAGTTGAGGGAGAGGGCGGGAGAATTCATCTCTTGAATGGGTGGTTGAGCGAGGAGAACTCAAGGAGGAGTTCAGGTCTTCGAGTCTGGGGAGGAGTGCTCAGTAGGTGACGCGAAGAATGCTGTACCAGTAAGAGGAGAGAGCTTAGATGGCTCGTAGCGCAGGGCGAAAGAACGATAAAATGAGCGCAATGTACTTTTACTATCCACATCATGTAAGTTGGTCGCCCTCTTATGATCATAATACTCCCTTTCGATGCAACGAAGGATAAGTTTGTCGAGCTGGCTTCTCTGCTCTCACACTATCATGCAATCCTCGGCTCTCCATCACCCTGGCTCTGTCAGAAAATCAACTATAATGTATTCATGGAGATGCTTCCCTCTCTTGGTTATATCACATAATCGAATGATAAGGTACTACAGATTCTCCCCTAACCCTCTATGATGTGAAATCAGATATACATGTACATGTGCCTGCCAGTCTTTGCGAGCATGAGAAGGTAGTTACATCTCTCCATTGATTCTTTCCTGCAAGAGAGAGCACGTCTAGGGTGCTTGCCTCCGGGCTTCTCCTACCTATTCGAAGCATTTCCAACCTCTTCACGTCTTACAGCAACAACAACAACAGCAAACATCGTAAACAACATTCGATAATCATCAGCTACGACCATCATCAGATACGACCATCATCAGATACAACCATCGACAACCATCATTAACACCCAATCAAAATGGGAGACTCCAGAGCCCCCGATCAACTCGTCGAGAGATCTCGAACCAGAGAGCTTCTACTCCTTCGCGATAGGAAGCATACGAAACTGGATTCTCGCGCTCAGTGGCGGAGAATCTACTGCGGTATTACACTCGCGGTGATGATAGTAGGCGCGGTAATAGTAAGTATCGAGACTGTTCTTTGAAATGAAGTGAAGCTGATGTACGTATAGTGGCATGTTTTCTTTGCGAAAAATTGGTGGAGTAAGGGCTTGGTGCCGATCACGATTGCATGGTGGCTGGTGGTGTGGATCCTCTGCTTAGGAATGTGGTTGTAGAAGGGAAAAGCTGACTTGTAGGAGATTCTTGCTTGGAGATTGAGGGAATAGATGGGGTAGGAGCTGGTTGACATCGTTAGAGCATGGAGGACGACATGAGTAGTTACAGTCGCTTAGAGGTACATGGCCGATCTTCATCTTAGCAGAGAAGTTCGAATGGTAAGGCGTTCTTGCCTTTTGCGACGTGGGCAGATGGGGAATCTCTGTTTTGCAAGTGCATCGAGCGGACAACAAGGTATGCATTAGTCGGCCAGCGTCATGGAATTGCACATCTTCTTTGGAATGCCGGTGAGTAGCAAAGCGTTGCGCTAAACTACAGATTGCAAATGGGAACCTAGGTCGGTTCCTCTATTCTAGAAGAGAACAAAGCGACGAACGTTTGCGATCTCTCTATACTCAGCATTGTACTCAGTGTACGCTTCGAAGTTACATCATTGGTCTCTGGGTCTAAAACCTTTTCAAACGCAGATAACGAGGCGGCCTTTGCCAAGGCTTCATGTGAAAATTTAACCTCTGCTGCTCAATGACATTTTCTCTACTACGGCTCCGAGAAGTTGTCCCAAGCATCAGAAAACATCTGCAGACGACACAACTCTCAGCCTCCCATACAGACTTCCGGGAATCAACCAATATGTTCTACTTTAAGCTTGCTGCCCTCTCGGTCCTTCTTGGAGCTGCTATGATATGTCATGTCTCCGGCTTCCACATCAAGGTCTGAGAACTGGAAGAAACGGAGAAAGACTGTGACTACGATACGGTAATGATAGACTTGAACCGTTAGCGCTGCAACATTCTCGACGGATACTGCCATATCGCATGACGCCCGTTCAGGCTGTTTGGATTTTTTCAGCATGGGTGGGCTCACATTTCCAAAGCTGTCGATATGGGGGTTGTTCGTTGGAACAAGACATCCTCAGTCATCCTCACAATGTCAAAAGGCCTCGCTCTCTGCAGGCTAGACGAATCTAGACCTGCTAGAATTCTTACTACTAGCAGAGTAGCCCGTTAATCGACCGAGAGAGCAGTTCAAGGCGCTGCTCTTTCTAACGATTTCTCATATCGACAGCTCTGCTCATTTCCGGAGCCAGGCACGATGAAAGGTAATACTAACGTCCGAATTTCATCCTAGTAAAAATAGTGTGAAAGAAGCCATCTTCACTCTAACACTCATGTCCTTCTAGCCCTCTGGGCTGTGCCCGACGATGACCTTGCAATCTGATCCACATATGTAGACTGGAATCGGCTCGGTGTTGGCACTCATGACTTCAAGCCGGATGAGCTTCTTGGTGGATGGGGCTACTCAGGTTTTCGTAATGGGGATGGTCGCTGAGTGCTTCAAGTGAGTGGTGAAGTGTCAAGTGTTAGTGTTGGTGTTGAGTTGATGGTGCTGGTTGAAGTACGGTAGAGAATTAAGGTTTGATACATGGGAGATATTACGTCATCTCCTTGTGATAATCGCCAGAATTGGACATTTGACAGCAGGTGAAGTGAAGTCAGTTGGACCCTAGAATTTATGCCCTTGAACCTTATCCAACCTAGAGTACCTTAMTACCTGAACAACATTCAATTCCAGCCTCAACATCTCACAAACAATCACCAACCTGGAAACGCCACCGACCCACCGCTCGACCGGCAGTCTCCTCCCTATTACGCACAATCCTGCATGCCAGCATGCCCCCGAAGATTTCTCCCGATAAAATCATAGATGAAGGCATGGATGTGGATGACGGTACCCCTGCCGCATTGTCACACGTTTGCGGGGGTCTAGTGATGCCATTCAAAGCAAGTATCAAACTTGCCATCAACGAGCTGGTTGACCCACGAGGCACCGAGAAGGAGTACCGAGAGTTCTACCTGCCTGCGGTGCTAAAGGACCTGCAACTCTAGGGCTGGACTGATGACATGGTCACCGAAAGCGTCATGCGATGGATCAAAAACCGTTTCCTGATTCGCGTCGTGGAGTCCGCGAAGAGGAACCTCATGGTCTCTCAAGACACATGCGACAAGCAAGACGCTAAGGGATTAAAACTGTATGTGTCGCGCTCTATTCACTGCTACGTGAATCAACGCTTCCACAGCAAGAAAATGAGGAAAGGAAGGACGATGCTAGCATTCTGACTGATCGAGGTGCGGGAATCAGGGGTTACCCGCCACATCTCTTTTTCAAATAAATTGTAGGATATATTCAAATTCGAACTTGCTGCTTCGACTATAATGCACATTCGCTTTGCTACTTAGCTCTACCCTCGCCGTCTAAGCTCTGTATATCCTAGAGGGAGTGAAACTCTAGACAGAGGCGGCGTCGAAGGTAAAGCACGATGCGCTAAAACTATGTACCTACGCGTAAATCTAAGTCGGCGGATTTGAGGCAGGATATCTATGCTAAGCGTTCGCTCTCGTTGGAAATTCATAGTAATATGCTATTTTGTCCTAAGCTAAAGGCATAAGATATCGATTTTGCATAAAGAGCAGATTCAGATAAGGAGGWGCAGGAGGGGCGAAAAATGAGGTGAATGACTTTTCACGTAAAGTACAATAAAGCTTATGTACATACGAATCCCATCGCATGGTAAAAAATAACAGACGCCTAGCTATATCTCGCGATCTCACCGAGATTCTAGTCAGCTATGCTAAACAGCGCTGCACTCGATGTATCAGATCCCCGTACTCTCAAGAGAGCAATTCTAGCGTGAAAATGTCTGGCCGGTCAAGTTTGAACATGGAAAATGCCGATACAATTGGCTGTGGGCGGAGCAGGTCTGTTTACGCGAGGATTCCCCTCGTCCACCCCCTGCCGGCGGCTTCAGTCGCTTCGCAGGTGATGAGAACCTCGCCGACGAAGCTGATTATGAACGAGTGATCAATGCATACCGGCAGGCGGACAGGGACGAAAACATCCCGTCCCGGAAAATCCTCGATGTCAGAGAGACTCCAGCTCTCTGCATCTTTGACACCAGCTGGCTCTCCCCTGACCACGTGCGCTTCAAGGAGGCCGAGCGGGTCATGCAGTGCCCGAACAACACGGTCTCGCTAGCTTGCTACAACATGTCGATCATGCTAAGATCGGAACTCTTCATTAACCGTGCGGGAGGGTCGCGTACGGGTGCCGAGGCATGGTGCTACGCAAGGCCGCCTCCCGCCTTTATTCGAAGCGCTTGGAAGCTTCGATGGGGTGCAGCGGGCGACACAATCGCCCGGGCCGAGATTCGGGCTCTGGAACGTGTCGCTGCGCTTGGTCTCGAATGGCCTTTTGCGACGCTTACGATTAACAATGCCCACAAAGCAATACTGGCTCAGGCCACGGGTGACGACCCTTTCAAGAATCTAGTCAAGAAGGTGACTTCAAACAGTACGAAGCCGTGGTACAGTTGGAGCTCCACATAAGACACCGATGACTATTTACTAGTCTGCCCAGGCCGGAGAGTTTTAGCGAGTGATGGGAGCAGTTCATGCCATTCGCGACTGGAGACATGGCTTTGCCACGATTGCTCTCACTAGGAAGTGCCCTTTATTGGCTCGATGTCTTGCATGCTGATATGTGCGGTGGCTTTACCAAGCGCGTAGATAGCAGCATGAAATCTACTTGCCATGCTTCTCGAACTCCCGCAGTGTGCTTATTTGGACTGGTTAGCTTAATGAATGGGTTTAATTAAGAGGTGAATCCATCCAGTTTGATAGCTGCATAGCTGCATGGCTGCATGGCTGCATGGGTAGTTGCTATACAGCACAGGCTGCACAGCATTGTTGTTCAAGAGTTTACACACTAAGAACGAGTAGTTGGCTGTCGTGAATAACATCCCTTGGCGTTCCTCCCTATCAAGCTCACATGAGCAAGACTACCCATTGTCCACGGCAAAGAAAGAGCGAGCTCGGCTCGTTTAATGCTTCCACTTAATCAAAGATATGGACGAATTTGTATATCAATACCTAGTTTTGAAGGTGCTATCGCTAACATCGTGCCCGCCTTCTGTGTGATCTTACATCGTCCCTTAACGGGGCGCGATCGCCAGCACAAGCCCGTTTCGTCTCACCCTGAACATTCAACACCAAACAACAACATTGAATCTCAACATGGCTGAGCCTCCACCGAAAAAACGCCGCCAGTCCCATGTCCGTGCCAGCCATTTGGACCATTCGATTGTGTCTCTCGACCGCCCGAGCAGCAGCGCCACTCACACCAGCGCATCCGTCCATGACGAGATTACCGTCGAAGAACATGCGGCTTTGATGGATGCGCTGAACTCAGTCAAGGGGGATCRGAGAGTCGTCACGAGTCAGTGTACGTCGTCGTTGGCAATAAGATGAATTCTGACGATCCCTACCGGAGCCAATGAGACCATCAACCAGTTATGGCAGGACGTCAAGACCTTGAACGAGCGGATCGAGTTGATTGGTAAAGCCCACGAGAAAAATCTGCAAACGGAAGCAGCGAGATGGAACCAGCTGCACGAGGCCAGGGAGACAACATTGCGGGAGCAGCTGGATAGCAAAGACCGAGATATGCAGCATCAGCGTCAGACTCATAAAGAAGCCATGGAGGGACACCGTCGCGTCTGCGAGGAAGATATGAAGGCACAGCGCCGCTCCTGGGAAGTTGAAATGCATGCACGGTTGCAGGGCAAACACGTGGCCACGGAGACGCGCATGCAACCCAAGGATGACAGTTACCATGCCTACCCAGAAGCTACGCGGGCACAGGACCATGTCCGCGACGAAGACATGGGAGCGCAGCTCCAGCAGCTACCTCGGCAAACCAGCCAGCACATTGGACCTTCATCGCCTTACCCACCAGAGCAAGATCTCGTGRAGGTAGATCTCCCCTTCCCCACCCAATGACTGTTTGATGCCGATGAGGACGGAAGGGAGGTCCTTGGCCCGATCGGGGTCCTGCCAGACGGAGCCAGAGGTCTCGTCCAAGAGATAGTCGATCAAGCGAAAGAGAAGAAGTCAACCGGTTGGCTATCGTTCCTACAAGGAAAGCGAGGAAAACGCACGATGAACGACCTGATGAATACCAAAAGTGTATGAACGAACGAGTTGGAGGGGCAGCAGAGTTGTAGGCAATGCTTTGGAAGGCAGAGGGCTTGCTTACGCTTCGTCGATGGTGTTTTCAGACTGCTTCCTCTGCTATTGAGCATGCGTCAGGACTCTACGCCGCACATGCTGTCATGGTACAGAGCTAAACACCCATCAACCGTGAGCGACAATCCAGAGCTTTGGGTTGCATAGCCAAGCGAAGCGGTAATGAGGGATTCGCCGAGGGAGTCGCAACGGAGCTTCATCGTGTCGCTCAACACATTGCCTGTGATAGACGAGAAGGACTGCATCTAAACTACGATGATATATAGCGTCGACAGCTCGAGAGCATGTGATAAAGAGTTTGATTTGCCTGGTCTGAATGGATTTCATCAAGAGAGTGGTCTATTCCAAATGGACTCCGATGCGATAAGTCAATATCCAGTGGGTGATGAGGCTTTTCAATGGCATACAGAGTAACAATGGTGAGTTCCTACCTTATTCATGGCTGCCCTGCAGTCTCTGCGGCTGTGTCCTCCTCAACAGGTCCTTGTCGTCAAAGTAAAGTATGTATTCGCTACCAAGCTCATTTGCCGAAGCTCTGTTTCGACACCGCACCCGCCGATGCAAGATACATCGCCTCACGTATGCATTGATATCGTATTCTATCGAGTCGAAGGTAGAGAAATGCCATCTTATTGAGCTCAAAGGCTAAGTTCTACAAGCAATGCATTCGATGCGACGATTAGTTACTGGCATTATGGATATTGCCCTCTGCTAGCAGATTGGCACCTGGTCGGCAAGCACATCGTAGCGGCGATGTTTCCTTCGTGGAGGCTAAGCCATATTTATTGTCTAAAATCAGAACTCGACTCCATGGCTCTCAGGTTCATTGTGTTATGGAATACTTGATATCAAAGCACTTTTCATAAAATGTCGGAAAGTCCCATCTTGTTAATCATCTCTCAAGTCCAGCCACTAGCACCGATACTATCGCTAAATTTGCTCATGCATATCTCAGTGTACCCGTCAGATGCCATTCAGCCCACTACTCATCCTGCATGCCGACGATCGCATGCGTTTCGAAGCCTTCATATCGACATCGATGGCCTTGTGCTTGAGATCAAATGCTTCGTCATATCTATGACCCCGTTTCATGGCGTGGACCACCCTGTGAAGTGCTATGTCAAGCACCGTCGGACTTGGCCATGAGATTGTCGCCATGGAGGATGGAGTTCTTTGTCTGTAGCGCATCATTCTCCGTGTCAGAGATGTCCATATCATCGCAGTCTTCTCGTCCACGCGCCGCTTCGGCACGGTGCTTCTCCAGCTCTTCGAATGAATGTGCCGCTTGGCTGCGAAACTGGTTTRCCTGGTGCTGTAGTAGTGAATTCGCTTCGTTCGCGGCATGAAGCTCGATGCGTGCAACACTCATCTGATCCTCGTACACCTCATGCATATGCCGGGCGTGGCCAAGCTCCTGTACTGCCTGTGTGAGAGCGTGCTCGCTCATGCGCAACTGCGACTTCTGCTCAATACAAATCTTCTTAACTCGCACGTAGCCATAGAACCATTTCATTTGGCCGCTCTGCTCCAGCTGTAGAACGGCAAGCTCCTATGAGGCTGTGTTGGTCAGTGGCTTCTACGCTCAAAGGAAATCCACAAACCTTCAAGAAGGCCTCGAACTGTGGAGTCCTCAACGCCGCCAATGATTTATCCTCTGTCTCGTGGTATTTCCGTGGGCTAGCAATCTCTTGTATTAGCCCAATGGACGTTTGGAAAATGGATGGTTACAGTACATACGTCATGCCTTGGATGATAAGTCGAAAGATCGAGGCCAAGTTCGTCTCGCTGATGGACTATTGACTTTGTTAGGCTGCATGCACGAAGTCCCATTGTCCACTGCGTCAAAGCTAGCCAGATGCCAGCATAGCATGCTCAAGAGGAGGTAGATGCTTCCTTACCTCGTCTAGCTCGCCATCCGTCTGGGAGGCGGACTTTGACCGCCCACAATTTGGGGCCATGGTCACTACGCCGGGCCGAGAGTAGTAAGAGGAGGGATGTGGGAAGGGCAGCGCCAGAGCAATGTAGATGTTTGAGCTCAGAGTTAACATTTCGTTCGAGAAGGTAGGATCAAGACCCTACCCTAGCGCTAGCGCTAGAGGCTCCGTTCGCTCGCGCCTTCCAGATTGGAGCCAATTGTAATGACGCGAAACAGGCGGCAAGTTCGACAGCCCGGCGCAGATAACCTCACCTCTCCCTGATACTGACACCAAACAAAAACAACAGCCCTAGTCTCTCGTAATAGCCAGTTTGAGGCTCCATTTTCGTGGTCAACCTCTCTACACTCTCCGGAACTGCATGCCGTCCACATGGCTAAACGCAAAAGAGACCCACAGTCGAGCGACAGTGGGTTTCTGCCGTTCAAAATGAGTCCGGCAGAAAAGATGCTCTTGGCCGACGCCAGGCAAGGCCTGCCATTCCCGACTCCACTGCGAAGCCAACCCCCGCCACGGCCTCTGCAGACAACCTTGGACATATTCGATTCCACAGAGCTTTCGATATGAGATATCATCAACAAGAGCAGCGCCCTGAACTGCTCTCTCGGTTGAGTGATAGGTCACTCTGCTAGTGGTAGGGATTCTAGCAGGCCTGTTATCGTCGAGCGTGCAGAGAGCGAGGTCTTAGGAATTGTAGGGATAACTGAGGATGTCTTGTCCCGATGAACAATCCTCATATCGACAGCTATGCGATTCCATGACATCGTCCCAAATACCCCCGTCAGCATAACCCAAGCGCCGCAACGAAGACACATGGACCTAGCAAAGCTATCTGCATAGCTCAGATACCTACTATACAGCCATTCATGATTCGTGGTGCTAGATGTAGAGTGGTATCCAGGTCGCCAGGTGCGAAGAACAGCATCTAGTCCGATGCATCGATGAAATCTCAGCAAGGGACAAGATCTCAGAGTGGTGCTTCCTCTTGGCGTGGGACTCCATCTGCACTGTGTCTTCCTTTTCCGAGTTCTCGGAAATTTCCACGAAACACACAAAACGATGGCGATCGTTTCTTATAAGCCCTGTCTGTCCGTGTCAGGAAGCATTGCTAATCATATTAATGCCAGCGGCAGTAACTCCGCGCACGTCGGGGGTTGCGTACTTGGCGGGAGAAGATCCGCCGCTGTATCGCAGGATGACCTGGCGGGTTCAAAGTCCAATCGATGAACCATGGAGTCAATCGTTGCGAACCCGTCGATCACTTGCCATCCGATCCACCTTTCAACACAGACGACTTCCTCATCGGCTGTCCCGATCTCAAATGTCTCGTCGGACTTGCCAAAGCCATGTATGGTGCAATTGGAGGACCCTCTGATCATTRACGAGGGACAGATGGAGCCCGCATTTGAGCGACTTGGCATCACACCCCGAGGTCACGTCCGAATTGCGGCCGACTACGAAAAGTTGTCAGCGCAAGACATAGGTACACCAGYGATTTGACCGCGATCGCACGCCGTATGCGTCTTCGATACTATCGTCCCCTCAAGCAAACAATGGCCGGATCACAGCCTCCCCGTTTGCTACTCAGACTTAGAACCAACTGTCTCGCCACTCGGCGTACGAATACGCCACGACACCTGCAAGCAATACACCGAAGCTCTCGCAAAAGGTAGAATCGCTCTTGCGAGTATGCCCCTACGATTAGAGAAGCACGCAACAGCTCTCAAGGGTGGCTCTAGCGACTCTCTCTCCTCATCCAGACATACAATGTCCTACTTTCCGTCCCCGACATCATGCTCCAAGCCGTCACTAGCGAAATTTTTCTCGAACTGCACTGGCGCCAGTGCGTCAGCAGACACCTGCGCCGGGCCGGGCGGCCCGTTCCGATCGCGGCGTCGGCAAGTGAATGAAACAGTCACGAGCAAAATCTTTCGTCGCCAGAAACTGTATTCCATGCATCTCGTCGATGTACAGTTCTAACCCATCTCTTAGTTCTTTCCTGGTTTTAAAGTTGAAGATGAAGGCACCTGGAAGTCTAGTCTCTAGTGCACAGCTTATTGATCAGCTATAGAAGACGATCAGATTGGGCATAACGGCATGCCCCTAAAGAAGGTCAGACCTGTTATCCTTCCTCCTAACGAGCGATGTAGCCTTGCTAGAGACTATTCTCCCCGACCAAACCAATGGAATCATCCACTGTCGCTTCGCCTTAGCTGCTAGGCAGTCATCAGTGGTGGGTACCTGATTGATCTCACACGCACTTTGGATGCCAGTACATAGAAGCAAGCCAGTTATATGCGCATTCAAAACGATTTGATTTCAACTCCAGGAAGACGTTTATTCATTCAATTGACATGGGAGCATTTACTGAAAATGATTTTTTGTTACAGCTGCAGAGATTATACTAGACAGAAGTCGTCTGGGAGACATATAGAGTAGTCAACTCCATGCCAGAATCCCAGATATCGCACCAAACTTTTCACCACACCCAAGCATCTGAAGCTTGTACACAATGCCTGCATTCCGTAGATCACCCGCCACACAGCAAAGAGAAGCCCTTGCTGTACTAGACGCTACGAATACCAAGAAGGGGTACGATGCGTTGAAACACCGAATATCCGCCAACTTCTTCATCTGACCCGTCATCTATACACATGTTAGCATGATCACCCAACACAGACAAGCCGCACACTTACCAGAGCTACCGTCTTGCTTGTCGTCATTCGGGCCAGATTGCTGGCTGTCACTCCTGAACCGCTTCTGCTGTTTGTCGCCTCCCTCATGGACGGGTGTGATTGAGAGGCCGAGCGGTCCGGTGTTGTAGTTCGAAGCGGACGACGACTCCCGCTTGCGCTTAGCGGGGTCCACATCTTCGGTCGCCATCTCWGTGCCCGCATCGGCCGCCGCCCTCGTATTCACCGCCATCAGCTCAAGTGGAATTTCCGCTTTGACTTCGCTGGCAAGCGTGTCCACGTCGGCATCGGTACGGTTCGGTTCGTTGAGTGCCTTGGCCAGCTTTCGAGCGATGATTGCCCAGCAACCGTGATGTGGATCTGCGTTGGGCTCCATGACATCTAGCAGGAATTGAAGAGGCCGCATGGCGAGTTGTGGATGAGCCGGCGTGGCTGTAGCTGCTTGGACGTCCTCCATATCCCCTTGATGCTGATTTGCTTGCTGTCTTCTCTCTTCCATCAGTCGGCTCTCATCCATCCGTCGGCTCTCCTCCATCCGTCGGCTCTCCTCCATCTGTCGGCTCTCCTCCATCTTTCGGGTCTTCTCCTCCATCCGTCGGGTCTTCTTCTCCATCCATCGGCTCTCCTCCTCTCTAGCACCTCTGAAGTAAATTCTGCACGCGGCGCGGCAGTTCAGTGGCATTCTCGACACGAGCGCCTCATGCTCCTCCTCGAGCTTGCGCATGTCGAGAAGCTTTCCTTTGCTCTCCATTTTGTTTTCGGCGAGTTTCAAATTCCAGTGTGTTGATGTTTGGCTGATGTTTGGGGCAAGGAGATTAGAATTGGACAAGATTCCAGAGTGAAGATACATTCACATGAATGAACCTTAAAGATGCTGACTAACCTAGCCAACTTCCATTTGTTTCCACGTCGTTCCATTTGCTTTCACCAGACCAAACAAAACCACAGCAGGCGATCAATCACACCACCTTGCAAACAAAAATCAGCCCAGTTCCAAAGATGGCGAGAAGCATTGCAGAAGAAGCTCGTCAGAACAGCATTGCGGAAGAAGCTCGTCAAAATAGCATTTTGGAAGAAGCTCGTCAGCTACTCGAGTTTGACCGCGAAGTCGCGTCCGCCACTGAAGCCGAGGGACAGAACCATACCACCGCGGAACTCGAGGACATGAGCACCCGCCTTCGTCACCTCGAAGACTCTGGGAAGTGCGAGACTCTCATCTCGTCATTGGAAGACATTCTGGCTTCCAAACAGAAGAAAGCTGCCGACATGAAAGCGAAGCTGAGCGACATGACTCGTGCCCGCCTTTTGGCATCCGAGCCGAAGAAGACGGTAGGTCGCACGCCGTTCATTCAACCTGCATTGCTCATGATCCAAAGGAGGGCCAGTCCGACTAGCCGCGGAGGGAAGCTCTCCTGTGAAGAACGAGCGTCTCTACGTGATCCGGTGACGGGATGTGGGGGTGGCTTACTTGACTGCATGGCGAGCATGGAAGGGAGAATTAGGCGATAATCATGGGTCTACCTCTCGATTTGCCGCGCCTTGGTGATTGAAGGCCGGACAGACTCTCCACCAGTCTTTTTCAACTTCACATTAACTGCCAGGCGTGCACATAATTCACTTTCTCATTGCAAGTGGTGATGACTTGTCACGCGCGTGATATTTCTGTCTTTTTACCTACGTTTCCCCGTCTTTCTTACTTTTCGCCGTGTAATCCATACTCGCTGTACTTTCACCACAGACATCAACACCCTCGGGCTAGGCTTCTCGTGAAAGAGTCTCGTCCCAGATTTTTCGCTCTCACGGGAGCCATCTGCAATCATCTGGTGCTCTTTGATCTAGAATCTTGCAGGCTCATTCGTTCCAAAAGCTACTTTTGTTTGTCTGGGGACGTTGAAGTGAGGTTCGCAGCTGATTGAGTGAGACATGGGTAGCTCATCGTCTAGCATGTGAAAGGAAAGTCGCGATCCTTGGGAGCCAATCAGATCTATTGCCGCCGCGGCTAATGGCCTAGGCCCGGCCCCACCCGCTGCCCTCGCCCTCCTACAAAAGCTCCAATCACCAAAACATCAAACCTTAACATTAATATCAATTTACTATAGCTAAGATAGTAGAAGATTTCGACTAGCCTCTACGCTTCGAAGTTAATTTTAAGGAACCTCGTAATATCGCGGTACTCTTCTCCCAGAGATACGACGGCATCACCCTCGACTCAGCCATCGAGAAGTTGAGCGACGAGCAGCTAGTCGCCTTCGAACGCTACCTTCTTACCTGCGATCAGCAGCCGGACCTCGCTACTACCGTCGTGTCAGAGAGGCGCACTGCGCGCATTGCCAGCGAGGCCAAACTCAAGGAGCTCAATGATCACATGGCTACTAGCGAGTTCCAGGTGGCTCGAGAAGACGCTGTTCTACGCGCACAGATTCTGGGCAAAAGCAAGACACTACCGGTAAGTGTTCACTTCGTCACGCAGAACGTCGTCAAAGCTGACGGCCGGTTAGCATATCCCAGGTTCATTCGAAGCCGCGCTGAAGCTRTTGATTCGCATCATGGAGCATTACGCTACGAGTCTCGATGGTGGCAAGAGATATGCGGACCTGCGCAAGAAGAAGGACCCCGCATGGATCGACGGACCCGATGACGGCTTCCGCCAGTGTATGAATGAGGACAACCAGGAGGAGCTGGTGAAGGGATTGGWCAAGTTGTCGTTGGTCGGAACTGGTTGGGGACRTCATACAAGACCTGTGATCGAGCTGACGGGACTCACCTTCGTTGATGTCGATTAAAGTGGCGGGTCGCTGTCATGGGGCTACCACCAGGTCACTGCGAGCTCATGAACAGAGCTACATGTTGGACAGTCTCCAGGCAACTGCGAGTTCATGATCAGGGCTTCATAGGCAAGCGTAGAATCACGGTTGCGGGTTGCCTGCTGATGGAACTCATTCAAAATTCAAATCAAATTGCATTGTTCGTGAAAACCCGAGCTGATAGTGATACTGCGTAAGATGATCGACGGCGACAAGGAAGACGACATTCTGGTAGAGTAGCGTGTTGATGCCGATACCAGAAACGACTCGTTCTCAGGCCACGCATTCAACTCGGTCCAGGCATCTGTGTTCCATACCACGGCATCAAAGGGGTCAGTGGTACAGCATACGGTCACATACAAGGGGGGAACAATCACAAGATTGCTGAAGACATGCTCCGATTGTAATTTGCATGGCTATCTTGGTGGTCAATGTCGTATCTTCGCATGGATTACTCCGCTGGAAGTGATCATCGCGCCCCATTGATATGCCTTGCTCAGTAATGGCACCGACACCTACTCCGGCTTGATATTCTTGTACTTTTCCTGCATGAGCCGAACCTCGCGTGCCATGTCCTCCTCGCTCATCGCCGGCACAGCAAGCTTGAGCTCGCGCACGAGCCCTACCATCCCGCCGCGGTTCTTCTCATGCTGCATGAGCTTATCGAGATGACCGCGCGTGTCGATAGACTCCCAGGCGAACTGCTTCTTCGCTGCAAGGTACTGGGTGTTGTCTGCCTGTGTGACGGCCATGTTGTAGAGTGTGGATGGCGCCATGCCGTTGTTGGAAAACGGTGATGCATACATCAGTGTGACACCGTCGATGGCGGTCTGCGCCAGCTTGCGGACTTTCACAGACTCGAGTGGGTCATGGAAGGTAGTCCGGCATCCGTTGCCGTCGTAGCCCTCGCGGTATGCTTCGTTTGAGGTCTCGACCGCATCGATTGTCTTCTTGGCGACGATGCACGCTTCCTCCGCAGCCTTGAATTTCTCCACTTCCTCGGCGAGGGAGCCCTCATCGTCGCGCATGAGGTACATCCTGGCCATAATCGACTTGACAGATTTCATGACGTCCTCGCGGCTCCGCTGCTCCTTGCTCTCCTCCTTGACTTCGGCATTGCCGTGATTCTCGTCCTTCTGCATGCCGTTCTGCTGGCCAGTCGTGCCACTGTTTTCCTTGGCAGCGGCAGCGACACGTTCTTCACGGTGCTGTGAGTTGTTAGTTGTCGCCATGCTTMTCTTACATCTGCAGGTCGCATACTCTCTGGTCTCTCTCGAGGCGTCTCCTCTTGGACATTGGCTGATTCATGGTGGAGATGTGTGAATTTTGTTGTCGATGTAATCTTTGAAACAAGTTGAGTTCAGTCACGCGAGGTAGATAAGTTCGAAATATGTGCACGGACCTCATCTAGCAGCTCTTCACCCTTCGACCGACTTCACTATTCGACCCGCCCATTTCACTTCGCTTTCACGTGTCATTTATCCACCCGGTCCTAGCAGTCACTCAGTTCTCTGCCCGCAAGATTGCTTCCTCTGACAAACATCAAAATTCAAAAATGCCATGCTAATGTAATAAAGCGCGCCTGGCACCAAGCTTCGCGACGCGCGGCCTCCGTGGCGCCATTTCGCCGGGAGGGCTTCGCAGGAGGAATCATCGTTGATGGTATTGGTGGGAAAAGGCTACCGATAGGGGTGAAAGCGGACGGAAGCGGTGTATTTGTTGACGTGTCCTTCGACGACCACAAGAAAGAGTTCCACACCTTCCTCACGAGCGGGGACCGAAAGGCCGAACAGGATGCACGGGATATAGTTCACCTACTGCCAGATATGGAGCACGCGCTCGTCAATCTCACCATACGACGGCCACTATGGGGAGAGCCGGATGACGAACTTCTGCCTCTGATGCCATCCTTCCAATGTGACCACGGGATATACGGGTGTGTATCCCTGAAACCCGTGCGATATTTCATCCGAGCAGATGGCAGCACGTGGTTTGACCATGGCGACGGCTTGATCAAGTTCAAGTACTGTGACTCTTGCCAGGCTAGATCGAACAAGTTCATTGTGGAGGATCTTGAGTCGATAGGAGGGTGGAAATGTTTGTTGGAGTAAAGGGGGTGAAGTCAGGGCGCTAATATGTCTTGGCACGCAGGGCTGACGGAGTGTAATAGTTTTGGAAGAGGAGAGCGAGTTAAATTCACCGATTGCTATCCTCGTTTGTATCAAGATAGCTGAGTTTTGAGACAAGTATCCTCATCGCTACCCCTGGAAAAGCGAGCAAGAACATCGGCTGTATTAGARATTGAAAGTAACAGCGCCCACAGTCTTGGCCCTGTAGTTCTTCCCAAAGCAGAAAGAGCAGGACTAGCTACACTTGAGCTTGCACCCGCCGCTGAGTCCGCTTGATTCCCTTCAGCACCTCCTGTACCCTGATCGGTAAACTCCTATCCGTCGGACTACAAGTAATAATCATTGGCGCGTCCGCCATCATCTGATTCCCGTCTTGCAGCAGAACTTCCTCACCCGGTAACACCAACTTGATAACCCACCGAACCTTTTTCTTCGGCTGAATGGGCCCACTTCCCATATTCGGTACGTCCTCTCTCCAAAACTTCTCCGTAAACATGGTCGTCATGAACAGCCATGGGATCCTCTGGACAGTACAAAATTCATCCAGCTCAGCTCTCTGGCCGACGGAAGCGCCATTCCCGGCRTACTGTTTGCTCAGACGTCCTGTAGGATACAGTTCCTGAATGACAGCCTGTCCAGTAAGATCCTTGGGATGTTCCGTATACTCTCCCATCTGGTGCATACTTGCAATCCCTCCGAAAAGTGCATTCTCTAGATCGAATCCCGCCTCAGCAAGAACACAGTCTTTGTAGTACACCTCCTCCTGACGTGCACCATTCACAGCCTGGCTCAAAACATGTGCGAGTTCATGCACGAAACTCCTGGCGAGGATATACTGCTCCGCTAAAGCCTGGGGACAGTGAGGGTCTTTGTACTGCAAGAACGCCCCAATGGTGGTTTGAGAGAAAGTTATCTTGGCCATCTGGCCTCGAGGGAACATCTTCTGGGCTGCGGGGGAGAGGATACCGTTGGTGGTATTTGTTCTACCTTCGCCGAACATATCTACGACGTCGATGCGCTCCAAAACTTCAGCAAGAGTGCGTAGGATATCCCTTGCCCGTTGTCGCATGTCGTCTGTTACCCAAACTGGAGCAGTGAGCTGATCGTTTGCCACGAGTCGTGCGCGAGGGTAACGCAAAAGTCTTGTAGTAGAGATCCCGGCAGCATCTTTTGCATTTGGCTGTGCGTCGATCTCTGCATATGTGACTTCTCGGCCTGGCTTGGAAGCAACATCATGGTCCAGATGGAGGGATCCATCAACGGTTGTAACGACGTACTCGACAGTTCGGTCATCTTCTAGCATCTTCGTAGCGAGACGCAGAGTCAACTCCAGCATACGGTATCCCTCTTCGCTAATCATGGGGAACTTGTCGTAGGTCAACAGTGGATGGATGTCATTCTTGAGATCTGGCTTTGGGTGTTCTGCAAGGAGGTCATTGAGGAAGTTTGCAAAATCCGAGCAGCAATACTGCGGACAATCAGATGGATGGTCTGCCATTCCTGCTCTTGGAGTGATGTTGTTGGAAGATAAGCCTGAAAGTGTGCATCCAACGAAAGTCAGCTGTGAGATGAAATGGTTGTCCAATGCATTTGGAATCAGACGTCTTGAAGCGGATTCATACAAAGAAATCCAGTAATCGTTGGCGATGACGAAAGTCGCTTCTTTGTTAGAAATCTTCTTTGATGGAATGGAAACATCCCACGTTTGGGGGTCGTAGCCACCTCTACATCGTTAGCACCATCTGCAAGTACATGTAACGAACGTCTTTGGAAAGGAGGAGAAATAGCCCGGGCCTCATGTATCCGAGTAGCACCTGCTCCATGTAACCTCGAATGCCACGCCTTTCGACTGCAGCCTCAAATAGTCAAATTTCGGGGGCTACCGTACCAGGAGCTTTGAGTAGAGCGCAGCCCTTCTCGTCAAACTTCATGCAGTTTCGAGAATACCACATAGGGTAACATACGGCAGATGGAGTTTGCGCAAATGCTTCAACTCAACTAGACTTAGCCGCTGGGGCCTGGACGATTAATATACACTTGCTTTCGTCCTGGCTCTCTTCCTCCGCTCCCACTCATTCCGGCAGTGATTTCGACCATTGATTCAGGCGATCGCAAGAAAATCCTCCCCATAGTTCTTGCGGCATTCGGTCGTCCTTCGCCAGGCATAGCGTGGGAAAGCGCCACTCCTTCTTACCGTATGATCGATCCGCGGATGTTGTGGAGGTGAAGAGATGTGAGCTGCGAGCATGGCTTCTAGGCTACGTCGAAGTAGACACATTAATTGAGCGTGGACAGTATCAAGTCCGGGACAGAATTCAGCGCCGAGCCCGACTCGAGGTCCACCCATTACTTTACATGAAACTTATGATGATACCCATGTCAAATCACGTTACACAGGCTTCAACATCTGGTCAAAACTTCGGCGGGCGCTCTGCAATTCTTCTCCTTTCCATCATCATGGCTAATAATCTACCGACCGAGCTTGTCGAGCGGATCCTTTCCTTCGCCGCCACGACAAATACACGTACCGCCCTCGCAGTATGTCTGACCAACAGATTGGGTCGACGTGCGGGCCACCCGATTCTTTACCACACACTGGAGCTACCTGGCGACGATGGGGATAACAATGCAGGTCTCCTTCCCATTCGCATGAGAAGTTTTGCGCTGTTGTGCCGGACCATACTTGGAAGCCCTTCTCTGGCGATACATGTGCGCGATATCAGTGCATATGTTCACGATATCGATGGTCTGGAGCTTCCGGAAGCTCCAATAAGTCTCTCGATATTAGACCGGCTATTTCGAAACGTAACCTCGATGGGTCCGGCAGGAATAGAATGCACTGGAAACTGGCTAAGTTCGCAGTATCAGATTGCGTTCGCTGCAGAACGTGATCGCGATGCTCAAGCTTCGGTGCAGATGTCAGACACGATTGAACCTACATTCGCACCGGAGGTCTACCTTGCCTTGTTGACACTTGCCTGTCGACGCATTCGAAAAATACACGTTTCTGGGCCCACCACATTACTTCTGAGACCTTTCATGCAGCTCGGAACGTTGTTACAGATGAAACTGCCCGGACGACATCGCAATTCGGATGGCTTCAGTAGCGTGAGGGAGATTCACTTCCGAAAACCCGCTGGCAAAATGGAGACCAACTGGAAACTTCAATATGTCGGACAAGCTTTGAGATGGCCGTCCGTTGAGGATATCAGAATCGACGCTCTTCATGGCGGAATGCTCAGAATCAATGCCCTGTACGGCGGGACAACCACTCCGTTCTTTGGGCCCGAGTTCCAATCTACCCTGACCACACTCCACATCATGGATGCCATGACGCCTATGGAAGACCTCAGTATTCTACTTCCCGCCTGCTCCAGACTCAAATCCTTCACCATGTCATGGTCCAATGCGTACGATGCGTATCGGCAAAGACAATGGCGATATCTAGCAACGCTTCTACAAGAACACTGTCCTTTGCTTGAAAAACTCGACCTGGACCTTCCTCGTGCAGAAAATCTCCAAATTATCTCCGTGGGAGCTTTTCCAGGGCCCGGCGTGTTCCGGCAGACCGGAGGCACAAAGGTTAACAATCTAGGGATAGGAAGTCTGCACAGATTGAGACACCTGCGGAAACTTCGAGTGCCTTCCATTGTTCTATTTGGCGTGTTTGAAGATGTGGAAGAGCGAGACCATGATTGGACTCTACCTGAGCTACTGCCGAGCTCTCTCGAAGAGCTGGACGTTCTTTGTGAAGGCAAAGAGTTCACAGATCACGACTTGAGTCTTTTGGATTCTGTTGGGATGGACAGCCTTCGGAGTGTCACGATCAGGAACTGTTTCAGAAACCAGTGGATCTCGAGAGATCGTAGCGGGAGACTCACATTTCAGCCCGGTATGAAGCTTCGCAATGCGTTTAGATAACTTTGGAAAATCTATCAAGCTTCTTGCTCGGTCTCTGTTTCTATATGAATGTATGTACATATCCTTTAAGCAACAGCATCCTTCACTTCTAAGCTTGTAGGGCTACACGCCACTAGCACAAATCGGCACAGATCTGGCATTTGAGACAACGCAGTATGATAGCGCTGGAGCCTGACGTGAAATTACAGTAAGAACGATAGGCGGAGGCGGCTTTTTATGTCTCACGGAGGTGGAAATAGGAGGTGCCGAGTGTACTTTCGGGGAAATGTTCATCATGCCTGCATGCAGATGCAGTGCCCGGATGATAGCGACGATGTTATATGTTCTTTCGTGTAAGCGGCGTTGAATGTATGGGAGTTCGACCCATCTGATTGAACCTACGTAGACGCTGTCTTGATTCCAGACCAAAGCATTCGCAGTTTAAAATAGCTTCTTCATTCGAGACCAAAGTCCACAAACATGGAGATCTCCATCTCCCATCCACCATAATGCTCCACTTCTCGCCATACGGTAAGTGCATGCGTGTAGCACTGGGAYAGTGGGATCCCTACCACTGTATCCGAAAGGAAGAACATTTTTCCTAGCGCCGCTTCATTCAAGCCAAGCTCACATCAAGATGCGTTCAAATATTTGATTCAGTGCAGCTTGCAAATGAAACCACCCCGCAATTTAAGCTTCCCAGCCCCGTCTCGACCCTGCAGCAGATCGATCGCATGCTCGAACATCAACATCAACATCAACACGAACAGCTTCACCTTGCAATAATCTTTCAAATTCCGACTAKAGAAAAGGCAGAAAAGCAGCATGGATATAGCCTACGACCACCTCTCTTCTCCAATTCACACCGACTCCACCACCACGATACCGAACCCCTCCTCCTCTTCCGACCCTGCAGATCCCACAGCCCAATCATCCCCGCCAGCGAATACCCTTCCCACAGAATTCCAACAAGCCTTCCAGGCCGTCTCAAGTTCACCTTGGGGTGCGAAATTGGGAGGATGGTTCAATACCGCGAAGAAGCAGGGCGAGACTCTAATTCAGGAAGCGGAGAAGGAAGCGAGTAAAGGATGGACATCCCTTACAGAACAGGTCAATAATCGGACACGAGGGATGAGTCTCGAGGGGCCGGTTCCTGGGGAGGAAACCTTGCCGGTGGACAGTGCGAAGACCGTGTCGGGAGAGGGCAAGGAAGTGGGGGAGAAAGGTGAAGATGGGGAGCAGAGACCGGAGAGTTTACCTGCGGATATCGTCAAAGAAGCGAGTAGTGTTTTTGCGAATCTGCGAGTTAGTGCGGCTGCGAAGTTGAGGGATTTGGCCAAAGCGGAGGATGCTGCTGATGAAGCGCTGGAGAAGTTTGGACTTGGGGTTCGGGATTTTCTGAGGAATGCGGTGGTTATCTCTTCTCCGGATGATACAACCTCGGGAGCAGAAGTCTTGTTCTCTACAGAGGAGGTGGGCACGGGGAAGAAGGTGTTTCATACCACGAGATTGGATGCGCAGTTGCATGCGATTCATACTACGGCGACGAGCTTTCTGGAGGAGCCGCAGGGGGAAGAGTGGGAGGTCTGGAAGAAGGAGTTTGATGTGGAGGAGAAGACGGAGGCGGTTGCGGGGGATCTGGAGAGGTATGGAGAATTGAGGGGCATGATGGAGAGGTTGGTTCCGGAGAAGGTGGATTACAAGGAGTTTTGGACGAGGTATTATTGGTTGCGCAAGGCTGTGGAGGAGGACGAAAGGAGGAGGAAGGAGGTGTTGAAGGGTGAGTTGTTGGATTACGATGGAGGGTTGAGAGGTGATGCTAATGAGATGTGTACAGGAGCAGCGACGGTACCTGAGGAGGAGATCTCCTGGTCTGACGATGAGGAGGAGGATGATGGTTCCACGCCTCAACGGAACGCTACACCCAACATCAACGCGGGCGAGTCTACAAATCACAAGGCATCACAATCCACAACGACCCTCCATGCTCCCACGATATCTTCCAGCAAGTTGGAAGCTCCTACAAGAAAAAGCCATGAAGATGAAAGTCGAAGCGTGGCGGATTCGGAAGCGAGTTATGATATTGTTTCCGGGGCCACGAGTCGTGCGACGGGGAGTCCCAAGACCAAGGAGGGGAAGGTTGAAGGGAAGGAGGAGAGTGATGATGATGATGATTGGGAGTGAGTTATTGATGGGAGGGAGGTCTGGAGTTGGCGGAGGCAATGATACCAGTTCTATAAGCTGCAAGACTAAAGGATTAATGAATATCAAGTGCTTGCCGGTGCTCCCGTGGTAATGGAAGAAGAGAAGTCGCCTTGATATCATGACCAGGTCACTGTTGGTGGTAGATCGAGGAGAGTGATTTCCAGCCGAGCTCCCCCGCCGGTACAGGATTATCTCCTGAAGATGGTCTTGTTTCCATAAGATGCACCGCCTCCAAGTTTATGACAATACCTTGACATGGTAGCACGATCAATATTGTTCCCTTCACGATGACGATGACGGGATAGCTCGCCAATCACAAGTCCCGTGTGGTTGGAGGTACCTCACAGGAAGCGCACGGGCCTCCACGACTGCACCTTCCTTTGGGATCGTCACGGTCGCGCAATTGAGTTTCTGGCGATCGTTCCGTGAACTTTGCGGGAAGTCCAGCGTTTCCAGCCTCTTTCACCCGCGAGGCGCAGAGCAGCATCGTCGCTCTCAAGACAGGACAGGACAGGACAGGACCGGAGTGACAGGATATTCGCGAAAGAATGTCAGCTCGAACTGGTAGAAATGGCCATTCCGCCCTGACAGCCACCCTCCGCCCGTCAATCCTCGCCGTCGCTCGCTTACTGGCCCTCCCTCTTGTCTCCGCCCTCCCACACTCCCTCACCACGCTCAAAAAGCACGACGATGACGCGCCGAAAGATGTCTCGGATCCGAATCTGTACCTCTACCTGGGAGTGGCCGTCTTGTTGGTCCTTCTCGGCGGCGTCTTTGCGGGATTGACCATTGCGTTGATGGGACAGGATGAGACGTATCTCCAGGTCATCGCGACGAGTGGCGAGGGGGGTGAGAGGAGACATGCAGCACGAGTGTTGAAATTGTTGGGTAGAGGGAAACATTGGGTGTTGGTGACTCTGTTATTGAGCAATGTCATCACCAATGAGACGCTGCCCATTGTGCTGGATCGGAGTTTGGGCGGAGGATGGCCGGCAGTCGTGACTTCCACCGTCCTCATTGTCATTTTCGGAGAAGTGGTGCCGCAGTCGATCTGCGTGAGATTCGGTCTGTCCATTGGAGCGTACATGGCGCCCATTGTCACGGGATTGATGTGGGTCATGGGTCCCGTCGCGTGGCCGACTGCGAAACTGCTGGATTATCTGCTGGGAGAGGATCATGGGACCATGTATAAGAAGGCAGGATTGAAGACGCTGGTGACATTGCATAAGACGCTGGGCACGGGTGCGGGCGMGCAACTGATGGAGGACGAGGTGACAATCATCAACTCCGTGCTGGATCTGAAGGAGAAGCCGGTGGGAGGCATCATGACGCCCATGCAGGATGTCTTTACCATGTCGGCGGATACGGTGCTGGACGAGAAGATGATGGATACCATTCTGAGTCAGGGATATTCCCGAATTCCCATCTACTCGCCTACCAACGGCAGGGATTTCATCGGCATGCTGTTGGTCAAGATTCTCATCACTTACGACCCCGAAGACTGCAAACGTGTGAGAGACTTTGCTCTGGCCACGCTGCCGGAAACCGCTCCACACACCTCCTGCTTGGACATTATCAATTTCTTTCAGGAAGGCAAGTCACACATGGTGCTCGTGAGCGACTACCCAGGTCAAGACAAGGGCGCTCTTGGAGTTGTTACTTTGGAAGATGTGATTGAGGAGTTGATCGGAGAGGAAATCATCGACGAGTCAGACGTCTTTGTCGACGTCCACAAAGCCATCCGCCGCCTTGCACCCGCGCCCAAGACCCGCTTCCCCCATGGCAAGACGGGAACTGCAGTTCACGATGATTGGGAGAGCGAGGTTGATGAACGAACTTCCCTTCTCCCCAAACATGGCGATGGTGGCAGCAAACGTCCCTCTCTCGTCAATGGCCACCAGACTACATTCCTGATGCGTAGAAAGTCCAGTAATGCTTCTGATGCCACTCGTGGGACAGGGACAGAGAAGGTGCGGTCTGGAGCGGACGACATGAGAGAGCACCTCAAGCATCTCGGACCATCGAATGCTGCCAGCAAGCCGAGAGCTACCAAATACAGCAGCGTGAAGATCAAGCCTGGCGTCGGAACGATACCCGAAAACAAGACCACAACAACCGGCGTTGCAGAACAGAACGGAGGTCCGCCTTCTGCAAGTCCCATCATCATGGGAGAGCAGCAGCATGATGGCGGACATGAAGACCACCCCGCGATCGAGGAGGCCGTTGAGGCGTTGAGAAGCGATTCGAGAGGAGCGTCCAAGGGAGCAGCAGCTGTCATGAACGCCATCGGCAGCCCGAACATTGGCCCACGCAGAGGAAGCGGTCTTAGCGCGAAAGAAGCAAGTCAGATTGCCGAGGAGAATGCTGTCGCGAAAATGTCGAAAGAGTTGGAGGAACAGCAGCAACGACTACAAGAACAGCGGGATCGAGAGCCGGACTTTCCTGAGAAGATTGTCGTGGGTCCGGGAGGAAGTGAGACTGCGGGGAGTGAGATGGGAGGTTCTTCGAGGCAGGGCAGTAATCCGCATAACAATGCCAGTGTGAATGCTAGCAGGGAGAGTGTGGCGGTTGTTGATGGAGAGGATCATGGAGACACGGTGTCTGAGATGAAAGATTCCAAGGCAAAGAAGGGGAAGAAAGGCGGTGCTGCGAGAAGTGGAAGTATTACGGAGAGTATTGTTGAGGGAGAGGGAGGGATGAGAAAAGTTGTGTTGGAGACTACCAGTAGCAGCTCGAGCGAGGAGGGTGGAGTCAATTCGGAGACGTCGCCTAAGAGTGGTGGGCAGGGAAGTAAGAAGGATGGCCAGGGAAAAGATGCGAAGAAAGATTTGAAGAAGGTGAAGGAGGACGGAAAGGGTGATTCGGGAAGTGGTGAGAGTAGAGATGATACGAATGGAGAGGGAGAGAGTGCGGCGGATGGAGGTGATGCGAAGAAGAAGGCGCCGAGGAAGAAGAGAGGAAAGAGAAAGAAGGGTGGTGCTACTGGTACTGGTGCTGGCACTGGAGGAAGTGGGGCGGGTGGGAGCGAGGCGAGTTGATGAATGCGGCCAAGTTATGATGGATTGAGAGAGACTGCTAGTAGGGCGGATGATCCTTGTGAGAGAGCCGATTTGCGGTTGGACTACGGAGTGGATGAGTGATGTAAAGGTAATTGGACCGAGGAGGTGGGTGTGGAAATCAGTGCGACAGGATGATTTATGTAGTTGTATCGTCTGGGCTGAGGATTCTGTTGCTTTTGTGGGAGGGAGTGGGTGGATGGGATGGGATAGGATAGGATAGGGTGAGAGTGGGATTTGGGAGGCCCGGGATGTAATACGAAAAAAGATTCACTTGTATTATTGTATTCCTCGTTTGAGTTGTGTCATGTCATGCTTTGATGGGAGRGTGAGGGAGGGAGATGCGAAGGCATGGAGATTACATAAGCCCAGTTGACTTTCTTACCTACCTTCCACTTTGCTTCTTTATCTTGGACTTTCCTCTCTGAACAACTTTTGATGGTTTACTCAGACGAGGTCAGTCCTGCGGGAAGCATGCAGCTGATGCTCAAGCGACTGCAAGTGCCCGTCAAGGGCGATCAGTGGCGTTGTGGGGGCTATGCTGAGCTTTGGAGGCTGAGCACATGAGCCAGACAGACTTCACCTCGAAGTCCAACTCAATTGAGACACGACCTTGCAGTTTACAGATTGTGACCCTGGAACTGACTACAGTACACCTATCGGCCTTTTTGGAACCTCTGCATTCGAGTTGTGCTGATCGGACTGACCTTCTGAGCAAAATCACTTTCTCGATATCACTTTTGTCGGATGATGAGCACTTGGCAAACCAGCACGAAAACCAGACAGGATGCAAAGCGCTGACTGGGATGGCGGTGGCGTTGATAAGGCGGTAATCAACGACATCGCCGGCGGTGCGAAGGACCTGTGTTCAATCTGCCAAAAGATCAACTTCTGGAAGGTACCTGGTGAGCCAGCCTCGAGCACCATATACACCTGGCGCGGACCCCTCAGTCACGTCTTGAAATGCCACAGCTGCGTACTATGCAAGTATGTTAGGGAGCACACCGAGACGTCCGTCTTCTTAGAACGCAAGGAAATTCTCGAAGCAAATTGGCAAATCAAAACAAGATCAAGATATATGGGGATGCTATCACGATCTTTCAAAGTGGGGTCATTTTGCCAAATAGCAATCAATGAGCATTGAATTTGTGGGAAGTCCATACGCACAGTGCGGATGGATCCCTCTCTGTCAGTTGGACGTGTGTACGGAACCCCCGGGACGGAGCTGGCAGGAGTACGAATATCAGCTGCTCCGATTACCAATCGCGAACCAATTCAAGATAGATCAACTGCGCCGGTGGTTGGCAGACAGCGACGCTGGAGAAGAGCAGTACGTCAAGCGCCGTGAACGGTCATTCGAGGAATTCCGCGCCTTGATTGATGAGCGTCGATTCAGAGTCGTCGACACCCAGTCTGGAGAGATCATCGAAGCTACGGAGATGGTATCATACGTCGCTGTCTCCTATGTATGGGGCAAGAAAGAAAGAGCTACGAACGCGTTCGTCTTGGCTCATGATGATGGAAAAAGGATGGTTGACTTCCAAAATACGCCGGCCACTTTGCGTGATGCCATTCATTTAGTGTCGCAGCTCAACCTACAATACATCTGGATCGACCAGTTATGTGTAACCCAAGATGATCCTGACGACAAGGTGGCCAATATCAGGAAGATGGGAGTCATCTACAGTATGGCGACCTTCACCCTGGTGGCCGCTACCGGCTTTGACGCTGAAGCGGGTCTTACGCGGTTACATAATCGTCAAAGACCGCATGAAATGGAGCTTACAGCCAAACATCAAGGGAAGTCGATATCTTTCCTACCTGAAAGAGAGACGATCGACCAAATCGTGCAGGGGACAACCTGGGCAAAGCGAGGTTGGACCTTCCAGGAGCAGTTTCTATCCACCCGCCGCATCATCTTCACAGATGAAGAGGTCTTCTATCAAGACGGCATCCGTGAGGAGCGCGAAGCCTACAAACTCGTAAAGACACGTCCCGACAGCCCTGAACGGGAGAAGATCACGATGCCCAAAGCGTGGACCTTTCAAAGTTATTTTTGCTCGAATGCACGCTAGCGAGACTCCGACCGCACTAGTATTAAGGTATAGCCTGGCTGAGACTATATCACTTTACATCAAGCGAGATTTGACAATCGAAGGAGACCGACTATCCGCATTCTTGGGTGTCTTGATGTGCTTCAGGCCGAGAGACATATCGTCAAACGTTATGCAAATGCTGAGCGGTTTAGATCCAGTGCATCCATCCTCAGGCCTATGCTTCAGTACTGTCGGAGATTACATCAGAAACTACCAGCCTGGAACACGCAAAGTGTCTAGCTGGAGCTGGGCAGGTTGGAACGGTCGCATAACTCCCAGAGCGCTTGCCTGGCCCGAGACCGGAACAACGTCACGAGCCAACCGGATTGACGATAACAACCTTCAGCTCGAGTCTTCGGATGCAATTTGGCCGTTTGAACCTTCTGCAGTCATTCGGGCACCCACGGAGAGCATCGTTCTTCACTTGTATGTGAAAGCCACCCGCTGGTCTCCGCCAGTAAACCAGCCCACGTGCGAAGGCAAGCTTCTCGAGAGCTGTATCTGTACGATATGTCACGACAGAGTTCAAGCGGTCGAGGCATCCTATCTGCTGATATTCCCGCTCCTACCATGCGAAGCGTTTCTCATTTGTATAGAGACTGAGCACGATGGTCTCTTTGAGCGAGTTACGTTCGTAGACTACCACTCCTCCATTCCTAGGGAGCATCGTGAGTGTGTGCTGCAGCCCGAGGGGTTGAAGTTCCACCATGTACGACTGGTTTGAATGTGCATCCAGGAATGACAACGAAGCAGGGTCTAGATCTCTTTTTCTGTTCTTGATACAACCGGGATCTCTTGCCATACCTGTCAATTTAACGATTCTCCAACAAACGGACAGTCTTCGATTCCACTTACATGGTTTTCAAGATTGTTCTCTCGACAACGACTCTGTGTCTGAAGGTGTTAGAACCCTCTTCATCAGCAGAGTCGCTCTCCAAACTATCGAAAGACCTTTTTTGAAGGGCGAATATCGTTGAGGAATCTTCACATCCGACGACTCTGTCTAAATTGTCGAGATCATGACTCAAGCGCAGTTTTTTGCATTTGTCTACTTCCAATACAATTTCCTTCTACTCTCGATTTACTTTCAAGCTAATTCCGATCGATATTCCATCCACTTTCGATCTGCCGTCAAACAATTTCATCTTCCCGCCCCGCGGGCTTGCGCCCTCTATAGTATCGACGCATTCGTACCCTGAGAATCCTCCTCGCGTCTAGTGTCGTTTGCCATCTTTGAAAGACCATCTGTGCCGCCTTTGAAACCTACCTCTTCTTGATGTGCACTCAAAGGGCGTTGAAATGATTCGAAAACCTAGCATACTCACAATTGTGCCCACTACGAAACTTAAACCTCATGTAACGCTTCTTCGCACCCAAAACCATCCTTGAAGCCACTCTCTCTCTCTTCTCTGCTTGTGGAAAGTGGTTGGTATAGAAATTTAGAAAATGTGGTGTCAAGGTGTAGTAGAAGATGTGGTCTTTCCGCGAACGTGGGTTGGCAAAAGAAAAGAAGATTCTGGGAAGTAGCATGAGCTTTACACCCATAGACGTGTATTGTAACCTCGAAGGTTAACTCATAAAGGTATTACCTCTTCTCCTCGAATCTAATAGAAGCTGTCCACAGCAAGTTGGAGAAAAGCATATAAAGATAGGGGTACCTCTGATTACGATTACAATGCGTACCTACGGATGTTCAAAACTATGTTGTTCGTCAATTATAGTCCCACTGAGCATGCTCACGCCACAAATCGCAAAGCCAATATATACCTATTCATTCACATCCCCAAACTCTAAATCCCCGCATGTGATGATGCCAAGACCGCAAGGGGTGCGTATTCTTCCAACGCACGACATAATGTGCTGCACTCTCTGCCAACAAATTGTACTAGAAATATCTCATTTCTTTGCGTCGAGTGGGCATGAAGTGGACACACAGTAGTGTGCTCAAATGAATGAGATCCACTTTTCAGCATCGCCATACTCTCGAGCTTCTGAGCTTACATCTGCTTCTTTGTTGTGTCTACCTCCAGGCTGGATTCTTTCTGACGTTCGAGCAGACATTAAGAGTGCTTGGTCTTCGTTTCATCGTCAGTTCCCACCAATAAAACGGTCGTCGCGGATAGTACATATCCTCTCATCATATTCATCCGAGACATTCGTAGCAGCAGCGATCTCATCGCTCGCATCCTGACATTGACGCAGAAGTATGGATTTGGTAGTTACGAACGACCGTGCTTTGCTGCTGTCGGTTTCTGACTATTTTCTTCGGGGGGTGGAGATTGGCTGACTCACTCTTCAGGACTGACTGGAACTTCTGCACTGCCTCTAAGAAACGGGAGGAAGAAATGAAGAAAAGATTGAATTTGCTAGAAACCCTCGACAACATGACATACCCTCCATTCAAACGCCCCTTACACATCAACAAGACCCGGCCTCACAACCCGTCCCCGATCATCAACAACCTTATCCATAGCATTAAGATGAGTCCCAAAAAACAATCCTCAAAGGAGCAAGAGCCACCCAAACCTCCTGTGGTATCCACTTAGCTTTAACCACCAACTCTCCAAACCTCGGGCGTAGCAATCTCCCCAAAACCCGCGATTTTCTTCCCCCGGATGCAGTAAGTAGTTCATGAAGGGCGGGCGACAAGAAGAATCTCATATGCTGAACTACACTTCGGAGGTCTTGGGTGTAATATGCCCGGGGGAAGGGCATTGACTGGAATTCTGATTCGTCGTGCCACTGCGGCCTCGAATTCCGTGCGCTAGGTTTTTCCATTTCGAGGATTTCTTCTTCCCAGCGTTGGTGTAGAAAGGCGAAGTTGCCGGCCCAGGCTTGTTCGACGGTTTCGATGATTCGCGTGAGGTCTGGGAAAGTTCTCGCCGAAATCTTCTGGGGTCATTCGTGCGATAAGCCTTCGCATTATATCGCGCATTGGTAAAAGCTCTTGTGGGTCTCGCAGTTGGCTTAAATAGACGGGAAGTTGGGTACTCAAGAGCCCCGTCAACCTATCGAGGTCTGTTTGGGGGCGACCGGGAGGTTGGATAAACCACATATGATGTATGTCATTCCAGTAGAGCTCGAATAGGGCACCGTGGGGACTATTGCGGAGTTCTCGATCAAGTATACTCATCTGCCGTATCCATTCATCCCGCGCGGGCCCGTCGGCCAATGGCTCGTTCATGATGTGTGCAGCACTTGGGAATTCTCTCAACGCCCCGGCCCCTACAAGCCGGATGGCCCTGGTTGCAAATATCATCCCTTGGCCTTATTGGGCCCGTACCTGCCACATTTCGATGTCGTAGATCCTGCCGGGTTCGGTACGCGGTTGGCTGTATCTTGGACATGGATTACCCGGATCCCAATGACCTGATGAAAACGTCGCACTCTTTCCGCAAATGTACTAAGAAGAAAACGTCAGCGTTTTGGATATGTCAGGGGGAAAAGGCACTTACGCAGAATGAATGCCCGCAGCGACAGGTCATATGGTTGCATCCATCCCGAAGCGAGATTTTGAACTGGCAAGCCGGGCAAATTTGGTAATCAACACCACGAGTCTGGTTCTCCAGACCATCGATTACTGCGCCACACGTGTGTTCTTCCTGATCGCCAGGCATCTGGTCGGCGCAAGAGGTGCAGACGTGGCTACTGCAGCTGGAGCAGAGGATTGAGTCGGTGCCCTTGTCCTGAGGAGCTGCTTTGGTGCCGAGGAAGTTGCTGCAGATGGCATGCGACATGGTAAAGTCTGGGCGCCTAGTCTCGATGTTGTTGTTGCAGTAAAGACGGTCTGGGATTGGGGTGGTGTATTCTTTGACTTTGACTTTATAAGCACGGATGAAGTCGGGATCGAAGAAGGAAGGGAAATCGTCAATGTCGAGGATTTCACTGGCATAATGGGGTGGATAGTCGATCTCACTCTTGAGTGCGCTGACGAACTGAGACTTGTAGCCTACGATGAAGCAATCCTGGCAGAGTGAGTCACCAGCGACTAGAACCATTTGCTCGATGGGAGTATCATCGATACAAGCTTGGCAGTTGAAGGTCGACATTGTCGTTTATAATTCTTGGAATGGAGGCCAGGAAAGTAGTGAAACAACACCAAACTGTTATGAATGAGAGTGCAAATCGAAACGATGCTGTGCTTCGACCTGGAGGCAAGTAAAAGATTTAAGTGGGACATCAAAGCCAGTTTCATTGATGGGAAGAAAGACTGAAAGACACACGGATGATGTCCACGACGCCCACGTTCGACTTTACTGGGTCAAAGGGGTCTTGCTGAAAGACAAAGAGTGAATGAGAACAGTATCCGTAATACCATCGATCTTGGATTGACATGTCTCTGGAGTGGGTTTTGGCGATGGCTCTCTGGTTTCTCGAGGATGTCACAAGATGAACKCTGTATTGCATACCATCTTGGAACRGTACTCGGTCTCACAAGGTTTGATAGCCTCTGTTAACAGATCTCAGTGTGGCGGAGGACAATGCGCTTCAAGTACTGTGGAGAACAATGAGTTCCGGATTGGGTTGACCTCACCGAGATAGACGCATACTGACTCTGTTCCGATCGTGGTGACTTGCGGATTGTGTCGAGCTTGCCGGTTTGGTGATGATGTTCACTGCGATTAACAGGTCCTGGTAGTCTGTAGAACAGATCTCCACATC